GAGATTGCCTTTTGGTACATACAATAACCAAATAAATTTGCGAGCATAAAAATTACAAATTTGTTATAAATATAAATATATAATCTGCTTTTTAATATTTTTTTCACTTTTAAAGTTATCATTTTATCCCCTATCTCATGTTTTAATAGCCCCAGCGTATTTAAACCTATGCCCGTAGCTATTAAATTTGCATACACACACACACGGACGCAGTTTTCTACTTTTCGAATCCTACAGAGCTCGATGCGTTTGGGTGTCGACTCTCGAGTGTTGATACAAGTGTTGTACGTAATGCGGCTGCTTTCTCTACATCTTTTGCAACAGCTTGGTCGAGTGTTCTGATTGGCGAGCTAGGCCCTCGGCCGTAATAATTCAGTTTTTGCCGTTCTTATCTGCGGTGTGCGCGAATCGAATCCGCCGCCGTATAAACGTATTTTAAACTGTTTGCCATTGTGTCTGCTTAGAGTCGTGACTGGACCGCTTGTCGGAGCCCATTCGAATAAATTCATGCGCGAAAACCGGGTTAACGTGCATATTTTTCCGACTGCATCATTTTATTATAACAGAGTCACACTGCTCCGAGTAAAAGTGAAAACTTTTAGCTGCGTTCAGAAAAGTAATTGTCGGCCTTCATTGAAATCATTACAATATCGGTCTGATTAGTCACAATGAAATGAAAAATGGATGAGATGAGGTAAAATGGACAATTTATAATGTAGATGATATCACGGTTTTCATCAATCACTTTTACTTTTCAACTCATCAAAGTGTATTTAAGAAGGTTCTTTTAGAATTTCGATTGCGAAAAGGAAAGGATTTGGAATGAAACTTTTAAAATACAAGGCAATAAATTTCATGAGTTCTTCTCATATAGCAGAGGTGCTTTTTAAATCAAATATTTTTGGAAAAAATTTATTTTGAGCTATTCTTGAAAATATTGTGCAACTATTAATATTTCTAGTGATAAATCTTAATGTACATTATGCATTAGAAGCTGGTCTGATTTTAACGGTGAAATGCTAATTATTTGAATCTGAAACGGAATTTTCAAAGGAAATTGACCTTTCTCAGAATCAGATATTTTAAGTTAAATAAGCTTAATTAATTTTCAAGCATTAAATTATGGGACAATTTGGAGTCAATTAAAATTCCGATTAAATTACTTAGTTTTTTTCTGAATTTGATTTTTCAAGGTGAAAAGAAAATTTCTATCGCGGTTTTTATCAATCACATTTTTACTTTTCATTAATTTTTTAGCATTAATGAAGTGGAGTCAATTCAAAAGTGAGTGTAAAAAGTATTTTTAATTTTCTGAATTAGTTTCAAATGCCATTTTATCCTAACACGTTCAATGTATTTTTGTCATTAAAAATCGTCTCTTCTTTATTGTCAATTTCAAGAGCAACCAAACTGCGACTTTGTTTCCGTCGTCACCACAAGGTCGTCTGTTCGGTGCACCACCTGCAATTTCGAAAATTGACAAAAACAATTCTCTCCATGGGCGGAATTAGAAAATTGCATAATCGCTCGGCTGTCGCTGATGGCTGCGTGCAAATTCAATAAGCGTGAACGCGTGCAAGGCAAAAACAATGCAATAATCGTCGGTTTGCGGTGCAAAGTCAAGGCTACAATATAATGTCAGAAAATTTTACGCGACGAACAATCGCCTTCGTGCTGTCTATAATTGCTCCTGCATAATTTACTATGCATCCAAATGAGCCCGACAATCAGGACATGCATCAGGAAAAGCGGTATTATATCGTGTGCCCTGAGTGAGCGCGTGCCGCATTTTTTCCGACGCACTGCTCGCTCTTCCGGTTATGCCGACAATTCAATCTAGATTGCAGAAAATGAAAATCTCGCTAAAAAAACATAAAAAATCCCTTTGATTCTATAAAAACTGGTGAAGTTCTTATTATTATGCCAAATTTAAATTAATATAAATTTTTCCTCTTTTTAATGCGAGAATATCTCTAAAAATATTTTTAATTCCATTATTCTTGTCCGTCGTGTAAGTTTTGAAAGAAATTGAAATTAAATTGGCAGAGAATTATTGGCCTTATTAAAACTCCAACTAAAAAACTAAATTTAAATTAACTATTAATAAGAATTATAAATCTTGAATATTACATAATTATAAGATTTTGTTGTTTAAAATTGTTATTTTACTGAATTTATATTGAATTCATATAGAGAGCAGCATATTATATTGTTTTTGCTAATGAAACAATGATAATAAAAACCCATCAACGTAAAGCTAACTTCAAATTAAATGATAATGATACTTTTAATCAGCTAGTTATAATTTCATAATGAATATGGTAGAATACGTCACAAAATCTTTTCCATCAATCGAAATTTTTCTAATCTTATCAATTAGGAATCTCTCTGTGCGTCAACCTTACCCAACCAACTGCGTTGCGGAGAGGAAGTCACAAAATTTCCGACCAAGTTTCAAAAGCACAATATCATTGCGTCACTCGCACGGCCACCCATCCTGAAAGCGAGGTGAAATAGTGGGTCGCACCGGCGTGCGGGGAGCATCTCCTCCCTTTCAAATTGGCCTTTTGTTTGTACATTTTGTAACGTCACCGGTGCACGCGAACTCACACGCGAGAGTTTACCAGTTTTTGTGTAGCCTTTTGGTGTGCTGCAGGTGCACCCCGGACTAATTTATTAAATTGGCCCGTTGATGGCTGACAAAATTAACAAGACGTCAAATGACTCAACTCATTCTGTTACAATTAGGAGGGAACGTCAAATTGCTTCCATATCCACAAGGTATGGTTCATTTAGTTTTATTGTCGTGTTAAAAATTGTAAGTATATTATTATGCAAGATATTTTAATTATGTTTAAGAGGGTGAAATTTTTTATAATTATTTACTAATTATTGATACCGAAATATCCAAAAATTGGTTAGAGAAGAATTATTATTCTGAAATTAAAGAAAATTGATAGTTGAATTCTACTTCGTCTAATTTAATTTTAAATTAGATTATTTCTTTCTTTTTATAGATTTTCCTTTGGTAATGGATTTTATTAATAATTATCATATTCAGTGTGATTATTATGCAGAAATTATTATAAAAATATGCTTAATTTAGCATATTTATCATAATTAACTAGGTAAATTTAACTTAAATAATAGAGTAAATAAATTTAACATTCATGAAAATTGATCATAATTGAAAAAAAATTAACTTATTGTAAGGATTTTACTTGAAAAATCCACTTCTCTGTTCCGTGGTTTATTGCAATTATTGTTTACGTGGGAATTTTTGGGGAAAGTTAGTTACCTGCTTCATTCAAATTTGCTCAGAAATTTATTAAACCGTTAAATTAAATGTTTTAATATCAATTTCTTGTTAATTATGATAATTCTTTTTTATTATTGCTGTTTTGAATTTTTCCACATTGTTACAAAAAATGCATTGTTTAACAGAATTGTTGAAAGCAATTAACTTAACGAATGAATTGGAGGAAAAACCGGCACCACTACTTGTTAACATTTTAATTGCCTTAATTTTTTAAACGAAACAAACAAAATTCTGAAAATTATTTTTTTTTACAGAAAATGATGATTGGTTGTATCTGAAAATTTGGAAGCTCATTTTAACTTTTCCTCCTGTGTCCAGAATTTTTTGCCCTGGTCCATTATACAGTTCATGCACTTACATTATACACACTCGATTTTTTCTCATCCTCGACCGACGGACTACAGGGAAAAGGTGGGGTGTGCTGCTGGAGTGTGTACCTGGGTATTACATACCTGAAGGCAGCCAGCAAACGAACGACCTTGGAAAGGTCCCTGCCGCCACTCTCGCGGCGACTGCACCGCAAATAACGACGAGTAAATAAAAATAAGCAGACGCATTACTCACTCGGCTCTGCATTCGTCCGGCTCTTATCTCGGCGCGGTGAATTACGGCTGCTGCAGCATTTTATTTATTCGATTTTTATTCAAGCGCATTATGCGTCCAACCGCCTGCCTGTTCAGGAATTGTAAACCCGCGCGTCCGCCAAAGAAAGAAAGAAATAAGGAGCATTGCCTCCGACGCCGAGGCATTACTCTTTCGCGCAATTACACATTCGTCGTCGTACGCCGCCGAGAGATATGTTTAATTTCTTTCTCATATATACATTTTACTGCTCTGATCTATTGCAGTTAAATACTTGGCTTGTTTATCTTAACTGTTCATTTCATTTCTGATCGGAACTCTCTCACGCAGCGGCACTCGGCGTTTCGACATAATTCCGCTTCACTTAATTGCATCTCCGTATTGATGAACTTTTGCGTCCTCATAATTATTGGAATTATCGTGAACAACATATTTGTATAACACTTATCATAATTCTGCTTCAAAGAAAATTATTATTAACAGTGAAAATAATTAAGATTTATTTTATGTTAGTACATACACTGTATTCATATTTAATATAAATCTCGATACATGTTAAGTTTAGTTAGTGAAGATAAAGATTGTGGTCAACTTTTTGATTTTCAATCAACCGTTTCTTGCCAATTTTTGTGTGATTTAACTGGCAAGGAAGAAGGGAAGGATTATTAATATTGCATAAATGAATTAAAATTTTAAATTTATCCCTAGCGAAACCTCAATTTGCAGAGAAAAACGTCTTTTTATTAATCTTATTACGAATTTAAATAATCTTTAATGCTTCAAATGAACAGTTTTTTATTTACATAATTTCCGCTTTGCATATAAACCTTTTTCGTTGATCTTAAAAGAAGAGAAAACGAGAATCCTAGCTCTAGGATTCTCGTTTATCATATGTCCCAAGAAGAGTTTGAGGAAAAATTATTGCAAAATGGTTTCCAGGAATAAAAAGTAAATTAATTCTATAATATTAGTTTTTATTATTTAGTTTTTCCGTGTGCGACAACATGCAATTTGCTGGAATGTATCTGAGTGTGATATTGTTGATTTAATTTGTTCTTCTGTCTCGCTCACTGAAAAACTCCTTTTTGTCGTGTTGCAGGACTAGATGCGCGTTTGGCGGACTGCGAAGTGGCCAGGCAGCCACTTACTCATACAAGAGTAATATGAACTCGAACACAATGAGAGGACCAGAGGCGAGCGAGAGGTGAATTACCTCTTCTCCGCGAACATATCCATCTCACTGCACATCCGCCAACTGTCTCACGCCAACACGCCAAAACAACTCGCACAGGTATACTAATTACATTTTTTAATTATAATTATTGTATTTTATAAAATCTCCATTTCGATCAACAAAAGGGAAGTGTTTTCTTAGAGAGTGAAGAAATGTCTCGGGAAAAGTGTTTCTTCGGCGTGACATTTGATGCGCTCGTTATTCTCCACTTGTCTGCGAAGAGAAATTCGATGAAATTGGATCTAAACGAGCATTTTGCGAGACACGCGGCGTGCCTTAAAAATTTCTATGCTTGTTAGATTTGCCGTCAAAAACTTTCTGTAAATTTAGCGAATGGGTGAAAAATCTCGTAAATAACACGCCATCATTAGAAGGAACGTTAAGTTTATTAGAAAAGGCTCTAATTTGTCAATTCGTGGAAAGTAATTTAATAATCAAAGGATATATTTTTCCAACTTTTAATTTGGTTTTTACAAAATAAAAATATTCAATTAATTATGATTTCAATTCTTAATTTAAACTACTTTTTACCTTGAAACATTGCCGTTTTTTCTAGTTTTCTCCTCATGCTTTTTATCTGATTTACATTTATTGCTTCTCATTATTTTGATTAAAATGCTCAATATCACAAAAGCTGTGCTGTCTCATTTGGCATGACATCCAATACAACTTGATTCAGGACAAAGCAGTACGACTTGACCTTGCAAAATGGAGATCAAACAAGGTCACCGTATGTCGATTAATGGCAGCAAAATATTTAGTCCTGATTAAATGTGTCCCATCCGTCCGTTGTCCGAGCAAGGACGCCGCAGCGAATTCATTCAGCACTACTTAACAATTTAATAATATGCGACCGTCACGTATGGACCAGCCGCGGTTGTGCAGTAGCCACCGACAAATAATAATGAGCCATGCGAAATAATTCACTGCCTACATACATGCGTAATTCGCTAGAGCTGACCCGCTTATCATCATAATAAGTGAAAAATGCAAATACGCCCTACACAATTCTGCGTGAGGAAGATCCTGGTCGACTTATCAACAAATGTCAAAAGTGACACCATTATGAAAATTTCGCAAGCAAACACGTGCTGTTGTCTCTGTTCTTTTTAATTAATTTCAAATAACAAATATAGAAATCTATCATTTATAAAGTTCTCAATTAATTTGCAGAAATATCCTTTCAAAATTACAATTGGAAAATTTAGATGAAAATTTATCTCTCTAACAATATAAGAAAAAATTACAACTTAAAACTTAAAAGTTGTGAAGGCTTTTAAGTTTTAAAAGTAATTCTTCTTCTAAAAATTTTATAAATTAGCAATATTTGTTTAAGATTTTGCAATATAAAATCTAATTTTCTTACTAATGTTTTATATTGAGAGCAACGAGAGGCGCACTTCTTTTTGTCGCATCTAATCTGGAAGCGCATTAATCACGCCCATTGAAACTGTCCAGCCCTCGCCTAACCAGCGGCTCTCCGTCCGCGATCAGGCTTTTGGTGCGCATTGGTGCGTTCATTTTTCGAGCGCATCCGAGGCTCATGCCCTTGCATTTCATTCAGCCGAGCAGGCAATAAATCTGGATTTCGAGTCGGGCCTCTCTTTCGGGTTGCATATTATCTCACTTAATCTGAGACTCTAGATAATTCCACCCTAAGAAAATTCCAATCGTGATATTATTTTTGGTGCTTATCTTGACCAGAACACGTTTTTTTGTAAAGGTGATGCGAAGAGGTAATTTTCCACTTAGAGGAGTCGTTAAAAGTTTATGCAATTTCGCCAGCAGACAACAAAAACAAGCGTCGACCCGATGGCGCCGCGATGCTCGTCGTCCCGGTTGGGAAAAATGCCGAGTGCGGCTTTGAAATTGCCCGCAAGAAGTGAGATATAATAAAAATGTGAACTCGCGCGTCTACAAAGAAAAGCATAGTGGCGCCTGCAAAGTGGCCGGCCATCCATCCGTCAGGTGTGGAAATGAGACTATTGTACCTGAGCGCGGGCATTATCAAGGTACACCGAGAGGAGCAGTTCCTTGAACTCTCAGGGCCTCCTGCGCCGCCGTCTTCGCCGCGTGCAATATACGCTCGACCGTGCAGCTGCCGGGCGCACTTTTTGTCTGGCGAGAGCATTTTTCGGGAAATTGCCCGTCTCGGCACCTTTTGTCCGGCCACAAAGGCAGCTTGAAATGAGAAATTATTCGACTGACAGTGAAGTCTCTTGAACTGAAATATTGCAATTGCAAAAAAGGAGAAGTGCAAAAAATGATAAGAGAAGTTTTTACTTTTTGTCAGAAAATTTTCAGAAGGATCTCAAAAGTTTGATAATATTCTTCTCTAGTTTTTTCCTGTCTGCAAATTTTTTTCAGTTTTCCTCAAAATATAAGATATTCCCAGAAAATCCAAAGAACGTTTAAAGCTGTAAAATCTTAAACCAAGAAAACTTATTTTTGCTCTGTGAGTTTCTAAAATTATCTTAACAAAGTTTATTACAGCTCATTAAGGGCATGCATTTGCGGCCGGCAACATCTCTCATCACAATTCAGGTTAGAAATAGTTTTTGCCCTGCCACGAGTTTCGAGCTCTTTATTGGGCAACACAACACTCGCGGCGCATCCAGCGCAGGTCTCAGGAAGTGCCGAGGCTAATGCGTGTTTTTTAACAACCAAACTGACTGGTTTCGTTTAGATAAATCGTTTAACTTACAGAGCAGTTCTTTTATTTTCCTTAAATCTTGTTTTTTATTCCTGATTTTGAACGAGTCTAACGGCGCACGTTGTTAATTACACTTGTTTGTTAGCGCAATAAATTTTCAGGGATTACAAATTAACACTGGAAGTGGAATTGAGAAAAGCTGCACTACTTCTCGGTTCTTTCTTTCCGCCTTGTTAATTCGATGAAAATTTAATCCTTTGACGATAAAATATCTTGTCATGAGAATAAATTCCATCAGCGGCATAGGAATGCAATGAGTTGTTGAAAATTATTGTCTTTCTAATGAGCTGATGAGTGTGGGCAAAGCATTTTTCTAGAATACTAAATTTGCTTATTAAGCTTAAAATTAAATGACATAAGGTGGATCTTTAAGAAGAAATTTAACAATAAATTACATTTAAATCTCAACTGAAATCTGCTAGTTTAGTTCTTAAAGATACTCATTGTTTATTGTTTAATTTTCCATCATAAATCAACTTTAAGAAAATTCCTAAAGTTTGGCTTAACTAAAATTAAGAAAAATCAATTGGGATTAATCAAAACATAAAATGTTTTTAGACAGATTTAAGACGCAAAAAATTTAATTTTAGCACACAGGATATGCTTTGCTTCTTTGTCCCTGCGGCGATCTTCTCTTATGTTAACAAATCACGTGGAGAGCTGCTGGACAACATTCAGTTGCATAAATTTGTCCAAGTCTTGCTGCCAATGTGGAGCAGCAGATGAGGCGTGTGTTTCTCGAAAGAACGTTCGAGTGGTGGACAAAATATTTGGACCGCTAACGGGACTGACCAGCCGGCCAATTTGGATTATTGAGACCTGCTTACTCCGCCTGCATCTCTATAGCAAACTCTTCTTGCGCAACATCCGCTCTTCGTTGCACCTGCGGACAAAAAAAAAACACGGCAGCCAGTAAAAATAATTTTACACTTTTTGACGGAAGAAATTCCTCCGTGCTGGCGCGGTCATTGAATCGTGGCTATAAATTAAAATCGGTCTGTCCATAGAGCCGAAAAAGCCGCGCTCTGGTGAAAGTGAGATAATTTTTTTGATCTTGACTGAAGAGTGAATGCACTCAAGTCTAATTATTCAACCAAAGAGTGGGACCGCATTTTCTCCCTTTGCACAGCATCCTCTTAATTTGTTCCACTTATTAAAGCCACTAATTGTTAATTGCAACGCAACATCTGGCATATAAATAAATTCTGAGGCAACGTCCTCATTTAATATTTTATTCAATTTGCGGTTTACTTAGACAATCATGCTTTCGGAAAGTTCTATATACGCGCACCTGTTATTTGGTGCTGCAGCAGTTTGATTTGTAAATAAATTGATTTCGTGATAGTATATCAAATCAATAGATTGTGATAACTAGCAGTTGTTTACTATTATCACAATATCTATTAGGCTGAGAAGCAATTCTGTTGACACATACATGCTGACGGGCGATACGGAGGTTGCAACAACTATGACGATAAAGATTTTAGGTTTTGAGGTGGTGAAATGTTGAATATTTTTAATTTAAGATAACAATTTCTTTAATGTTATACTGTGATAACATGTGTGAGTGAAGTTTTAATTAGAAAGCAAAATACAGTTTTCAATTGTTCACTCATTTGGTTAGCGTTTTATTAGTAATATTATTGAAATGCTGATAAAAATCACTTGATATAAATAATTTAATTAATTGATTTTATTTCGATTTTTAGCATGCTGTGTCGCGTGCGAATGTTCTACTCGCTGATGCTTGGGCTGACCGGCTTCTCGCTGATGCTGTGCTCCTTTTTCTACGCGTCTCCTGCCTCAGTAAATTTTGAGGTGATAGGACCCAACCAAACGCTTCCAGAGGTGCTACCCAGCTCCCTTCAACAAATACAGAGCCAACCGTCCGCAGAAACAGGTAATAATTAATTAGTTTATTAATTTTGTTGAAAATTAATTTCCATTTTTTTTTCTAATCCGCAGAGGCCATCAGCCAGAGTGCAAGGAAGGAGGAACCGTCCGAGCTGGTCCCGGACGCCAAGCTCAATCAGCTAGAGTCCATCTCCATTCCTGAATCGGCCATTCCTGAATCTCCAGATGAGGCAAAGACTGCGCCAATACAGCAGCCACAGGAAGAGGTAGCGCCACCTGTGGTAATTGTGGCCGCCACTAATATCACCAGTAAAGCCACAACAGGTAAAAAACCGTTAACAAATAAATACATTTTCAAAATATAAGGACAAAAAAGCGGAACCACTCAATAAAAATATTTAACAGGATTTAAAATGTGGGTCATTTTTTCACAATTTTTGGATTACAAATTAAGGTTGTATGTAAATTAAAAAAAAAAATTTAATTTTACTTTAAATTCTAGCAATTGGTCATTGTAATGTCAATTACTTACATATTAATATACATACATATTAGCATCTTATTTATAAAAAAATTACAGAGGAGCTTGAAGCCAAAAGTGAACCTGTGGCAGTCGCAGGAGCAGCTTCGCCAGAGTCGGCGCCATCAGCAGCCACTGTGGCAGCCATCAAACCTGCCAAGGAATCTGTCATCCAGAAAATTGCTCCCCTAGCAGCTGTCGCAGCTCCCTCAGGACTGTCTGGAGTGCCCAGCAGTGTGGTGGCCACAAAGGACTTGTATGAATCAGGTCATGACATTCCCAATGCAGAGTTGTGCCCAGAGTTCGGCGCTGGCCTTAAACTGCTCATCCTCATCACGTCTGCGCCCACACATGCCGACGCCCGCAAAGCCATCAGGTAAGAAACATTAAATAAATTTTTCATTCATATCCAAAAGAAAAAAAAACCAATTAGAATGAATAATTTCGTATATTTATGTAGACAAAAATCTGGATCAACATTTTTTTTTTACTTGATCTTTTTTATGTATTAAAAACCTCATTGTTTCAGGCTGACCTGGGGAACTTATGGTCATCGAAAGGACATGGCGGTCGGGTTCCTAGTGGGCGGCGTGTCAGACGAAAAGGTGCGCAGCGCCCTGTACTCCGAGTCGGAGCTCTACGGCGACATCATCCAGTCGCACTTCTTTGACTCTTACGACAACCTGACCCTGAAGACAGTCTCGGCCCTTGAGTGGATCGACACCTACTGCTACCAGGCCAGGTTCATCCTCAAGACTGACGACGACATGTTCATCAACGTGCCAAGACTGCTTCAGTTTGTGGACAAGCACGCCAATGATAAGTATGTTGAGTTATTTGGTCTTTTAGTAAAATCTATTTACTAGGGAGAAAAAAACTCGTAATAAAAAAAGAGTGAAAAAGAGTTTGTAAAAATAAAATTAGTTCTGAGGCTGATTATGAAAATTTAAGTAAAATTTGTAAATATCTTATACCTAAATTATTAGTTTTTTAGTTATTGAAGTAAAAATAAAAATTATTTTACTTATAGGCGCAGCATTTATGGCCGCTTGGCCAAAAAATGGAAGCCGATCAGGAACAAAAAGAGCAAGTATTACGTGTCCAAGGAGCAGTACAAGCAGGTGCTCTTCCCAGACTTCACCACTGGTCCTGCCTACCTGATGACCAGCGACGTGGTGCACGACCTGTACATGGGTGCGCTGAACCTGACCTACCTGAAGCTGGAGGACGTGTACACAACAGGCATTGTGGCGCAGCAGCTCAAAATCAAGCGGCTGCATGCGTCCGAGTTCCTCAACAAAAGGATTACCTGGCACGCCTGTCACGTGATCAAGGGCATCAGTTTCCACATGGTCAAGTTCCATGAGCAGTTTGACCTTTGGAAGAAGCTGCAGGACGGCAAGACCAAGTGCAAGTGATGAGCCCCTCATGTGATATTACACTTCCACTCTTTCACGTAGTCCCTTCGATCAACGCTCATGTATTTCTCGCCGACAGAGTTAGGCTGGTGTTTTTTTTCTGATGACATACAAAGTAATGATTTTTTTTGTTTAAACTCGCTCTGAAAATTCTCATTAAAAATTAGGTGAGCATGAATGGTACTTGACGTGCACTAGGTGTAGAATTTTTAGAGGCAGCTCCGATTTTAATATATAATATGAGGCCTCTGTTTTAACAAGTTTTGCAATAGACGGACCAATCTCTTTTTAAATTTTATTTTTCCAGGAAAGGGGAACAATTGTATAATTTTTTAACTCTCACTGGGACAGTCAATGTGGCCTTGCAGAATCCTTAAAGATGCAAAGACTTGATATTCAATGACAAATATGAACACCAAGGGTTTGTTTGAGGGTTACATTTGTGATGCCACATTAGAAACATTTTAACTTGTCACATTTTAACAAACTTCGACATCACAAAATAGGGTACTTGCTATCCTGTATTTAACTTATTCTCATTAAATAATTCAAATGACTATATTATTGAGGTACTTTTTACATCTCCACTCAATTTTGAGTTGAAACATGCAAGTAGCAGAGCAGCTGGTGCTGTCGTCCCATTTTCCATTGTGAAAATTGCGTTTTTATTTTTAAATATATTAATATGTAAAATTGATCACTTATTTGAAAGGTGTCTGGATGCTAAAGAAAAAATGATTTTACTTTGAGAGGTATAATAAAAATAATGCTACGCAACTACTTTCTTTCGAAACTTTAATATTTTTATACACATATGCGAAGTGAACAATAAAATCTGTATTGTGATTACTTGTTAAACGCGTACATTATATACATTTAGTACATGCTGTGGTATATGTGAAACGTATTGTGGCGTATAAGGATATGTAATTTATTTTTGTACTTTTGCTCACAACTTTTGTACTGTTTCAATGAAAAAGTGGCATATTAAAATGTAATTTTATGGTTATAATTTTTACTATGTAAGGAACAATAATAATGTGCTCTCTCTATCACGCGCAATAAAGACAGAGGTTTTTTTGAAGAAGTGAATATTAAGAAATTTCTTTTCTTTCTAAAAAAACCCTTGATAAATAATCAGATAATTAATGAAAACAGACATTTAAGACATTTTTGACATAAACAGATGCTGGATATTAATTAATGAAAACAGACATTTAAGACATTTTTGACATGAACAGATGCTGGATATTAATTAATGAAAACAGACATTTAAGACATTTTTGACATGAACAGATGCTGGATATGTAATTCTTATTATCTTTTTTCCGCTTTTTTCAATTTTTTATTTGTTCCAACATCGCACTCGCTGTGCAAGTGATTCAATGTGACGTCAGCGGCAGCCATACAAGAGTATACGTATAAATAACAAATACCAGCGCCCCTTCCCTCAAGCGGCCTAGATAGCTCAGTTGGGAGAGCGTTAGACTGAAGATCTAAAGGTCCCCGGTTCAATCCCGGGTCTGGGCAATTTTTTAAACTTTCATTTAAACCTCTTGGTTAGTTTAGAAGGACAAAGTTATAATTATTAAATATTCGAATTTTTTTCAACTTCAAATAGACCAGTCAATCAATCATCAATGATGCTGTAAATTTTTTGTATTTTAATTTTAAAAAAATGCATGTTTAATAAAAGTGTAAAAAAATGTAAAAATTTTGTTGCTTACTTTGTAATAAATTTCTATCAGAAGTTAAAATATACCAATAACTTTATTAATATTTAATGAAAATTTTCACATATTTTACAAAAACGGAAAAGGAATGGTCCCAGAAAAATTCTTCCGTGATTAAACAGTAGCAAAAAGGTACAAAAGTGAGCTGGCAAACTGATAGATCTCGTTCGTTCCCAGTTTGGACTCGCCGTAAACTCTATCCACAAAGGATATTGGCACCTGCAAAGCACAAATTTTGACTTGACGCCTCTGGGCCAGCTTAAAGTAAGCAATAATTAATACCTCTCCAATTGTGTATTTCTTTGATTTCGCCCGCACAACTATTTCCATTTGGAAGGAATAGCCTTTGGAAACGCACGAGTGCACCAGTTCCTCCAAAACTTTCTTCTTGTACAACCTTGGAACAAGAAATTAATATAAAATGTTATATTTTAACTATTTTTAGCTACCTGAAGCTGCCAGTTAGATCGGAGGCTCCTGGACGAAGGAGGAATTGGCTCAAGAAATTGGCGCCGCAGCTAATCAACTTCCTCTTAAAGTCCCAGCCGAAAACTCCTCCGTTTCCCAAATACCTTGTGCCGGAGACAACGTCATAGTCTTTCTCTTTTTGCTTTTTTACAAACTCAGGAATGAATTTTGGCTACAATTTAATTATTTAAATTAATTTAATCAACTTCTAAATTATTTTCCTACATGATGGGACAAGTCAGCATCCATGATGATGATAAAATTGCCTTTGGCATGTTTAATCCCATGGATATAAGCTGTTCCAAGACCAAGTTTCTTTTCTCGTGGACGAAGCACCTATCAAAAAATCAGTTTTTAATTTATTTTAAAATAAAAATATACATATATAAAATAAAAATTCTTACAATTTTATCCTCTCCATAGAACTTTTGAAGTTTTTCTGCAATTTCCTGTGTACCATCAGGGCTTCCATCGTCGATCACAATTATTTCGTACTTGAGATTGCTGATGGAAAAAAATTATAAATATTTTTTAAACGCCTCAAAAACAAACAAACCTGGCCTCCATGGCTTTGATAATGAGGTAAATGATGATGGGCAGATTTTCCCTCTCATTGTAGGTGGGCAGCAGAATAGAATATATGTCTGCCATCGTGGATATTTTCAGAACAGCACTCAAAATCGACCGAAAGGGTCAAAATTCAGAGTTCGTGCAACGCGGCACGTCTGTTGTTGAAAGCGTCAAATCCAGCTGGGAGCTGGGAGATAGAGATGTTCCGGTAACTCACGGTATATATCGTTACCGGTAAAATTTTACGGTATACCGGTAGAATACCGGTATTTCTTTCAAACGGTAAGGTTACGGTTACCGGTAAAATTTGAACATACCGTTAACCGAACTTACCGGTTTTTATCGGTTTTCGCGAGCGGAGCGAGCGAAAAATTTTTGCAAACGGTAATTCCGCGAGCGAAGCGAGCGCAAAATTTTTGCCCGCGGTAACTCTGCGAGCGAAAAGGTTTTGGACGGTAACTTCGCGAGCGAAGCGAGCGCGAAATTTTCGGACGGTACCTCTGCGAGCGAAGCGAGCGCAAAATTTTTGGACGGTACCTTTGCGAGCGAAGCGAGCGCGAAATTTTCGGACGGTAACTCCGCGAGCGAAGCGAGCGCAAAATCCTCGGACGGTAACTCCGCGAGCGAAGCGAGCGCAAAATTTTCGGACGGTACCTCTGCGAGCGAAGCGAGCAAAAATCCCAGGGCGGTAACTTCGCGAGCGAAGCGAGCGCGAAATTTTTGCTCGCGGTAACTCTGCGAGCGAAGCAAGCGTAAAATCTTCGGACGCAAAACTTTCGGACGGTACTTCCGCGAGCAAAGCGAGCAAAAATTTTTGAAAGAGAAATATGATTTATGATAGAGCGCAAAGCAACTAAAGCGATTAAGACTTTCAAAAGTGCGCGAGTTAAGTAAAATCTTGAGTGCGACCAGTACAAAATTTTTTCGAGCGCATCCATTTAAGCAATTAATTAATAACAATATATTTATCTTTATTGTGAATACAACTTTTAATGTGTGAATGCTCAGGATGACGAGGGGTTAATTGTCATAATTAGACTGGTTCTTATATTGAAGAAATGATTTATTTCTTAAATTAATTAAATATGCTATTTTATGAATAAAAATTTTAAATTATCAAATCCAACTTCTTTGGACGCTAAACAAGAGAAGTATAAAATGGATAAAATGTCAATATTTAATTATCATTTATTATATAATATCCATAATATCTATAATTTATTATAAACAAAATATGCTAATTCAGTATTTGTAATATTTCAATTTTCAATTAATATTTTTATTTTATAATAAAATCTGATTAAAAAAAATTAAATTTATTGATTTAATTTGAAAGCAAATCTTCAGTCGAAAATTATTTATTTCATTTTTCTTTAGCAAGCGGCCATATCCAGCGAATGATTGTGAGAGTTGTATGTGATGCGGCCATGCAGCCAAACCAAATATTATGCAAACCAATAAGTCGCGCACGATGTCATAATATTTTATGAGCCTATCAGATTTTTTTAATGAAATAAACTAACTGAAAAAAGCTTAAAATACCTCGCATAAAGGTAACAATAAAATTAATGATTAAATAATTATATGATTTTAGCCAAGTAAGATGTCAAGCTAAGTTATATAATTATTTATTTCATTCATAAATATTTTTTTTTAAATATAGAGTTCATGACCGACTTGAGTGCTGGATTTGGCTGCTTAGTGCTTGCACTAAAAGAAAATATGTAAAATAAATTTTGTTTTTAAATTCAAACAGCGATCCAAAACTGAAAACAAAAATTCAGCGATGAATTCACTTTGAATTTAATGTGGCCGAGTCGCGCGGGCAGTCAAGTATCCAGCAAACGGAGTTGCATGGCACACTGCCTGACTGCATTGATTTATTAATATATCCATGTCGGCACACTGCCTTCCCCCACGAACACACCAAATTCTGTTGTCTTTTGAATGTTCTTGTCTTTTAGCCGATCAGCGATTTTTAGCAATAAGCAAACGTTGTCGCGTTGGTGAGAATCGTTCTGTTGATCAGATCTGTTGCATTAATTTTACAGTTGCCGGAGCTCATTATTGGATTATTCCTTAAAATACAACGAACTTGTGGTTACAAGCTATATGGGGTGTATTTCTGATAAAAATGAACGAGAATGAAAATTTCTGAAAATTTAGCAAAAAAAAAAAAATTAATACCGGTACTACCGGTATATTACGGTACGGTAATTTTTTTAATTACCGGTAACTTACCGGTTAATTGGATACCGGTATATTCATCAGAATACCGGTATACGGTAAACGGTATATTTTAAAATTACCGGTAAACGATATACCGGTAGCTCAAAGGTTTGGGAACATCTCTACTGGGAGACTAGGGGGCGTGGCACTTGCCGGCTTTTCGTTCTCTTCGCATTTCAGTTTCGCTTCGATTCTCGCAAACCTCGACTGTACTGCCGTCGTTCAGGGAATTTGCCACCGTTCCAGTGACAAAAGCGGGGTGCAAAACTTGTGAAATTCACGGGCGTTTCCTCTGATCCTAGCCAAAGTCTCAGTGACTTAGCAAAATCCTTTGGAAAAGTTTCTCTTACATAATTCGAGAAAAATTCAACGTGCAAAAATGTCGTGGGTGCCGCTGGAATCCAACCCTGAGGTAAAATGGCAAATTATTTTTTAGTTTTCATCAGTCATTTTCAAGTTTATTTCAAATTCTTCCGCAAGATTACGGATGACTGAGAGTTTGATTTAATTTCTATAATAATTAAAAGTGATCAAACTCTCCTGTCATGACGAACTTGTCAGGAATTTTTCAAAAAAGTGGATTTTTCCGTTGGCAATTCAAATTCTTGGAATTTTCCACGACTCATCATACAAACACGTCAAATTCATCGAATTTATACGCTTGGCTGCAACTAATGAATTTCTCTCTTTTGCTCTGTTTCAGGTCATGAACAAGGTGCGACAAAAATCTCACTCGACCCACAATCATTAAAAATTGAATCAGACAACCTTGGAATCCTTTTCTACAAAACGTTTTATTTTATTTGTTTATGAGCTATCAATTTTCTATTTGAATGTTCAGAGAGGTAGAAAATTAAATTAGCTCATTGATCAAGTTAGCAAAAGACTCTTAACTAGGCAAGTGCGGGCCAAGGAATCCTTACAAGTACAATTTTGTGATTCACGTGTTTTCCTAAAACTTGAAGAATAATTTGTAGGGTTGCCTTTTTCTATATTGCTAAGAACTGGTTATTTTTTACAATATTTCATGAACAGTTTCTAATTCACAATCCGATTGATTTAAATATTTTTTCTTTCAAAATTGAGTTGGAATTTCATTTTTTTTGTACCGAGTCAAAAAAATTTTTTTTTTTTTTGTAATAATTTAAAATAATGCATTAACGGACAAACTGTTTGACTAGATTTACCTGGAGTTTCTCTCTTTTAAAATATTAACCCTGTAAAATTTAAAGTCAAATTTAGCTATGTTAGTGTTTCCCTTATCGATACTTTCCATTTTTCAGTACTTGGAGAACCTTGGTGTGCCGACCAAGTGGCAGATGATGGACGTGTACGGCCTTGATGCAGATTTGCTGGCGACTGTGCCTCGTCCTGTGCTTGCTCTGCTGCTGCTCTTTCCCATCAACGACGGGTACACGCAGTTCTGCAAGGAGCAGGATGCTGAAATCAAAAGCAAGGGACAGACTGTCTCGGACAAAATTTTCTACGTCAAGCAAAAGATCAGCAATGCCTGCGGCACCATGGCCCTCATCCACAGCGTCGCCAACAACACTGACCAGTGCGTTGACTTACAAATTTGTTTAAATTGATTCAAGATATAATATGATTTTATTCTTATAATTTTTTTTTTAAATTGTAACTATTTCAATTAATCATTTGGAAAATTTTCTGTCATTTTATTAGTTCAGAAAAATTTTATTTTGATCTTTAATTTGAATTTTTCTTCCCAGGATTACACTTGGAGATGGTGCTCTCAAGAAATTCATTGAAGAGTCTGCTGGAATGGACGCTGTAGGTCGTGGAGACCTGCTTTTGAAGGCTGATGCCATTGCCAACATTCACAAGGAGCTGGCCCTGACCGGCCAAAGTGAAGCCCCTGACGCCACCCAACCAGTCAACTTCCACTTTGTGGCTTTGGTGCATGTTGACGGAGGACTCTATGAGCTCGGTACCTTTACGATTCTGCTTTAAAATTTAATTATTAAAAATTAATCTTATTTTTAGATGGAAGCAAGTCCTTCCCCATCAACCACGGAGATACAACTCCGGAAACTTTCCTTGAAGTCTGTATTTTTATTCAAAAGTATTTTAAATCTTATCTTTGCAATTATTATTCAGGATGCAGCCGTTGTGTGCCGCAAGTACATGGAGCGTGACCCTGAGAACGTCAACTTCACCATTGTAGCTTTGGCTGCCAACAACTAGATGGTCACCTCAAAATCTGCTTCACCGCCAGCTTTGTAAAGCTTTTAACAGCTTCACTGAAATTGGCTAAATCTAACTTTAAAGTAAGATAAGAGAAAAATTTTAACGGATCTCTGTAATGAAAAGAGTCATTTCAACTTTTCAAAGTAAAAGTAAAGAAAAACTGCAAGTCTTCTCAAGCATATCTCAAATTTAAAATTAACGGAGGTCAATCTAATTTTTATAAGGTACTTTGATCACCTCTGTGATTCGCGTGCCTGTCCCATGAGTTTTTTTCTGTAGACATGGCAGCTTCTGTATGAATTAATTATGCAAGGATGTACTGCTTTTTGCTTGAAAAATAAAAAAAGATTACCACAGAAGTTTCCGAAGACATTTTAATAATTACAACTGGCTTAATTTTTTATGTGAAACCAAAATAGCTCGATTGTCACCCACACAGTGGGTGGCCGGAAATAGAATTTGCAAAACAGCGTCACAATATCCTATGTCAAATAATTTGACAAAAGGCAACGTGTCGTTTGAATGGTTCATGATAAATTGCTGGAGAACGGTGACGCAACAACTTCCACAGAAATCACAACTAATGACGTCACCAATCCAGTCAAAAACCTTCCGCGGTTCGTACCGTGCGTGACTGCTTTTGTGGTTCCTCTGCAGCTTATCATGGTGACCGCGAGGGGCGCACAAAACTACCCCGGCGGCGTTTCCACCCTAGTAGGAGTGCATTGACGAGAGACCGACCAGCACTCGCAAGTGCGGCAGTCAGTCGATGTGCACCAATGGCCCTGCACGCAGGTCACTTCCTTTAGCGCTCCTCAGGTCCAACTAAGCAGCTCAAGTTGGTAAAGTATTAACCCCCTTTCTTCTAATAAGCTCATCTAAAAACCTCTGCTTTTCAAATCGGCCAAAGAACTCTATTATTCATCTGCGTAGTTTTTATTTAGGAATTGTTGCCATGGTTTTTGAGCGTTGTTGTGAGCTAAAGACAGACCATCTGCTACAATATAGAGTATCGTGTTTGTCAATCGCTTTCATATTTGATTGCAAAAGCGTCCTAAAAAAAGTTTGCGTTCGTTTTACTTTTACTCGACTTATAATTTTTCTAGAAGAGGTAAAATTACCAATTATATCATTGTGTGTACACTTTACTTATAATTAAAAAATCTCTTTAAAAATGGTTGAAATTGTCACCTACTAACTTTTGATAAAGAACCACAGTGTCACAAAATTATCAGTCTTTTATTTTCTTTTCAAGGAAACTGCATTAGTACATTGTTTAATTAAATATTTTATCATTAATGTTATCAATGATTGAAGGCCGCAGAGAACTTATTTTTTAAAGTAATGAGCTACATTTCACTTACAACTTCAAATTTAATGCAGTTGCAAATAATATTTACTTTGGATCATAATATTTTTAGGCATATCTGTTTTAATCATAATATAAAAGAAATTTATTTGCATTTTTTTATAAGTTTAATAATAAACGCCTGAAATGAAAATGCACTTTGTTTTACCTACCAGCATACAGGCATAAAGCAAACTTCTTTTGTCTTTCGATGTTATAAACTGCATATAAACAATTTTTGTGTTGAAAATGTCCTTGAAAGAATGGTCACTGTTTTAGCTTTTTGTTCTCCATTTTTTACTAATCATTTTACAATTAGATCAGTTATTAATAAACCCTTCTTGAATAAATCTTTCAATAAAATAACATTTTTAACTCGACAATAAATAAATAAATAACAAAAATCTGACATGAAAAGTTTTTCCCCCTTCAAAATACTGATATCATTAAAAAAAAATTTGTGTAATATTAACCGCGGTGTTTTTTGTGAAAAATGAGCTTCCCCGCTTTCCTGAACATTTTTTTTTTTAATTCTCAGACTTCATATCTTTCAAATGAGTATTTCTTTAAACATTTGTTTTCAATATTAATCCATTTTGTGTAGCGCTAGTAAACTATTCAACAATAACATGCAAAATTTAATGCCCAAATTATAATTCACATCTCTAGAAGAGAACGTTTTTAGAATGCAAATTTATGACCACATTTATTTTACTGTTATGCCGACAGAAGTTTAAATTTAAAATGAGGTCAAAATTTAACACCCTGTAGCGCTGATTTATTCATAAATTACGTTTAAAAATACGCACACGGCAATAAATTAAGGCGACCTTGCGTCAGGTAATGGCGCTCTCCACTCACACACGTGAGAGAGAAAGTGCAGATAAGATCACGAGACGTTGCCGTGAAAAAAGGCCGCTCTTGAGGTGGTCATCATTCAAACTGCCAAATTAGCATGCGGGCAATTAACGGGTTACATAACCTAACCGGCTACGTGATTCGTTGCCATCATCCCCTTTCCCATCTTAGCCTCCATTATCGAACAGCGGGAGAGTCCATCAAAGTATGGAAAGGAGAGAGAGTTTTCGAGTGTTTTGATTCTCAAGGCGGAGGATCAATCGTGGACGGCCTTCGGCCCGCGATGCATATCTCGCCACTTATTATTTCAAATCCACCTTTATCGCCGGACCGCAATGGCTCTCTCCTTGATTTTCACTGCGCTTTGCCATTCAAGGCCCCGCCGGGGTTTCTCGCGATCACGCACGTATTGCTAAAAAAAAAAAGCCTTTTGAGTTTTGCTTCAAAAAGTGGCAAGGCGTTTTTGAAAGAAGAAAAAACACGAATGAAAAATAATGTGACATTTCCGCCTACAAAATTGTAGGTATGCAACCTGTTCGTCAAGAATGTCGAGCAAGTTGCCTACACAAAAATTAATGTTGTTAATCATTGCCTTCAGGATGATAATTTATAGCCTGAGGATAGAATAGAATTGTATTCATGGAGTCGTTTTCTTAATAAATTATTAGATGAGGCATTTTGGTTAAAATCTTCAAACTTGAGATAAAATTACTAAAATTATTGTAACGAAAATTTTTAGCATTCATGGGCAAATTCTAAGGTTTTTTTTTGTCTCATAGTGAATGTATTTCAATACTGACTGAAATTTATTACAGAGTTTATAAAATGAAATCAGCTTTTGCATTTCTAGACAGGCAGATTGTCTACTTTAACAATTGCGTGTCTTCGAAGCATTTAGAAATACAATAATGAAGACAGTGTGCAACTTCAACACTTCTTATACCATACATCATTATAGGGGGTTGTCTATATTTTAATCTATAAGGGAAGTTTTGATTTGATGCGTACATGCGGGTTGCCTGATTGCCGAAGCTGCAGGCGCGGGCTGATGCGTGTCTCAACTTATTATTAGCCAGACACACCGACACACCTATGTTTCTATAAACTTTTTTGGCGTGGAAAATTTTGCTGCATATAAATCTTGAGATAGTGAAGAGTTTTAAAAATAAATTGAAATGTTAATTCAAAATATATTCTTATATATTTCAAATTTTTTGCCATCATTAGTTGCCAAAATTGTTCTTTCAACTAATGATGATATTTTGTGATTTTCAAAATTGCATATTATTATATTAAAAAAAAATCATTAGATTCTAAACAACTTTTATGTATATTGCGTATATTATTTATTCATTTGACTCTGCCATTTTTAGTCAAGAAATAGAGCAATATAAACAACAATAATTTAGTATTATTTACGAAAATACTGCAAAACACAGAACGACTATTAAATCCAAATTGGACCAGATTATGTGGTCAAGATAAGCGCGAAATTGCAAACACGAGCGAGTGCACGAAACTCACATCAAAAGGAAGGCAAAACAAAATAACTCTCTGGTGGAGAATTGGAAATAAAACCGCCCCTCAAGGTGCGAGATATGGGTCGGCTCATTTGCATAAATGTATCAGTCAGGGGTGGCCTCGATTCGCCCGCCGCTGCCCACAGCACTAAAAAGCAAGAAGGCTCATCATCGCTGCCCGCAAGCGCGAATGGGCCTCACTGCGAGAGATTAATTCGGCTGATAAAATGCAATGGGGCCAAAGGCACGCTCTCTCGCAGTAGGAGACCTTTCACCCCTTTGTGACCGCAAGGTCAAGATTTTTTTTCTTCCCCCTCTCCTATCTGATAGGGGACACGCAAATTTTTTTCATATTTATGCGTGACCGTGACTCCGGGAAAATATTGCTGGAGGACTTTCGAGCAAAGCAGTTCTCAAAAAAGATTTCTTGATAATGTGTGCGGAGAAAAACCTTGTAAACTTAATTGTTTCTGATTTTCGTGAAACGAAATTTGATCACGTAAAATTTCACTGGAAACTAAATTTAATAAGTAGCAATGAAGGGTGTATAGAATAAACTGTAACAAATTTTCACTTGAAATTTATTTATGTACATTGACGTTACTTACCAGTTCAACAAAAACGAAATTAAAAAATTTTCTTGTCTTGATTTCGATCTTCCCTTATAAATCTCAATCAATTCAGGGATACTGTTAACAATTACAATTAGTAATAAAAAATAAACCATTCTTGCTAAAAAAATTGATTTTAAACTTTCATATTTTTTATAAATTTAATTTAATAATTTTTAGTTTAAGTGAAGAATAATATAAACTAACAAAATTTTCAGCATTGGAGTAGCAAAAGTAAAAAATTGTTTCCAAAAAAATTTATAAAATTATGAAGTATAGTTTTACTTTCCTGTGGTTAAATATATTGATCCTCCAAAATATTCTGGTTTAGATAGAAAAATAAAAACGCTTCCGTGACTGGTAGATTGCGGAAGTGCTTGATTAGTTTTTGGACAGGTCGCGGCTCATTCTATAAAAGAGCGCTTTAAAAATGCATGATGTGTGGCGCTGGAAAATAAATCAGGCCTTTAAAAATAAAATCGATCTCTTTGGTGTTGCGAAACAACGGTAAAATAAATACACTCTCATTCTCACCTCTCTTAAAACGTTCAGAGAAATTTCACAAATCTGGCCCAATTTCTGGGCAATATCCGGCCTCGGGTGGCGATATAACGATTCACAAAGGGAGGTGCAATTAATATACTAACACACATCGCCTGTTATTTTTCCAGACCGCGCGTCCGACCTAACATTCTGCGGTCACGCAAATATAAATATCCACCCTCTCTTGAGAAACAGAGTCGCGCACTCATTAATTCGCCATCACATTTCAAGGCCTGATCGATTTATGAACCGCCGCCTGACCGGTGGGTGGTTTGCGCGAGTCCACAATGCACGTACAAAATAACACAATTTTCATATACGTGTGTATAGAGGAGGAAGGTCACACATCGCTTTTTGTATGATGTCGTTAAGGACGGACGGGCCGTGAGTCATTGCAGAGCGGCAGTGTCTCAGCAGGGCGCTTCAAAACTTTTGTAGGAAAAAAGCTTTGGCTGAAAATCTAAACAATTCTTAAAAATTCATTCAATTGTGAAAATATAAATGTTTATTTTGAGAAGCTGACAAATTAACAATTTACAGTTTGTTGATCCCAGATTAAATTTTCATACAATTTTTAATTTTATTAAATTAACATTTATTTATTTGATCTTGTTTCAGGTCAGGATGAATCGCTACGTGACCCTGACACAGCTGGGCGATGGCACTTACGGCTCGGTTGTCCTGGGACAGAGGGTGGACACCGGCGAAAAAGTGGCCATCAAAAAGTAAAAAATTTGATTATATTTTTAATTAAATTGAAACTAAAAACATCTTTTGCAGAATGAAAAGAAAATACTTCTCCTGGGACGAGGCGATGAGTTTACGTGAAGTTAAGGCAAGTTTTTGGAAAAGAAAAAAATGGTTAAAATTCTAATAGAAAAATTAAATTTCCAGTCATTGAAAAAGCTCAGCCACACCAACGTAATCAAACTGAAGGAGGTGATTCGAGAGAATGACACATTGTACTTTGTATTTGAGTACATGAAGGAAAATCTCTACCAACTCATGAAAGAAAGGTTGAAACATTTTCAAGGAATTTTAAACCAAATCTATTAACACATTTAAATTTACAGAGATAAGCTTTTTCCGGAGTCGGTGGTGCGCAACATGATATTCCAGGTGTTGCAAGGTTTGGCCTTCATGCACCGCAACGGGTTCTTCCACCGGGACATGAAGCCCGAAAATTTGCTATGCTGCGGACCGGAGCTCATCAAAATTGCAGACTTTGGCCTCGCAAGGGAAATTCGCTCACAACCACCCTACACGGACTACGTTTCAACTCGATGGTATATAAAAAGCTATAAGAATTAAAACAAAAAAATTCAAATTCAAATCATAATTATCCAACAAGGAAATATAAATAAAACAAATACTTGATTATACTAATTATTTTCAATCCTGAAAAAATTTAAAATGAAAAATAACTAATCGGTTTAATGCAGGATTTTAGCAGAAAAAAATAAACCATCCAATTAATTATTACTTAAAATTAGGTATCGAGCTCCAGAAGTTTTGCTTCACTCAACCGGTTATGGGCCACCCATTGACCTGTGGGCCGTGGGCTGCATCATGTCCGAGCTGTACACGTTCCGCCCGCTCTTTCCTGGCAACAGCGAAATCGACCAGATCTTCAAAATCTGCAGCGTCCTCGGCACTCCAGACAAGCGCGACTGGCCAGAGGGCTTTCAACTAGCAAACGCCATGAACTTCAAATTCCCGCAGTTCTCGCGGACGCCGATAGCCTCACTAGTCCCAAACGCCAATGACGGTGGAATTTCTCTTTTGGAGGACCTGCTCTCGTGGGACCCCGCCAAGAGACCCACGGCCGTCCAAGCAATCAGGTAAAATACTAAATAATAATATTTTAAAAGCCACAAATAAATAAATATTAAATAAATAAAGTTTCTCTGGATGTTGATCCACAATATAAATAAATAAAATTGATAAATTTAAAATAAAAAATTTAATTATGTAACTTTATAAGGTTGATTTTTCAGATATCCTTACTTTAAAATGGCCCAGAAGCTGGGCATGCTGCCTGCAAATTCAACTTCGCACCTCAACCTGACTCAAAGCGGCGTCTCCTACGAACTGCCCATTAGCGGCAAGAGGTGGAAAACTGACGCCGAGTTGGACGATATGTTGGGGTAAGTCGCAGGTATTTATGCACGGTTTGACTTTTGACCCCTAGCTGTTCTTTTCACTAGTGTGAGAGGGTGCCATTTTTCACTTTTTTTTGTCTTTTAAATTTGGAACTCTGAAATTTTCCAAAATCTAAAATTATGCACAAATAAAAAATATCCATGTAAATTTTATTTTTAAAATTAAATTCTAGAGTTTGCAAAAAGATTTTAACATTTTTTTTATCTAAATAATCTAAAATATCAATTTCAATCTAAAAAATAATCTAAAATTGAAATGTTTATTAATTTTAGTAATTGTTTTGAGAGAGTTCCAAATTTTTTTAATCTCAAATTTAAAAAAAAAATAGTCTTCTCTTCTTGCATGCTCTAAACTTTCCGTAGTTTCAACCACCTCATCTAAAACTTTCATCAAAATTTGTTTGGGTTGAAATTTGACTGAATTTTGCCGGTTGCCTCACTGGTTTGCAGCAACTCAATCCCAAACACAGACATGCATCTGCAGCGGGCCCTGCTGAGCGAACGGCCCAGGGCAGGTCGGCCGCCCGCGCCGCCCGTTCTCCTGAGCAGAAGCTGGGGCGAAACCTTACCCACCTCCAAACACTACATCTCTAGGTAAAAATCGGAGAGAAGAAATCACTAGATAAGATAAAAACAGACTAAATATAAATTCGATTATTTCCATCTCATCGCGTGACCCCTGAGCACAAATTTAAATACAGCATTGAAATTCGAATCGGCGCTGATCAAGGCTGAATTATTGAAATTTCAGGGACAACGCAATTTGGAGTCAACGCAACGGCTACGAGCCTTCCACGGTCACTCTCATAGCGCCGGACAAACACAGCTCGCACTACCAGAGATTTGACTCGGCTCGAATCCTCCTGCCTGACAGACACGTCGCTTATGGTAACGATTAGAATTTTTTGAATATATGTTAATTAATTTGATTTATTGCTTTTTGAATGGTGCAGTGACCAAAGGTTCCAATAGCCAGCCGGTGTCCTCCAAAATGTACGCCACCTCTGCTGTGCAGAATGGACGGCCTTCAGCAGCGTTCAACGGAAGGACAGACTGGGCAGCAAAGTAAATTTAAATTACAAAATAATTTTAACCAATGAAATCAAATTATAATATTTATAAATAATTTTGTTTCACAGATATTTACATTCGGACTATTTTTAGGTACTTAAAATAAACCACCCCTGGGCCACTTCAAACTCAGCAATTGAAATAAAAATGGCAAAAACTTTTGAAACAAAGTGAATGTTCTGTGATATACATTTTAAGTTTTAATGACAAAAAATTAAAAAAAAAATAAATAAATAAAAATAGCAACTATAAAGAAAACAATTACTGGAAAGTTGATCATCAAAATGCAAGAGGACCACATCGTCGTTTTTATATCAATTTTTAGTAATTAATTACTAATGAACCTTTAGACTATTAAGAGTCTCTCATAATTTATGCAAATTTATAATTGAAAGAAGTCTCTACTGTAAAAGATTGTAAAAGATGTCTCAAGAGTATGGAATCTATTGTTAGTGTATGAAGACAGTTTATTTCATGGAAAAATCTCATTGTTGTACACATAAATAAAGAATGAAAAAATCCACAAGTATTAAATTTTAGAGCTTTCCAAAGCTTAAAACTTTTGAAATTTTGTTAGAAAATGGTAAATTAAAAGTTTACAAGATCAGTATGTGGAAAGTCGGCTTTCGATGTTTATTTACGTTTATTTCGTGAAAAAAAAATGCTTTTAAAACTACTCTGGATATTTACGGTTTCAAAAATGTGATTAGAAAGAGAAAAATTGATATATCTCTCATGATCAAATTATGTTTTCAATTTGCTCAAAAATAAATAAAATGATACTGTCTCAGAATAATTCAAATGTGTTTCAATCTGTTCTTATCGTTCTTATTAAAAATAATTTTCAAATTGGATTGTTGAAACTTCTGTAGCAAAAAGAAGCAGGAAATATTAAATTTCTAGGACTTCAATAAAGTTCTTATTAAAATAGGAGCAATTTGTGGAAATTTTGTTCACCATTGATGTAAAGACATGATTTTAACATGTCAATTTTTTATATTCTAGAAACTTGCCCGAGTTTAAAAAAAAAATTTTCTGCCCCGAACGTTAGCAATTTTGTGTGCGGATAAATATTTCTTTCATTATTTTATCCAAACTGATAAATTACAATTTTTTTATGTGTGATTATTTAAATGAAAAAATGCCACGTTGACTAAAACAGTGCAGCGTTTATTTCACAAATTTTACAACTAGATTATCCCCCATGATGGCAAAATTGCTGGCAGCAATTTTCCTGGTGTGATGACCATTTCGGAAAAAAACAGGTATTCATGTAATGTAATTGACAAAATCAAGTATACGAAGTTTTACAACGTGAAAAAAAACATTCCCTCTTGCTCTCGGATATAATATCTTGCTTTCACACACAAACTTGGAATGGTCAATCGATCTCATGCATTCTTCTCGTGCACCACCAATTTTTCACCTTTGGCCGGAGAAATTGTATCAGACATAAATGCCGACCCACAAGGCCAAAAAAACGATTCCGCTGCCGAGAAAGATCGAAGCCACCAGTGCGATGAGCAGCTCTTTGAAAATGTATCGGCTAAGTTTGTTGCTGGTTACCTCGTAGACGAAGAACCAGGCGGTGAAGAAAATTCCTATGCCCATCAGCACGCACGTCAGATGTGGGAAGACGGCCGGGTTGACTGGCGACACGTATCGGCTCAGTTGTGACACGTCCATCTAATGAAATTTTTTTATAATTAATTTAAATTATGAGAAAAATTAAGGAAAAACTAAATGAAATGAAGACAACAATAAGCCGGCAAGTCAGTGGAGACGCCCACTTTGGTGCTGTTTTTAAGTGGAATTCAACCGAATTCGCAAGGATGAAACCCTAACTTAATCATTAAAGAGGTAAAGAATGCAAAACCAAAGTAACAAAATCAATTTACCTTGTTATTGATGCTTAAAAACTCAGACAAATCGAAGAGTCGGAAGATGGGAAGGCTTCGATTGCGTGGCCGTCTGTTTACGTGTGAAGTGGGCGTGTCTAGTTCGATAACTTGACGGAAGATGGCACTTTTAAAATCAAAAAATTTTTTTTGATTATTTTTTTTGAAATCTTCATTTTTAATTATTTTTTTTTTTAGATTGAACAAACAAATAATAGTTAATTAATTCCTCTCGTTATAAAAAATCAGGTTCATCGATGTTTATTTATTATTATAATGGTTTTAAAATTATACAAAATTAATTTTGAGTGCAACTAAATTTTTATTTTGGTAGAATTTCATTGACAGGGAGGAAAATCCAGCTTAAATTGCTATGATTGTTTGAAGTTATACTCATGCTGCATTTTTTCTTTAAGATGTTTTAATTATACAACTAATAGCTCTGCAGAAATATTACATGTATATAATTAAATAAATTGTTCTCTTTATCTAGAGGAAACAATAAAGACATCAAGCAACCTTTTAGATTACCGAGTTAAATCAAAATGGCTCAATCTACAAAATTTAGAACAGGAAATCACAAATTTGAAACTTCATTAACAAAATTTAGAGTTAACTCTTCACTCTTAAGCAAGTAACTAAAACATTAAAAAATGGGTTCATCTCTCCTTAAACCTTCTTCTTGACCTTCTTTTTCTTCTTGTCTGAGAAGCTGCTCTGCTTCCTCACGATGCACTCTTTGCAGTACCAACTGACGTCCTCGTCAGGTGGAACCTGAATTCCCACACACGCCCTGTACGTTTTAAGGATTATAATTTAATTCTCAAATAGTTTGGGAAAATCTTTACCAATGGTACCAAGCGTCACAATCGTCGCAGCCGATCATGGGTGTACAATCATCAGGACCCTTGCAAGCAGGGCATATCCAAATTTTGTTGCCAGCTTCATCCTAAAATTGGCGATGGACGGATTTAAACTCAAAGGTTTTTGATTAACTAAATGAGTAAAAATTAAATTAGGAAATATAACACTGAGCCAAAATTTGACATGTTGCAATGAAAATTTTGTCTCTTTTTTAAATTATGGGATAGCTTTTGGGAGTTTCTGTTCTATAATACAGGAATAGAAAAATGATTCAATGGGAGATGGTTTTGCTTTTGCTTGGAGAAAGTTGAAATGGATTGAAATGAAATAAAAATTGAGCGCGACCGCCGAGCTCTCGATTGTTCGCGCGACTCACCACGGTAGCCACAGCGTCACTTGATGGCCTCCTTCTGCTCTTAGATTTATGCTGGCTGCCGTCGTGCTACGGGTCAGGGCAAAAACGCGGGTCAAACTCAAAATACGATTTCTATTGTTTAAGAATCGAGTCAAGAAATAGGCGAGAGGAAACCGAGAAACAACAACAGCTTTCTATATACACTGGTGAGTATAAGAGAGAAGAACTACAGACATGCTGGTGAGCAGGAGGAGTGCAGTTTGAAAATGAAAACACGAGTGAAATAAAAATTGTAACCATCACAATCGAGAGCTCAAATCTACTCAAGAGACCGCGCGCGTGCAGAGGGCTTTTGATTTTAGCGCCTCTGCCCCAACGAGAGTCTTTTGAAAAGACAAACGGATACTCACGATGTAAAATGCAACCGTTTCTGGAACTGGTGCAGGTGGAAGCAGAGGCGGTGTTTTTTTAGGCTCCTCTTTGACCTTGGGTGGCTTTGGCGGCCGAGTAATCAGAGGTGCAAATTTGGCCAGCTCGGGTGGATTCTCAGGCGGCTCTTCCTCTTTCATCACAATTGGCTTGATCACCCTGTTATCAAATTAAATTAAATAAATGAAAAATGACACAGACTGTGAGTTATTGTAACTTACAATTTTCTTGGAGCGTCTGGTGTAGGTGGTCGAGGAGAAGCCGGCGCCAACTTGAGAGTTAGCTTTGGAATGGCAGGAGAACTTGTGTCCGCTCTCTCGTCTCTCTAAAATTTTTTCAATAATTAACATCTTGATCGCAGTTCAATGATCTCAAGCAAAAAATACAAGAAATTTATCTTTAATAATTTCAAACAGTTTGAATAGAACTGATGATAAACATATTTTCAGAAAATTATAGAAATTTTCTTTATTTCTTGTTGAAAAATTATAAAAAATATTAAAGCTTTTTATAAACAAATCTTAAATAACATTAAAAATTTGTGTTCCTTTGTTTTTTTGTTTGTTTAAAAGAAAGCATAAAATTTGAATTCTAATTGACAAATCAATAGGTGCATGCTTTTACTTACAAATACAAATAATGAAATGAAAATTAGTCAACAAAACCACACAAATAATATTGCAGTATGAAAGAAAACGGCAAAATATAAGATGAAAATAGAAATAAAAATAAGAGTGTGTAGAGAGATTATCTATGTACAAATCTGGAGAGTCGCGAGTTGAAACCGCAGTAATTATTGCACACCAATTTGGGAAAATGTTCGAGTACCTGAGACGACAGACCCCAACAACACGTAGTGTGAAGCAACAAACTGTGAAAGAGCTAGCTGTGCCTGAACTAGACCGCAGCACAAGAAGTGCAACATTTTTGTTTGAAAGTGACGAATGTGCCCTAGAGCAACTAAATTCAATCAACGTACGGTTAGGCTTACTTTTCGCGGGTCCGATATTTTGAGCACAATTTTCTAGAAAAATGACTTAGGTTTATTTCAAGGTACAAAATATTTAGACTAAAATTAATTTGAGTAATTTATAAAGACTAGTAGATTTTCCTTGAGTCGATATCGCCACGTGACATGTAGCGAGTTAAGTAGCGCCTTTTTACCTCGCGTTCCTTGCGCTTCTCCTTCTTGTCTTTCTTCTCCTTGACCTTCTTCTCGTCGCGCTTCTTTTCACCCTTCTCTTTATTTTTATTTTTGTCCTTTTTGTCTTTCTTCTTTTTCACCTTCTTCTCTTCCTTCTTTTCCTTTTTGTGTTCTTTACTCTGAAAATTATGAAAAACATAAAATTGAATATATTTTTTAACTTTAAATCAATATAATTTATATTATAAATACACAATTTTAAAATAAAATATAATCTTAAAATCAGAAAATGGATAGAAAAAAGTTACCTTTTCTACAATAACCTCTGTCTCGATGACCTCCTCAGTCACACTTTCCGAGGGCGCCTCAACCTCCAAACTTTTAGGGTGCATGAAGGTGGGTGGTGGCATTGGCATATTGGGCATGGCGGGGTGTGTTGGCTCCTTGCCAGGGAAAGGCAGCCCAGAGAGCAGAGGAGAGGTCATAGGAGGTGGCGGGATGAGTCCAGGAGTTGGAAATCTAGACATGAAGGGGAAAATGGCCGGAGGCAAGATTTCCGGTGTTCGGGGCCGATCGATTGGTCCCTCCATAATGATGTCATCGTCTTCCTCCTCCACAGTGGTCACAGACACCGCTGCCTTGCTTTTCTGCTTCTTTTCCCGCTTTCGTCTTTTTTCCGCCATACGATCTGCCTTAGACAGAATTTCAGGAGTTTTCGGTGCCGACGGAGTACTCGGAGGTGAAAATGTGTCTGACAGAATCACCTCTTCCTCCACGACCATCTCAATCTATAAAAATTTGTTTACGCAAAAGTTTATAACGAATAAACAATTTTTTATTTTATATTACCTTTGGCTCTGAGAGAACCGAGTCAATGACAGAATCAATGTTGGCAAGCCTTCGGGCCTCTTCATGCTTTGGAGGCCCAACCTCCGTGATGGTCACACTCGGTGAGCTTTCCCTTGGCGAGTTCTTGATCGCTTCATCTTTCACTTTAGGAATCTTCTTGAAAATATTGAGCTTCTGTTTGTCTGGGTCAACCAGAAGCTTCTCTGTGGGCATTGTTGGTGCTGGTGGTAGCTTTCTGACGGTGATCTGTTTCAGGGCCTTTAGTTTGTCCAACTCCTTCATGCTGGTCACCTTTTTCTTTTTCGGTGGAGGCGGCTCTTCCCTTTTCTCCACCTAAAAGATACAGTTGTATACATTTTAGTTTGATTTGGAAATTAAGTCATTAATAATATGTTTAGTAATACAAATCTGTTAGATTTGATCCGGATCTGCAATAAAAAAATCTCTTCAGTTTGTGAATTTTAAATATAAAAAATCATTATAAATTGAAAGAGGCATTGTGAATTTTAAGAGAATGGGAATAACAGTCTGACATAAATATTTATTTATACTTCATATTAAAATTAAGATGGCATTTAATTTGGCAAAAATATAGCACAATTTTTACCTTCGGAATTGGAGGTTTAGGAGCTTCTTTTTTCTTAGTTGGCACCTCTTTTTTCTTAGCATTCAGCAAATTTTTACTCATCGACTGCTTCTTCTTGTCCGACTTTGACCCCGGGGTGGCCAATGCCGTGGGAGGGGGAGGTGGTTTAGGATGCTCAAGGTACTCGCTTGGGATGACAGGTGGTTTCGATTCCGGCAGCTTGCCCTCACGAGCAGGCGACAAAAAGCCACTGGTGGTCATTATCACGCTGCTTATCTCCCTGAGGGGTCGACCACCACCCTCTTCTTCCATTGCCAACCTGAAGAGAATGAATTACAATTTGAAACATTGGCCAAGGTATAAATTTTTGTTTTGAGTTAAAAAGTATTAGTTTTAAATACCTGACTCTCTTCATAGCTGGGCTTTCAAGGAGGTCACTGGGTCTCTTAAAAACTGGCGACCCTGAGGCATTGGGTGACATAGGCCCTCCACTAGCCAAGTCCCCAGTTCCACCGCCTTCTCCAACATTTGTCCCATTTTTTGAGTTTTCTATAAATCAAATTTTAAATATTTTTCTTCCGCAACTATATTAGTAAATTTTTACTAACCCTCAAGATCAGGATGCATAGGGGGCAAGTGTTCGTGGACATGAACAGGTCGGTGGACAACCTCGTTACTGCCTGGCTTGAGGAAGTTGAGGTGACTCTCCTTGGGCAGAGGGTACTTGGGCACATTGTACGGAAGTGGCATGCTTTCCACATTCTTGACAAACTCCTCCAAATCCTGTATCTGAACTCCCAGGTCTTCAAAAGCCAGTCCCAAATGGTCCAAGTTTGGCTGAGTCTGATTGACTAAAATAGTTTCAAACAATGTAAATGGAATTGTTCTAAGGGAGTCTTAAGCTGGATAAATTACATTGCTCAGAATATCGGTGCGTCTGGACGCAGATTTGCTTGAGGTGGCGGTGAAGAAGATCGACCATAATGTCCAGAGGTGTTGCGTGGATCGAGTGCCAGCCTAGTTGGCTGCACACCTGAGCCACCACGCTCTGGAGCACCTTCCGAGAGAACTCGTCCATCGTGCAGTTAAGGACTTCTGGAATAGATAAAAATTTCAAAATTTTTATTGCAAAATAAAAATAAAAAAAAATATGAAAATATATAAATTTCTTGACATACATAACACTGACGCTTTTTGAAAATAAAATCAATAATAAGATATTTTCATATTTTTTGTTCTAGAATTTAATTAAAGAATGATAATGGAAAAGTACTTGAGCAATTTTGAGAGACGAAAATGTGTTTTACTATTGTTTTTTTGACAAAAACATTAAAAAAGTATACCTTTCAAATTTAGCCGATGTTGTTGTTAATCGCCATTGATCGCCATGTTTGTAGGTGACGTCATAAAAGTGGAAATCAGCAGAAGGGTAGTGGGCGTGGCAGGGCACGAATGAAGAGCAAAGTCGGCAGAATGACTCCGAAAAAGAGAAACAGCACCAGAAAAACTATAAATTTTAATTAGCGAGTATCGATTCAGCGATAATATATCAGCAGTAAGATAAAACCGCAAGTGGTCAGGCGATTTCAAATCCTTGCAGAGTTTGCAGCTGTCATATTGACGCCGAGACTGAAACTTCTACAAGGTATTAACAAAGCACCTTCAAAAACACATTTTTTGCACGTGATTTTTCACTCATAATTAATGCAGAAAATTAAGATAAACGTGAAATTTTAATCACCTGCCCGAATCAGTATGTACTCAAGTAACCTTAAATTTTATTTTGATACCTTTAAATTTAAAATAATAATAATTATCATTTAAATTTGCAATAGTTTTTGTATCAATTGACTTTCAATAAAAACAGCGACCCCTCTTTAATCAATCTATTAATTTATTTAATGCCTTCATAGATACGTCCTTGAATTATTATTTACTGCCAGCCGAATTTGACTGTCGAAAATGGCTGAGCCAACCTTCGGAGTCGAGGACTACCTAGTCTTTGCCCTGATGCTCCTAATCTCAGCGGCCATCGGTATTTACTACAGGTTCACCGGAGGCAAACAGAAAACCATCAGGGTATATTTATATTTTTTTCACTCTGCAATCTGTATATTAATTTTGATTCCATAGGAGTACCTTTTGGCTGACAAAAATATGTCCATTGTGCCGGTGGCTTTTTCACTGATGGCCAGTTTTATGTCTGCTGTCACCCTGCTTGGAGTCAGCTCTGAAAACTACAGCTACGGCACTCAGTTTGTTATGATCAACATTTCCTACGGACTGGCCACGCCAATCGCTGCCTATGGGTACCTGCCCGTTTTCTATGAATTGCAAGCCACCAGTGCCTATGCAGTATGTACAAAATTTTCTAATTCAATTTCATAACAAAATTAAACGTTTTATTTCAGTACTTGGAAAGACGTTTTGGAAAAGCAACCAGACTGTGTGCCTCTGTTGCCTTTTCCTTCCAAATGATACTGTACATGGGCATTGTTTTGTACGCCCCGGCTCTTGCGCTCTCTGCAGTGACAGGAATCTCGTTGCTTGCCTCGATATTATCAGTCGGTATCGTCTGCACTTTTTACTCCACCATAGGCGGCATGAAGGCTGTCCTTGTAACTGATGTGTTCCAGGTAAGCTCTCTTATCAATTCAAGGGATCAAAACACATACAAAAAAATAATAATTTGTGTATTTCACTTATTTTGTAGATAAGCGTAAAAAAAGTATAGATTAAAAATACCATTAGCAATTAAAAATAAAAATAATCAAATACTACAAAATATGTGCAAAATACTTGTTAGGTATTAAACTCAATATTTTTTTTACTAGTCGGTGCTCATGTTTGCTGCAGTTTACTGTGTTATCATCAAAGGTGCCATCGACGCTGAAGGGTTGGACAAAATTTGGCAAATTGCATACGAAGGAGGCAGAATTGAGTTTTTTAAGTAAAACGTTCACAAAACATTACATATTTTTGGTAACTGATATTCTTTTAAAATAGTTTCAGCTTTGATCCAACAGTCAGACACACAGTCTGGTCTCTAGTAATAGGCGGTGGGTTTACATATCTCACTCTCTATGCTGTCAACCAGGCTCAAATCCAGCGTCTTCTTTGCGTAAAGTATTAGTTATTTATATTATTTGTATTCATTTTTAATCAATTTTTTTGTTTAATATTCAGAAGCCTAAAGAAATCTCAGCAGGCTTTATGGCTCAATTGGCCCATTTTGACAGCCCTTAGTTTGAGCACTTCATTCTCTGGTCTAGCCATTTACTCTCGTTACTATGACTGCGACCCTTATGAGGAGAAAAGAATTGCTTCTAAGGACCAGGTATGTACTAACAGCAGTTAAAAAGTATTATTTAAAATAAAAGTTAAAACTTTTCAGTTGCTTCCACTCTTTGTGGTCGACACCTTGAGCAATCTTCCAGGCCTACCTGGACTTTTTGTTGCTGGAATTTTTAGTGGCTCTCTGAGCACGGTTTCCTCTGCAGTAAACTCTCTTGCGGCAGTGACTCTTGAGGATTACATAAGAGTGAGTCAAAAATGTAAAGCAATTTAACTGTTTTAACTGTAAATTAAATTTTAGCCCATCTTGGCCAGAATGGGGAAGAGCGAAAAGTTGTCGGACAAGAATTCCACATTCCTGTCAAAAATTTTGGTTCTCCTGTATGGCAGTTTGTGCATAGGAATGGCTTTTGTGGCTCAAAACTTGGGAGGTGTTCTGCAGGCGTCGCTGACTATCTTCGGAGTTGTCGGCGGACCTTTGTTTGGGACTTTCACCCTTGGAATGTTCTTCTGGATTTCAAATCAAGTGGTATGTTTTGTTTATGAGCTTTTCTTTCTTCATAAACTATATTATTTTATTAGGGTGCCATATCAGGACTAGCTATCGGAATGGCTATTTCGCTTTGGATAGGTTTTGGTGGGCCTAAGCCACCCCCACCTTATTTGCCAGTTAGCACTGAGGGTTGTGAAGATCCTACATACAGACTCCTCAGGATGGCAAACGCCACTACTGCTGCTATTAAGTATGGACTCTTGCTTTATTTTCTTCAAAATCAGTTTTTAATTTTTTGTTTTTTAAATTTTTGCAGAGATGATTCAGAGTATTTTTACTTGTACCGCCTCTCCTACATGTGGTACGTGGTGATCGGCTTTTTTGTCACACTCCTAGTAGGAATCGTCGTGAGCTTTATTTACGGCAAATTGTTCCTCAAAGAAACGCAACTGGTCGAGGCAAATCTCTTCAGTCCATTCATCCAAAGAATTTTACCCAGAGAGTTTAAAGAGGTATTTTCAATTCTCGCACTAACTTTCTTAAATACTAATGTTTTATTTCTTTTCTTTCAGTTCAAAGGTGTTGCAACGATTGGTTCTTTAGATAGGGATATGCACAAAGTTGGCGCACGTGGCGCTAGAGTCAGCGACGTTGAAACCAGCACCAAATTTTAGTGAGAAAATAGTGAAAACATTCCGAATTATAAACCCACCTGAAAATTGGGTAAACTTTTTACTTTGTTTTAAGTTTGTTTGGAGATGTTATAAACTGCCAAATTATGCTTTTTACGGTTGTGATTGTTGGAAATTTTATTAAGGTGCTTCAGATTAGTTAAGATTTTATCGGATATTACTATGTTTCCGTTTGAGAGGCTATTTTTTAAATCCATTTTTAGTTTTATAATATGTCATTTTTGATTCATCAGTTCCGGCTCAGGCTTTGTTATTTAAGTGAGCGCGTCTTTTGACGTTTTTTTATTATAGCAGAATTACTGCTAGTATTTTTTTCTGCGTAAATTTGTATTAAATTACCCAAATTTTCTTTCTAAAAAGGTAAACTACAATGATGAGAAGTGTTACAAAACTGTTAAACTGATATCAAGCATAAAAATGCTGTACTGTGTTTTAGATGCCAAGAGCTTGTATGTAATGACTGTTGTGAGACAATAATATTGTGACAATGCTGATTTTCAAAAAATAAAATGAAGTCTTCCATTGTGATTTAGCAAAAAATAATTTAAGATGTTTAAAAATGATTGTTACAAAGAAAATGTTGTTTGAGTATTCGCCTCGAAGGGCAATCTATTAAAACAGTTATTGGGCTACAAACATTTGACTTTTGACAGATAAAGTTTCTCTGATCTACTCACATAGCTGCTCGAAAAGCATGTCCTGCACACAATGATAGTCACATCATTATTTTCTTAATTACCCTGGCTGAGACAGTTTGAGAAAAGCTGAAGGAAAGCGATAGTGCACGCGGCTAAGTTCCATTTGAGAAAGAGACGAGCTCTGCTACAGTATTCTCAGAAGGTGTGTTTCAACCTTCTATTCGTAATTTAGAAGTATATATATATATTATAATATTACAAACAGTCGTATAGCAATGAGAATGATATGAGAATATTTTTTACTTGTCCAAAGTGATCGGCTACAAAAATATCAGAGTGCCTCTTTTGAAAAAGAGCGCCTATGGTCTTAATTTGCTTCTCTTGTATTGTTTTTACTGCTTTCCGGTTTTTAAAAGGGCTGAAAAGTTATTTTAATTTTCCATTTGAAAAATGAGAAACTCAACCAGTGATACAACTTTTCAAAAAAATTCCAGTTGCACTTGACCAAATTCAAAATGGTCTTTAGTAGCTTTGACGTTGAGTGATGCGGCAATCCAGAGATTGTCTTTGAAGAGGAAGGAGCATGTTTGAAGAAATTAACAGCTCCCCACATATAAGAAACAGCAGTTCCAACTCACGACGAATTGAGCAGCCAAGGATGACGAAGACACTCAGCCGCAGTGGCCCTTTCGTCTGGGTCAAAAGCTAACATAGGGAGCAGGAAGTCTGCAAACTGTTGTGCGTCTGTTTGGTCCCAGTCGTACTTTTCTGTTAAAACCTCCAGCAGGCTCCACGGCTTCAATCTAGTAATATGTCTCAGCTCCCCTTATTTAAAAAAGAAACCAGTAAATACCTTTTCATTTTAAATCAAAAGCAGCTGATTTTATACCCTTTTTATTAAAGAATTCCCTGGAGTATTTCCCTACGTAGAGAATGTGGTCTGGCAAGTTTCCGAGCAGCTCCATGACGTGTGCTAAGTGATCTTCATCTCGAGAATAATCTTCACCAGAGTGGGGTTCAAAGAGAAAGTCTCCTGTTGCTAATTCAAAAGCCTAAGAAGCATAAAATTTAGCAAGAGATTTTTTGTACCACTTATTTTTTTTACCATGCAAGCAGTGCTCCAAATGTCAGCAGGAGTGCTGTACCCTGCGCCTAACAAGACCTCCAGGCTGCGATACTGTCTGGTCTGGATGTCTTCAGTGAAATGATGGTCCTGAATCATTAGAAATGAATACTCTGGCAAAAAATCTAATACCGTTTCTTACCACCCAGCAGGCATTTCCGAGATCTGCTATTTTGACTTGGACATCACAGATCTCGAACGCTGCGTCGGGATGACTAATGATGTGCGACCTGTGGTCAGGACAGGACGCCACCCTACGGAATGTGTTATCTGAAAATAAATCAAATAGTGTCGTCAAAAAGTGCTAATTAAAATATGTGTTTATCAGTTACATTGTAACAAAAAATATCAAAAAGCGCCTGGAATGTCAAAAAATGCAACCTGCGTGACATTGACGCAGACCAAATTGCATAACTTAAATGACATAAAAATACGTTTTAATCACTTTTTAATTTTGAAAATACATTGAATTTGAAAAAAAATGCTTACCTGATTGACCCTCAGGAAGCAAAGTGTTGGGCGTCTTTGTGTCCTCCATTGCTTGGCTTTCACTTCGGTTGAGAGGCGTACGTTCTCTCACCGTTGCATGTCCATTACAGAGCTCCTCAGGGTTTTCCTGATTTTGCGCCGAAGCCACAATCTCCGCATGCTCCATTTCTGCAAAGCTTCTTCTGTTCTCCAGGCCTATGACTGATATTAAAAAATTAGCTAACATGTTTACTCTCAGATTGAACTAACAATTTTTCAATTTCCTGCTGTCAGCGCTATCCGACGATCCCTGTATGATCGACCTGACTGACGAAATGATGGCCCCGGCGCTTATGCTGGAGCTGAGCAGCCGTTCTCCTGGCAGCTCCCACGAAGTCAGTGCCCCCAGAGCGCTGTTACTGCGGTCCAAAAGGCGGTCAGTGGCGCCTCCGTCGGACTCGCAGTCACCCTCGGATCCTGTGGCCCTCAACTCTTCCTCCACCCACGAACATTGCCCCTTTGGCCGTCTCTTCAGCTTTTTTCGTCGAAGGTTTGCTTTTGGGAAGTGCAGTCTTGGCGCCATACTGCTACCCTCGATAACAGAATGCGCAGGAGATGAATGATGGCTCTTCTCATCCCGAGGCGTCGGAGCCGTACTCACTGTCAACAAAATGCAGCCTACTTAATTCCAATTTATTATTTATACCAAAAAACAAATAAATATAAAAACTGGATATTTATAAAAAAATTCACCAATATATTAATTTCAATAAGTTTTAGCAGTTTTGCTTACCTAGAGATCCTGGCAGTTTGAGGCCCATTTTTTGCCACTGCGTCGCGTCGGAAGCTAATTTCTGGATGTAGTTGTCCGAAACACACAGCAATATGTTCTCTGGCTTGATATCGGTGTGAATTATCCTGCACTTGGTATGCAGGTAATCCAAACCTTCAAGCACCTATCACAAAAACCAAAGAAAATTTACAGAGACATGAAAATATTATAATAATAAATAATTTAATTGATTAAAAATGAAAAATAATTGTCTTCTATTGAGATAGGTGCTTGCGTATTGCATGATTTTACTGACTAATGAAGAGGATGGTCAGCTAATGATTGAAGGGAAGTAAATAAAAAGATAAATTACCTGTTTGATGATGAGTTTGACGTTTGACAGAGGAATGCCTTGGTAGTTACTTCTGATAATGAGTTTTAGCAAGTTCGAGCCAAGCACTTCGAACACCATGCACACGTGGGTGCCATTCACCCCCGAGATCTTGAAATCGTCCAGTAGCGCCACCGTTTTGTCTTTCTTAGGATCACTTGCGTCACTGTCACGCACCTGAGGGGATGGAATTATTTTCAGAAATTCGAAGTTAAAAAAAAATACTGACACATTTGAGCAATTTGATTTCATCGAGCGCCGTCTCCGTGTAATGAGATGCACTCTTTACCACCTTGAGGGCCACAAACTGCTTTGCTCTGCAATTTAAAAAAAAAGCTCGAGTCACGAATGCGGTTCGATCTTGATTCTTATGAAAAGCCACTTACATCAGATCCCAGCAAAGCCAGACTGTGGAAAAGTGGCCCCAACCAAGTTTGCGCACCACATGGTACCTGCCGTGGAAAAGGTCGCCGATAGACACTGGGTGGTACCCACCTAAAGCACGTGAGTGTTTTTTGCAAAGAGTGGAAATTTAATAAAAATGTATGCACCTTTGCAATAGTCCTTCGGATCTTCCTGCTCGTCGTCTTCCGAGTTGTGTATCAAGCTCTCGTCATCCTCTGTTTTCTCTGACGTTTTCCATGGCTCTGACCTAAAAGATTTTATTATAATTCAATTAACTTGCAGCTTAGTAATAAATTCATTCTATAATTCATTTATATAAAATAAATTACAATATAAATCAGAAAAGAGAAAAAGGACGAAATAGGTGTATGAAAAAGTAAAAAAAGTGAGTGATAGGGCTTAACATACAAATTAGAGAAAGGTGCGAAACATTCCATTTCAACTATGTATTCTGATTACTCATTTGTGTGTATTTCTAATTTTTCTATTAAAAATTAAACGATCTCTACTAAAACTGCTAAAAGGTAAACAGGTGATGACGAATACAGACAACAATTTTTTTTTAATTCGTCTAAATCTGGACCCGAAAAGAAGAGATTCGGAGTGAGAGGCGCGTCGCACCCTTTCGTCTTTAAATTTAGCGATCACATGTGCGCAAACTGTTTTAAAAAGCAGCCGGCCAGATTTGGCTCCGGGCCAGATATATTCGTCGTGCCTTTCAAGAATGCCAATGCTCTTCTGTGGAGAGCATTGGACCTATAAGAGCGAGAGCGTTTCTCTCCCTCACGGGCTCGACGTCTCGCCGGACTTATTGTTAAAGGTGAACAATAAATATAGCTCCAGTACCATTGAAAAGATTTTGTTATTTTTCTCTGCTCGAGACATGCCAGGTATATTTTACCGTTTCTTGTAAAATCAAATTTATTATCTTCATTTTATATGCAGGTTCCTCGATTAAAACTTGTTAAGTCTTAAATAATATTCAGTACATTTTATTTTTTTATTTTTGTAGGAAAATCGTTTGTTTTAATTCAAATAGTACGTGATTGACCCTCTTTTGACGGAGCATTCAGCTGGTGCGGTTCGATTGAGCACGCGGGCGGGAAGAGAAGTGGAGCAATGCACCCTTTTTCTCGCGGGCGCCCTACTTCAGTCCTAATATGCTACTATGTTAACCACTCTAGTATATACGGCCTCCCTCGCTGCGCATTTTACTTCGTCCGCGCAGTTTTCATTTTGATTGCACAGCTAGCAATGCACATACGTACATGTGTGTCAGAGAAACAGACAAAGAGTTGCTACACGAAACAACAAAAAGCTCTGGTGCTGGTCGGCGCTGACAACAAATTGCAAAGGCTTCTTGCAAGAGACAAAAGTTTTGAATTCGAAGTTACAAAATTATGACATTATAGGATATATTTCTGGGTGATACTTCCAGCAATTAATGAATTAAAAATTTTATAATACAAAATACAGCTAAAAATTTAAAAATTTCCGGTTTAATTTTGGATATTTATATATAGACAACTTTAAAAAGCCCTTTTCTATTATAAATCTTTGAGAAACTTTTAACAGAATGACACTGTTTTCTATACAAATAATAATTTTCAACTAGAGAAATATTAAATTAACATTCAATGATTTAAAAGAAAAGAATGTTAATATTTAATTATCTGATAATATTTTGACTGCAGATTTTTTTAATGCTGTTTCTTTAATTTAAAAATGTTTCTCTTAATACGACCGTATAGTCCATGTCAAATAATGAAACTTTTTGTATTTTGTCTGCTCCGTTTTGCAAAGAGCTTTTCCCTTTGTTTACCGTTGTCTTTTGTGTAGACCTTGCTCGTGCTATTCAAATCGCTTGGCAATTCCATTATCTAGAACAAGTGCTGCAAAGAGGCTTTTTCACAGCAAACAGTTTTTGATCACCGTTCCCTTTCAAATAATGAGGAAGAAGAAAAATATCACACATAATTATACAAAATCTTGTTCCTTTAACAAAAAAGTCAATATTGTAAACCTACAGATCCTACTGAGATGAAAATTAATATTTTTACCATAAAAAATATTTTCAAAGGGTAGCTCAATTTATTGTTTTTATAACAAAAATGTTAATTTTCAGTTTAAGAAGTTTTTCCAATTTTAAAAAATCTTTGAAAAAAAAATTAATTCTTACAAAAAGGGGATGTTTGGGGGCGTCTCGTGCAAGCTGGCCTCAACGCTGGAGGCGGAGGACGACCTGCTGCTGCTTTTGGAGGTGTTTCGGGTCGGACTGACCGACCGCCGCCTCCAGCAAGCGTGTCCGCGGCTGCAGCCGCCCCACCTGCGCCTCCGGCTGACGATGGACACGATGAAAATGACGGTCATGACCAGCAAAGCCCCGAGAACGTGGGCCACATACGGTGGCCCGTCGAAGCGCTCAAAGCGTCTCGAGGGCGCCGAGTCGTCTAGGCACTGCGCGTAGGACGCCCCGCCGCCCACCAGGTTCACCCTGAGCGTGTAGTTGAGGCACGGGCTGCCGTCCAGGGACAACCACTCAAAGCGCATGGAAAAGTGCTCGGCCGCCGGACGCGCCAGACACTCGCCCGCCATCGTCTCTGGCTCACCCACCGGTCACTTCAGCATTGCATCCAATCAATGTGCTAATTGAAACTTACTTTGAGTCACTCGATTTTATTAAAAAATTCATAAAATTTATAATTTTAAGTCAGTGGGGGTTGCATTTTCACCATTTTCAGACTGAAATGATTGAGATTAATTTTAACAATGGAATTTTTCCCAAAGTAATTTTTGCCTTTGAATTGTTATCAAAAATTAGTCTTTTTTAAACAAAGTTTCTAAAAAAAAATTGAGTCAAATTTAGCCCTGGTGAATACGAAGATTTCTAAACTTTCAGTAGGATAATAAAAAATAATTTTGTTTCTCTTTTCCTCCAAATGACGGCACTAATTTTTTTATATTAATTGGATCTCAGTTTTACTTTATTTCTTCATTACATTGAAAAATATCGACTTAAAAAATTTTGGAAAACGGAGCGATTAGAAAGAATCGAAATTCTAAAAAAATACCGATTTCATTTTGCAGAGAGTTTTACAAATATAAAAATTTCATCCATGTTTGCATCTTTGAGTGATCAATGAATACATATTATAAATTGCAAGCACGCAGTTTTCCCAATATAAATAGCTCTGGAATAATTTTCTCTCACAAAATTTGTTCAACGTTGTTTGTTGGAAAAACTTGTCACTCCCAATTCCCTTGCATTTCCTCATTTGCAATTTCAAAAAGCAACGAGTTGTGATCTCTGCAAATATAATTGGCGACGATAATGAAGTCTGTTTGCTGTACACTCTTGCAACAAATGCTCCGCGAATCGAAATAATGAGCTCCCATTCCATCGCGCGTCGACATCGAGTATTACCCTCTGTGAACGCGGAATCGATACGCGTCGCGTTGTTGTTATTGAATAAGCCTCCGACTCGAGTGCTGATGGGTTCACCAAGTACATATATATGTACATGTGTACCGACGGACGTACGTTTTTTTTTTACATATCCCCTGATAACGAAAACACTAAAAATAGAATCACCCACGGCGCGTATGGATTTTCCAGGGCCGTGAGTTTGCCCTCTCTCACGCCAATCGCATTGACTTTCAAATCAAGAGATGGTTCAAAATTAGCCGCTTTTCAAGGTTAGGCACGCCGCGTGACAAGCGTGTCGTGCCGGTTGCATAAAAATGCCTTCTCAGAGACGGAAATTATTCCAGTAGCTGTTGAGGAAAAACTATAAGCAGTGGACAAACAACTTTGAGCGAGCTTGGGTGTAATTTTATTTCATGGACAAGGGCCAAAAAGACCATGTGCGTGTATCATGCGCAGTTTCTTGTGTGACGCCGAAGCGTCGTCCGATCTGACGCGCAAATTTTCAGCATGATCATGACAAAATTACTTGGCACACAAAGTAATGGCAATAGGGAAGAACATTGAGTTGTTCTCCAGATTTGAAAAAAATTTCGATTATTTGAAATGCAGTTTAAAACAAGAAATTTTAAATTTTAGCAAAATTAAAATAATTTATATTGAAATTCTATTTAAATACTTTAAATTAATTTATTGAATTAATTTTTAATCACCGTTTACTTTTTTCTAAATTAATTGATGTGGATATTTTTTCTTTGTTTACATGCAAATTTTATGTTATTTAATTCTTCTTATTGTTAGAGGGAAATTGTTTTGTTTCTAAAACCCTATTTTATCAAAATTTGAAATTTCTAAAAAACTTTTTCCTTTGATTATTTTATATCCGAGATTACTTTAAAAGAGAAATTAATGGAATCAGAAGCAACCTTTAAATCATCTCTTAGCATTGGTTCCCAATGAGTTCAGACTTTTTGATCTCGGTCTGGACAAAGTTTGGAAATTCAGTGGTGAAAAATGCAAGCCCCAGAGACTCACGCACACGGGCGCGGAAGAGATTGCGCGCGACCAAAATTAATTTACCGGGGGCGAGAGAGTCGGCCGGTTACCGCAGAGGCGTCCGCATTGTCCGCACTGCAGCCGTGGACACAGAGCCAGCAAAACTGAGAGACACACTCGCCGAGGCGGCGAAACGGAGCCCGACGGCGCGAAATAGCGCCAGCCCCTCCGCCTTCTCGCGGCGCACGCAAAATTCGCCTGCCCGTTGCTTAGAATACTGTTCGTCTTGTTTATTTCCGCGCCCTCTTGTCGAGAATTAAATACCCAGCGGGCCACATAAACGACGGACGCTTTTATGTACGGCTTCCTTCTGCCAAAAGCCGATTAATTAAAGAATAATCATATAATTCCATTAAAAAATAAAAGTCTTTCTCAAGTCCTTGAAATTTTACTAAAGAAGGAGTATAAAATTAGTGTGTATAGTTGAAAAACTATAAAAATTTCTAATTGATATTTCTATTTTGGAAAACCATTAACATATTGAATTGTTGGAAAAAATGGCACCACAAACCACTACAGCAAGAATGCTGCCGAAAATTTTGCGATCAAAAAGATTCCATCCGCCACAGTGACCAAATTATTATATAAGAATTCACTTTTGTAACCATAAAATTCTAGCATGACTGCAAAATTGAAATCAGCAGACCGTCACTTCGGCACATTTCCGCTTCTGGTCACCAACTGAAAACATTTCAATTAGGGCTGGAGCAATTATCGCGAGATGCAGACCGAAATTAATGTAATTTGAGACAAGTGCCTGCCTCTCTTTGTGTCTGAAACTCCTCAGGCGAAATGGAAAATGGCCCATTGAAAAGCTGTTTGTTGAGCAAGTATAAAGCGGAGCCGTGGCAGAAAAAAGTTGTCGCTCGCGAAACGATCGATGCGCGCGGACCGAGCCGAATCAACACACGTTGGACTGAAAAAGTTTAATTAGAAATGGATCTCGACTGATGATATAACTCTCCAGCTCTTTCTCCCCCGCCCCTCGTCTCCGCCCAGAGCGACAGCAGGGTTAGTACGTGGCCGGAAAAGTCGGTAATGGAGCAGAAAATCAGAGGTGCCCTCGATCTAGATCTCTCTTTCTCATCTCGTGTAGCAAAGAGATGTTGCAGTTGGGAACCGCCATATAAATCGCAAATTGCAGTCGGGCGTGCACAATGATCTGGAAATTTTAAGGCGAACCGCGAGCTTCCTCTTTTCAGGGGAGCTTAGCAGAGTGGAAAATTCCTGGAAATTCTTTAATGAAGTTGAGTATTTGCTGAGAACTTGGTTAAGAGGCTTTCAACCCTTTGACGTCACTTGAAATACTGACTGGCGGAGTCCTTGGCCTTAATTAAGTATAAAATAAAACCGGAGAGTTTAAAATTGCGTTTATTTTAATGTAAAAAGCATAAGAGTATTAACTTTTTTCAGTTTTTTACTCAATTTCAATACAGCCAAAATATTATTTCTGATGGAGATGATCTCGAGAAAATTTAGTTTATATTATAATACTACTTTTTTTACTGACGCAGGCCAAAAACGTGAACATAAATGCACGAGTTAAAAATTTTTAGGGAGAATTTCAAGGAAAGTTCAAATTAAATTTCTTGTAGGTTTTTCACGACTTGTATTTTGTATTTCATGCAGTCATATTATGCTTGTTGTGGTTTGTGGTAATGTGGTGTTTATTTTTTCTTTTAGGAATTAGTTTCCTTAAGATCCGTTAAATTATGTTCAAGACTGAGTGTTTGCGGTTCCATTTACGTCATCAATTTAAATTCAAGTTTGGCAAATATTTATTACATTTAACGGAATTTATATATAAATTATAAAAAAATCAGTCGATCTTTCATAGACGTAACTGACATAACATGAAAAACTTTCTTGCAAGAAATTTCAAATCTTCACATCGACACCAAAAAGAGACTATAAATTTTCTTGCACGTCCAAAAACTTTGCAAAATAATACTTCACAAATAAAATATTGTGCTTTCTATTTTCACCTATTTTATGGCTTCAAAATTTTCAAAAAAAGCAAGAATAATAATTATCTCATTTTTTTCCATAGTTAATAACTGCTTTTTCTTAATGTTTTAATGGAATAAATTAATTTAAGTTTTTGTCTGTTGACAATAAATATCTTTACTGAAAATTTTGCTAACCCAAATCTTGCATCGTTAAAACCACGAAACAGCAAACAACCGTTCCGAGAACTGCGAGCGTGTTTCGGCTGCAAAACGGCGCCGGGGCAAACAGGTTGCCCTTGTTCACAGGGGCCCAACAAAGGCTCTCTGCAGAAGGCGATTATATTGTTGGGGGCTAATTGCAGAGGGTGGTGCGCGGCGTGCATGCAAGCCTGTTTTGTCTCGGCCAGTGCATGTGCTCTCGGCACAGGTACATTATATATAAATGTATATAAATTGTAGGTACCCAAGTGTACAGTACGTGTGCACACGCGATCAATATTAGGCGAGCGCGAGGCCGCGCGAGGCATAAACCAGAGAGTGAGACTCTGCCGAATTCACATCCACACAAACTCACTCACACAAAGCGGCCCGGCGCGCCCTTTAAAGCGTCCGCCGCGGCCACTCTTTTTCTGCGGCCCCAATTCCCTTTTTGTCACTTTTGTTTTACGAGATGGCGAGCCCAGCAACAGCCTGTAAAATGTGCACTCGGCTCGCGGCAAAACAAAAAAGAATATAAAACCAAAGACGAAACGAGGGTTGGATCCAAACTGAATGGGGGAGAGCAGCAATTTTTGCAATCCCTCGAGAGTTTTTAGTGTTTTTTATTGCATCGTCATCAGAATTGAGAGAAAATATCCTCAAATTTTCACCATGTGAATTTTAGATTAACTAAATAGCAATAAATAATCTCTAAATTCAAGTTTCATAAAGCAGAGACCAGTTTAAAAAATAAATTTAAAAATTATTACATTATTCCTATTATTATTGTTTATTTGTCCACATTGTTACAGACAAATACATTGCTTACATTCTAAAGTTAAAATAAATCAATGAAAAATAAGTAAATAATTCAAATAATCTACTGATTATTGCCGAATTGTTTCATCTTATGTTAGTTACTAAGAAGTATAAAAAACAATCTAGTTATTTGGTTATTTTTCTCTAAATTAGCATTGGTTTGGTTTGTACATGTCTATTCCAAGGAGACATGACAAGAACAATTGAATTCAATGGGAAGAATTTTGAAAACCAAATTTCTTTCTGGAATATACAATTTTTTTTTCAAAATTGATATGATTGAATTTTCATTCCTAGTCAAAATCAAGTTAACAAAAAAAAAAAATCAATTGGTAACAAGAAATCAATATTTAGTTGATCTAATGGAACACGCGGCTCAGCAAACATTTTCCTCAAAAGTAAATACCCTAAAAGAAAGCTCATCGTTAAAATGATGGCAAAAGTAATGAGATTCTATAGAAAACAGCCTGGTTCAAAATCATTCACTTTATTCAATCATCCAAAAAATTTAATCGAGTCTCTTATTAATAATATACAATTTTTTTTTTATCAAACTCCATATTTATGGAGAAAAAATATTGGAGCAAGTGCCAAAATTCTATTAGGGGTGTTTTTATTTTATCTCCTTTTCCAAATGAGGTAACGCGCTGGAGAAAAGTTGACGCCTTCTGCTTACTTTTTACTTTTATGTCAACAGACTCTCGCAAGCCACTTTTCCGATACAAGAAGCGCGTCTTTTTATCATCGGCGTAGATGAACAGCCTCATCAAGTCAATATGCATTCAGCTTTTTTTCTCGAGCAGCTCGGGAAAATGTGCTCAATTTTCCACCGCGCTCTGCTGCGAGAACGCGGAGATGAAATTTCCCCCGGAGGTAACGGCAGCGCTAATGGGCAAAGATTTTCGCAGGAATATTAAATTCGCTGCGAGCGTCTCGCGCGTGTATTTCTCCTTTATGTATTCGGAGCGCCTGAAAAAATACATATAACGTGGGCAAAAATTCCAAGAGCGATAAAAGCGAGCGTGAAATTGCGATGGAATTGGCGTCATGAGGGCTGATGAATAATTCGCACAACTCTCCTTTGACGTCAGTTTTGCATCATGACGACGAGCGAGAGTGCTTGCGAGAGAAGGCTTAGCGCGAGCGTCCCGCGAGAGAGTCCGATGAATATTTGATTGAGGGCTGTGAGTGACACAATACAGGAATTTACATGTCATACATGCTGTGTTCACACGTTTTGCAATTATGTCAAACTTTTTTATCTAACTATTTATAAATAAACTGTGCTTGATTGACGATTGACAACGCAGATTTATCTGTAAATGCTCCATTTTACTAAAAAAAAATTATTATTGAATTTTTTTATATGCCAATCAATGCCAATGAAACAAATAAATACAGGACAGAGCAAGGAATAAATTTTTTTTATTTATTTAACTATAATTATTTTATAGAGCTCATGCTAGACATTCATGCATTTTTCAATATTAAGAGTTGTAGGGTTAGATAATTTGCTTTTTAGCAATATACTGGAACAGGATAATGGAAAATAAAGTCAATCCAAATTTTAAATGTTGTGGCTAAACTAACTGAGAAAGAAGGTAAAAAACAGGTGAAAGATTATGATTATACAAAAGTTGAACTTTGTAATTTATACTACATGAGCTAATTGAAAGGACTCAAAGAGAAAGATTTTCAATTAAATTAAGATATTTATTTATAAAATTAAGGAAAAATAAGAAAATTTAATTGAAGAAAAAAAAGTTATTCTTTTCTATAAACATACTCAAATCATTGTAAATAAAAGTTAAAGTTAGGCCTGAACGTTAAAAACGAGATTTGAATTATAAATTGATTTCTTTGTTATTTTAAATGATGTAATAAAATGAAACTAAACAAGAAAATAATACATATATATTTCAACCGTTGTGCATTTATAGAGTTTCAAGACTTCTCTGATACAACACGTGTTAACATGTTCACTTTAGTATAAATTTCTGATTTCTGACAAATTTAATGCTCCATGTTATTAATATGAATGTTGATTTTTTGTAAATTACTTTCCTTTTAATCCAGAATATGTTGTTACTTGATTGTAAAAATTAATTCTAAACAATTTACTAATCTGCAAGAAATTTAATTGAAACAAATTTTTCAAAACTGATGATCAAATTGTAATTGGAAGACAGAAAATTAAATAATTAGCCGTCTAAACATTCTAAAAGTTATTATATTCAATCTTAATTCATTAATTTAATTTGTATATTTTTTATGATTTATTCGCTTTTATAATAAAGCAACACTGAAGGGGTGAAATATTTTTGGGAAGCAGAGAGATATTAGAGAAAGAGAAAAGTAAAGCCTGGGCGAACCCTGGTGTTGGTGCGAGAGTGCGGCAGTGCAGAAGCCAAGAGGAAGCGGACATTGAGACGGACAGAGGCCGCTGCAGGGCTTACCGCTGGCCGCTAGCGATGGCTCGGGAGGCACGCGCCACGCGGCCGCGTGCGCCAGCCGCCCCCGTGGGGGTGGCACCGGCCGTCGGCGGAGGGTACGAGTGGCTCTTGACGTCCTTGAGCCACGGCCGCGGAGGCGGCTTGAGTAACAAACTGGGGACGACGGCCGGCGGCGGCGGCGGCGACAATCCAGGTGGCAACCCTCGAACCGCCGGCAGCCGCCTCCGAGGAGGCCACTGGGGGCGGTGGGGGCGCGGCGAGCCGTCCGGCCACCGCTCGCCCTCCATCTACTGTCCACCGGCCCGGCTGCTGCCGGGAGAACTGAGCTGCCAGCCCGCTGGAGGCAGGACCGCCCCCAACCCCGCGCATGCCCTAATGCTGCGTTTGACCCTCCGTGGCACCTCTACCGCACCCCTGAATCTCTTTCACTTGCTCTTTTTTTATTTGAAAATTTTATATATATTTCTATTTGTTTGAAAATATTTAAAACTGGGTATTATTTTTTCAATTCAACTCGCATGAAATTTGAAATAAAAATTGTCTGTTTTTACCCAAATAAAATGAACCTAAAAAAACTGACTTACCTTCTTCGGATAAAGGTGGAAATGGCCAGGCAGATGAGCACCAAATACGCCAGGTAGAACTGCGAGCCAGTCGGGGAAGCTTCGTCCATTAGTAGCTGAAATTAAATTCATCAGAGATATTTGTGTTGTGTCTGTTTCATATTATGCTAACTCATGGGAAAAGTGTCTATTAAAGTTTCTTGATTTTCGAGGCCAAAAGCAATAAGTTGACCTCCCGTCTTCCCCTTCCTTTTTTTAATCTGTTGACCTCTCATGTGATATGAGCAGATGAGAAAAGCCGCGGCCCTTTGGTTATATAAATTATTGCTTGATCAGATCATCTCATTCATCTCCTATTCGATCAAAATTGTTTGTCCTCAGATAAGCTCTATTATCCATCCTAGAGCTTTGCGTGATCTTTATCAAGGTAGTAAAAATGAGCAGGAGAATGTGTTGCAAGTGAAAATAAACAGCACATGTATCTCAGATATTGTAAAACTATTTAATCAATTGAAAACAACCAATTAAAAGTAAATATTTTGAAAATTGAATAATTACATATATTAAATAATAAATTTCAAAAAAATTAATAAAAGGAACATAATTAGCAGTCATCTAACTTATTATTTATGATCATAAAATAATGCTGATCTGTAAAAAAGATAAGAAAAAAAAATGCGTTTAATTGTTAGCTGCACCATATAAAAATTAGATATGATTCTAAATGCAATGAATTTCTATCATTGTTTTCTCATTTGGGCATGTAAGTAGAATAAAACGTACTTTAAATACTCATCAAAATAGAAATTATAAACGGAATACTTGGCATTAAATGTTGATTGCTACCACACTGGGCTGAAAATGTTGAAATAAAATTTTTCAGCAGTCCTTAGAATTTTACTATCAAAGCTAAAAAAGTTTTCTTAAATCTAAATTCTCTTCATATTATTCATATCCGAATTTTTATTTATTTTTTTTATTTTATTTTGCTTCTTCATCACTTATGGAAATTTTAAAGGAGTTTGGATTTTAAATTTATATTGGATAAACTATAAACTTTGTCCGCTTTCAAGATCAGAATTTCTTGTTTTATATTCTTTGAATGTTTTTGTCTGTTCAACAAGATTGTTGCCTAACTGGTCTAATTTATTGCTATAATAATAGTTACTATTCTACATTACTATTTTATTTCATTTGTTAGCATCTACCTTATCTCTAAAAGTATTCATAATAAATGCATTTTGGCATAGAATTCTAGTAATTAAAAATTACGACAATAAATGCCTTATCGGAGTAAATTGCACGCTACAAATCCTAGAAAATGGATGGAAGTTTTAGGTCGACTTCTAGCCTTACTTTTCAGATATGGGTTTGTGCTTTGGCACATTTCAGGCAGTACTTTTATCTTAAGCTTGCCTTGACTATTGCTCGATCAGGTTTATATATGGCCAGCCTACTAACTCTCCAAACAAAAAGCAAGGGAGTTAATTTGGTTTGCGTCTGGTCCTGCGCAGAGGCACAGGAATGTCGTAGTACCAAACGTAGCATCATATCAGCAGGTGGAAGAGAAACGTGAAACCGGCCACCCAGTGGCTGGCGTAGCCCAGGTGAGCCCATTTGGCCAGCGTGTGTTTGTATGAGTACCCTTCGTCCTGATAAAAATTATTAATTAAAAAAAAAAATATATGCAAATTTTTGTTTAAACTATACCTGCACCTCTGTTGAATCAAACATTACACCCAGGTAGATAAGGTGGAAAAATGCAATGATTCCGAAACCGATGTTGGCAAACAACACTATCAGTTTGGTTTCTTTGTGTAAATGAGGACAATTGGGTCTGCACGGTCTTGATAAAATGCATGCGTTGAAGACAGAGGCCAGCTTTTGTCTCAACATAAACTCAACGTAGGTGTAAAGGCCCAAGGAAAGCAGAACAGCAGCCAGTTGGAAGTTAAGTCCGTGCAGAAGAGAGCTTGCAGCGTAGGTGCAGATTATGGCGACAAAGCTGCCAAACGGGCGTGTTGTACGAAAAACGTCTAAAAGAAGAAAAGAAACCAAGATAATTCATTAATTCAAGAGTTATTTATATAACTTCCAATACAAAAAAAAAAAAAAAAAATGATAAAAATAAAAGTATAAAAATTTTACTTTAAGAAGTTGTCGGTACTCACATTGTTTTAAAAATGTGTGCATGGGAATACTCCAGTAAACAACAACCTGGACCAGGGACCTCGGGATTTCAATGTGATGTGGCCTCGAAACTGGCATTTTCCAGGTTAGGTCTTCTTGCATACCGTAGCCGGACATTACTGACGACGCTTCCGAAATGAATGAGACAAAGTAGTGACTAGACCTGAAGGATACTGCGTCACGATAGGCCGTCCACCACCTAAGATAAAAAAGAACAAGGATTAACAAGAGGGTCAATCATTCAAACAAATTTCACCTCCAAGCATCGTCAGGAATTAGCCAGCTTATCCAGCACATAGACACAGTCAAGAACAAAAATCCCATTGCTAAGCTCAATACAATTCTCCACAGCCATTGCAAGTTCTACAAAATGAACCCATTGATAGCAAATTTTTTGTTTGCGCAACTAACTTACAAAGACTGGCTTTTTGTAGACTGCCAGGTAGTCCCTGAAAGGCACCCAAGGGCCAAAAACGCAAGTCCCCACTGAAAATATATAGCCGGCAAACTCCACTGGTGATGGCAGAGTGCGTTGGACGCCCATTTCCATGTCAAAAGCAAGGGAAATCACCTTTAATATTGAATTGGAATTAACAGTTAATAAATATTATATATCGAGATACGCACCTTCATCACTAAAATCATCTGTGCACCACGAATCTTGTGCCAATCAGTCTTTTTCACAAGTAAAAACTCACTAAAAATTTAGATCAATTTAAAAAAAATCATTAAAAGAAAGTGAATCCTGCCTTACCATAAAATTAAAATTGTGATGCACGAAAGGCTGGTCACAACACCTACCCACTTGTTGAGGGCGTAGGATGTGAAGAAAAGGATCAAATAGAAAATTATGCCCAGCACTAACATGTAGTGGGCTGTGGAGCCAAAGAAAAAGTTGAGCACCAACAGTCCTGATGCAGCAGATATGGCATGGCAGGCGACCACAGGGACTTTTACTGTAATTAAAATATTATTTTATTTGTATTAAAAGAATAAAAAGTTTTATTATTTTTATATTACCAGTTTGGGTGGTGATTCTGTAAATGAAGCACCACAGGAGCAGGTAAGCGACGTGGACAATGCCCTCAGACACACTAGGTAGCAGGCAGAGGCTGTAGAGTTCAGTGATGGACACCCCTGATGCTTCATCATCTTCCGACCAACCGTCTCCTGAATTTGGATAACTTTGGTCGTAGCCGTTGAAGTAGTCCTCTTCAAAGGCTTCGTAGTCAGAAAAGTCCTCCATAGCAACCACTGTGGAAAATATTGAGGTTAAAATGTAAAAGCACAAACCAATTTCTTTATGTATGTACAAATTCAAGCCAAGGATCGGCAGATCTGGAAATCTGTTTGAAAGCCGCAAAGTCTGTGAAGTAAAGTTAATTTGGACGTGACGAACGTCCGACTGCAATATTAAAACTCATTTCGGCTTGTTTTTAGACAAAACGCGCCTCTTAGCAGGCAAAATTGCCAGAGTTTGCACAAAATTTCACACTCAGCAAAATGATAACAAGTTTCAGGTGTTTTGTAAAGGGGCGTGGCTGTTGTATGTCGTTCTTCTACTCCTTTACTCTCCTTGCCTTTACTTTTCTGCTGGTGGATTTTGTGTGATGTACTGCAATTTGTTAACTATGTATTTGACAGTTAATGACACTTGACAGTTTACTAAAATTTGCAAATAAACAGTCCACTGTCCCAACAATCTAAGGAGGGAAATGTACGTAGACTAATTGATTCTTTTAGATCTATATGTAGTGCATAATGTAATGTATTTAAGAAAATCAACAAAACTTATTTTGTCTTTGTTTTCAGTGTTAATCCTTTGGCAGAGAAGAATCTTATAAAATTAAGACGCCGACAAACGTAAATTTAATGCGCTTTTCTCCCCGTTTATTCGTTCGATTTTCCGTTGTAATGTCTCAAAAATCGAGAATTGCCGTGTGCCAAATAAACGCCAGAGCAGACAAAGAGGAAAATTTCCGAATATGCAGCAGTCTGATTGAACAGGCAGCAGAAGCAAAGGCCCAGGTTTTAATAATAAAATTAAATTTAACAGAATATTAATTTTTAATATTTGAAAAAAATTCCAGATGATTTTTCTTCCTGAAGCCTTCGACTTCATTGCTGAAAACAAGGAGGAAACTCACAAGTTGTCGGAACCTTTAGACGGTCCTCTCATGAAGCAGTACCAGTCATTGGCGCAGAGATTAGGTGTCTGGTTGTCACTAGGAGGATTTCATGAACGAAATGCGGAGGATAAAATGCATGTAGCTCATGTCTTGTTGGACTCGAGTGGAGGTCTGGCCTCAATTTACAGAAAATCCCATTTATTTGCTTTTGGTGCTCTCGACGAATCAAAATATGTTGAGCCAGGTTGTTTTTTCATTTAAAAAATCCCAAAATAAACTTGCTATTAAATTTAATAGGAGTCAAAGTTGAAGATCCTGTGTCAACACCAGCTGGTCAACTGGGTCTTCTGGTCTGCTACGACCTTCGTTTCCCGGAAATCAGCCTCGAACTGCGCTCAAAAGGTGCGGAATTGCTGACCTACCCCTCTGCTTTTACAGCAGCCACAGGTCAAGCTCACTGGGAGGCTTTGCTTAGGGCCAGAGCCATTGAAACGCAGACCTATGTCGTCGCCGCTGCTCAAACTGGCTCCCACGGAAATAATAGGAACTCCTATGGACATGCCATGGTTGTCGATCCCTGGGGCGCTGTTGTAGCCCAGTGCTCTGAAGGCACTGGTTTTGCTCTTGCAGAAGTAAAACCAGAATAATTGATTGTTAAAAATTTTTAGACTTTTGTTTCTACAGGTAGACTTGGATTTTATAAAATCAACACGAGCTCGAATGCCGGTCGTTGAGCACAGGCGACCAGATCTGTACCCAACTAGCCTGCAGGGACCTCTTGTTACCCCTGCCGATGATGCGGTTTTTACATTTGGGCAGGTCAAAGTAATAGGCGCCTCGGTTATAGCAAAGTCTGCTTTGACGATTGCTTTCACCAATAAGAAATGCGTTGTGCCTGGACGTATCCTTTAAAATAAAACTTTCCGACATTGTCATAAAATTAAATTTAAAACATTTTCTTTGACTGAATTTTATACAGATGTGCTAATTGCACCTATTCGAGTGGCAGAGAGACTGTCAGACTTGACTTCAGTTGAGGTAGCTGATTTATTTCAAATGGCCCAAAAAATTGAAAGGGTAATGGAAAAGATTCATGACGCTACATCAACGACCATAGCCATCCAAGACGGTCCCGAGGCAGGTCAAACCATCAAGGTTTTCCATTTAATGAAAAATCTTTGCAGAATATTATAAATAATTTTTGTGTTTCAGCATGTTCATATCCATGTGATGCCAAGGAAGAAGGGTGATTTTAAGTGGAACGACGAAATTTATAGGGAATTGGAGAAGCACGACAAACCACAAGACACGGGGCGCTGGAGAACTGAAGAGGAAATGGACGTAGAGGCTAAAAACATCAGGGTTATTTTTAGAAAAATGGGTTATTTTGATTAATAATGTTTTTCGTGTAAAATTTAAATTATGTCCAATCTGGACATAAGTTTTCTATTATTTCACTCAAAATAATATACAGTGTTTATATGCAATTGTATTTTTTATTGTTTCTACGGAAATTAAATTGAACATGTAAGGTATATTTTAATTGTTGCTTGCAATTAATGCACTTTATGTATTTTTATTTTATTGTGCGCATATATAGTGCAAAAATACTAAGAAAAAAATGTTTTTAAAAATTTGTTCAACTAGAGTGTTAAATTTCATCCATAAAACGATCGCGATAGCGAATTATAATTTTTTACGGCCGTCTCGCTGTCTGTGATTTTCCCACAGCATATAAAATTCCTGTATGCTTTGCCTGCAAGTTTGAGGCAGCCCTTCGCATAGCGGCGGCGGCAACATCAATCCCGCCGCCACCGGTCACGTGACCCGGCGCCTGTCACGTGACCAACAAAGATACAAACAGTCCGAATTCCAAGATGGCTGCTATCAAGTGTAGTCGGGCAAGCCATCGGTGACTGACCGTGATTTCGCCGGAAAATGCGCACAGCCGCCACCTGTCCAGGTGAGTGTGGCCGCGGTGAGGCAGAGTGCCGCCCCCGGAGGCCGTTCCGCACGCAAACCGAGCCCCACTAACGAGATTTTGCCCGCAGCATCCGAGGTGACATTGGAGCGGACGTCGCGTGGTTTTTGTTGATCCGCGAGAATGCAGCAGGAGGGAGCCGACGGGGCAACCAAGGAGGGCTCCCCCAAGCAGGAGAACCCCTCGCCGGCGGCGCCGCGGCAGGAAAACGGTGGCAACGGCGACGAGCCGCCTCCTCAGCAGCCACCTCCGCCGCCTCCATCAAACGCCTCGGACGCACCTGCCAACGGGGCTCCGAGTCCTCGAGACCCTGAGGAAGGCCAGCCGTTGGTGAGCAACGTGTTGCCCAAGCAACAGCAGCAGCAGAACAATGAGTTCTTGCAGCAGCAGAGCCAGATCTTTGTCTTCTCCACGTCGCTGGCAAACCAGGGTGCAGATGCTGTGATGCAGCAGCACTTCCCGTCCATCATCGCCTTCCACTGCGCCCAGCCCGGCACCAAAAAGTACCTTGAGGTGAGCTAGAAACACCTGATTAAAGATCAAATTATTTCAAAATTGTTAAAATGGCAAAGCTTTTTACGAAATTTAATTTATAATTTAATACATTTTTTTTTAAAGTTTTAAAAGTTTTGATAATTTGTTTAAAATAAATGTATTTCAATACTTAAAAAAATTGAACTGAAGCTCACTTAGAATTTTTGGAAATACATTACGAACTAGAACCTGAAATATTAAAAAAAAAGAAAACAAATAAATTAAAAATTAAGAGGGCAGTTATCACAGTTTTTTCCCGCAAATATTATGCCACACAAAAATTGACACTGTCTTACATTATCATTAGCATTATTTGAAAAGTGATTGCACTCGAGACTTATCTAATTTGTCGCAATTTCTCCATGCTAATCTGTTATCAGCCTCATAATCATGTTTGCATGCAAACACTTTTCACAATTTTTGACTGAAAAATAAGAACGGATAATATTAAATAATTATTTGGATTTAATAATCAGGATAAAATTTTTTTGGTCTTTTCCATTGAAATTTCAACAAAATATTTGGAAAGACCAAATTTTTTATATGAACACTATAAACTATGAAGCTGATTAGATTTAAATAAAATAAATTGACTAAATGTGTCCTTAAATTTGCAGAAGCACCCCTTACGCACAGCACAATTTGCGCGTCAGCCGTGGATGGCAAAGCGTTCATCGCTTGCTGGCGTTCAGGTACCTGATGAAAACCTCACGCCCCAGCAGCGCCAGCATCGAGAGGAGCAATTGGCCACTCTCCGTAAAATGCAACAGCTGCTTTTCCCCGAGCGGCCGCCACCCTACCGGTCAGCTTCTGCCCCTATCGCCTCTCCCGGCGCCCCAGCATCCCCAGCGGGTCTTTCCCTTCCGGCAGCCAGCCCGAGCACCCCCTTGGCCGGAGCGTCGCCCTCGCCAGGGATAAAAAAGGAAGCGAGTCTGATGCCTGTGCCGTCCCCGCAGCAGATCCAGTATTTGGCCGCCTTTGAGGGCCATGAACTCACCATCCAGAGGCAGCCCAACACGGGACTGACTGACCCCCACCTTTTATCACCGTAAGTTAATAGTTTCCACAGGGTTTTTAATCTTATTGAAAATCACCAGGACTATTCACAAGTGCTTCTCATGCGATCACTGCAAGTGGTATTTTCGGTATATGCAAAAGTATGAAATTTGGAGATATATTTGACGTAGATGGGAACTCTCTTTATCTCCAAGAATTAACTCATTGAATTTTTAGCACGAGATTATACAGAACATGTGTAGTAATTTTTGTAAATCCTTAGCCAATTTAAGCTTGCAATTTTCTATGACAAAAGCACTAGACTGATAAATTTCTCAATATCCATCCAAATTTTTGGTTGATTTTAAAATCAACAAGCTCAGTTTTTGTGAATTAAATAAATCTGAGACTTTCCTATCTACTGATTAAATTAAAAAATTATGATGATTCCAATTAAATCAATTAACTTATAATTTTTCAATTTTTGTAATTTCAGTATGCAGCCTTCAGGGATGGATGACCCAAATCGGCAAATGGCACCGTCATTTCCCTCGACACCAAACTTTGGCAGCCCCACAGACATTAAAAAACAACCTCAAAGCCCGTCAGATGTCAAGCCTCGTTTTGGGCCAGACATGAAGCCCAATTTCCCACCAGACGTCAAACCCTGCTTCCCTTCCGGCCCAGGATCTCAGGCGCCGCCAATGTCCCCGTCCTTTCAAAAGCAATCGCCCGCCTTCCCTCCTGAAATGCCATCCCCGCCGAAGCTGTCGCCCCCGCCGGACATACCTCTCAACCCCATCGGCTCTCAAGGCCCCAGCAAGGGACGCTTTGACCCCATCACCTCGATGGAGGCCATGAGCCAGCAGCTGGCCTCCCCAGGCCCCAACATGATGCCCCCCATGATGTACGGCAGTCCTCAGGATGGCATGTGTGGCGGCGTGCAACAGCCTCCTCCCCAGCAGCAGCAACCTCCGCAGGGTTTCGCCCAAAACCCTCCCATGATGCCCAACCAGCCGACCTCTCCCATGATGCAGCAGCCCCGAGGGTCGCCGCCTGTTGGTTACAACCAGATGGGCCCTCAAATGGGAGGACCTAGACCAATGATGGGTCCCCAGCAGTGTAGACCGCCGTACAATGGCGCCAATATTCAAGTGAAGCCAAGTGCCCCGAATACTATCCAGTACCATCCTCCGGCGAGACCCCCGAATCAACAGCAGCAAGGACCCCCTGCAAGACCCAGTTTAGACTTTTTGCACAGACTAGCGAATCCCCAGGGACCCCAAGACTCAAATAAGATGGGCTACTTCCCCAACGGTGGGCCTATGAATGGCGGAGGACCAATGGGTAGCCCTGGTGTACAAATGGGTGGGCCAATGGGCAGTCCTATGGGGGTATCAATGTCAGGACCCATGGGCTGCCAAATGGGCCCCGGGGGTCACGTGGGTCCAATGATCCCCGGAAATCAAATGGGACCTGGGCAAATGGGGCCTTCAGCACAAATGGGGGGAATGGGGCCAATGGGTGGCATGGGGCCAGGCATGTGCGGTAACAATCCGATGGGGCCTGGACCTATGGGTCAGATGGCGCCAAATATGGGACCTGGCGGCCCTATGGGCGGGCCCATGGGACCAGGGGGTCAAATGGTTGGGCCGATGGGGCCTGGACAAATGGGCGGTGGGCCCATGATGGTCATGAGGCAGCGAGCGCCGCAAATGCAAATGCGACCCCAGCAAATGTTTCCGCCGCAAATGGACTATCAGGACCCTGTGAGCCAGCCGTTGCCCCCGTCGATGGGCGCCCCCTTCGGCAAGGGCGGCTACGTGGGTCCGTCGGCCGCGGCGGACCCAAACTACGCGCAGCAATACCACAACTTCCAACAGCAACTATACGCGACCAACACACGTGCTCAAAGCGGGCCCCCTGGACAACCGCAGCCCTTTTTTAAGTGACCCCCCTGCCCCCACAGTGCCATGTTCAGTGCAATCAGTGACTTGTTATTCTTATTGACTCGAGATTTGTAAGAGAAGGTTTATCTTTGATTAATAAAATGAAAAGCAATTATTATAAGATATGATCTGGGCGATTCACATTTTTGAGCTCGTGACCACTTAATAAGGTACATACACTTGAAATAAGAAACGCAAAGTCTTGGTAATTAACACCTTTATTAGCATTCTTCTGCTAACATTAACAGCGTAACGAAGGCCAAAAAGCTTAACCCAGAGTTAAAATGTAGATAAGATCAACCATTGCTTTAATCACAAATCCCCTTACATATATCAATTTTGTTTCAAATAAATGCGAATCTCCTGGTAAAACTTCCTGTGAACATTAGAGTGATCATAAATTTGACCACGATCCTGAGTTTCAGAAGCAGGTACACCAATTGATGAGTGTAAAAATTAATTTCAACTATTGCGATTGATTAGTATGCATATTATATGATTTGTAGAATTAGTGGATAAGGGGATTTGCCTAAACCTGGGGCTAGATCCTAAGATGGACAGCGTTAGGACTGGGTTAGGAATTATTTCAACTAAAGCTTTTGACTATATCATTATTCGGAGCCTTCTCCCTGGTAGTTTCTGATGTTCAGAAGCACCCAAGCAGGGATAGCGAAGAGGCTTACACACATCACTCCACCGAGAGCAGCTTTTTCCTAAAAAATTAAGAGTTCCAATTTTGAGATATTAAAAAAAAATTCATAAATTTCAGAGCATCAAATTGGTTTTAAAGAGCCTTTTAGCATTCAGATGTGGCAATATAAATTAAAAAGTTGAAAATTTTGTAACGTAATAATCTGAAAACCACAAACTCGGAAATGAAAAGTCACCAAAGCAATTCAGTTTAAACGAAAAACAAAATATATAATAATTCGAACTTCTTTCTTACCGCGAAAGAAACCCGGTTCAAGGGTGGTCCGGATAGAACCGTTCCAGTTGTTCCAGTGTAGGCTGTTCGCCTCTGCAGCATGAATGCGCCACGCCGCGCCAAATTTAGAGTGCTGAGGGGCTGCATGATGGTTTCTGATATCAAATTACGTAATAATTATTACTGCAAATTTTTATATTTATGAATCTTACTGGTTTTGATCGGTCTTCTTGACTGACCTTGCGAGAAAGTGAGAGTGAAACGGGGGTGTGTTAACGGGGTGCAGGGTCGGCGGGGTGTCGGTCTGGGTTTGGTGGGGGGTAGGTTATTTTTAGAAAAATTGGAGAAAATTTAAGAAAAACCGGTTATTGAAAAGAACTGAATCATTAAACATTTAATTTTGAACCAATGGGCATAAAAATTTTGAGATTTATATTTTTTTAAATAAAAATTTAAAACTGCACGTATCGTTTGAAACAAAAAAGTATAGTTTTTTTTAAGTTTTAAAAGTATATCGATATGAATTATTTACGTACCGGTTGTCGAGATAAAAAACAAGGCTACTCACAAAAAGGAGAATTTTTTGAAAACAAGAATGCGTTTTCTATGCATAAAAAATATCCAATTTTATTATTGTTTGTTCCTTGGCTTTCTAAAAATTTTTTTTGATGATTTCCATAAATTAGTAGTTTTTTTACTTATTTATTTAGTAACTTAATTTTATGAAAAGAAAATCCTTTTACGCGCCTCCTTGTAACATCTGTGTATAATTGTGTGAATGTTTATCTTCTGACAAACGCGTGAATCAACTCGCCGATTTTAATTAAATTTGTCAGCGGAGAACAGAGACGTCGAAATTTCGGCCTCACTATGGGTCTATTCGGCAAGACACAGGAAAAAGATCCTAAGGAGCAGGTAAAGCAACAATTCGAATGAGCCGAAAAGCTCTAAAATCCAAACAAAAAAGCCAAAGCTGCGACTCCACCCTGATATTTTTCTCCGCAGGTCAATGATTGGTGTCGAAAAATCAGGAAGGAATCCAACCAGCTAGACAGACAGATCAGAGGCATCGAGAGGGAAGAGGAAAAGGTGAAAAGGTCGCTGAAGGAGGCGGCCAAGAAGGGCGACAAGGACGTGTGTTTGGTGTTGGCCAAAGAAGTCCTCAGGGCGCGAAAAGCTATATCCAAAATTTACTCCTCAAAAGCCCATCTAAATTCGATTCAGATGCAGATGAAAAACCAGCTAGGTAGATAAATAAAACTGAAGATCTGTGCTTAAATTTATAATTTTTTTTTTTAAATTTCAGCTACTATTCGAGTTGCTGGCGCAGTTAAAAAAAGCACGGAGGTGATGACGTCGATGCAGCATTTGGTTCGAGTACCTGAGGTGGCGGCCACAATGAGAGACATGTCCCGCGAAATGATGAAAGCTGGCATCATTGAGGAGATGCTGGAGGAGACCTTTGAAGGACTCGAGGACCAGGAAGAGTTGGAGGAAGAAGCACAGGAAGAAGTTGACAAGGCAAACAAATTTTTAATTATAAAAGTGATAAAACTAATTTTAGAAATTTATAACTGCAGGTTCTGTGGGAGTTGACCCAGGGTCAGCTTGGAAAAGTGCCTGCAATGGTCACCGACACCCTACCCGCCGCAGTGGCTGAGCCAGAAGGCGCGTCTGCCTTGGTCGACGACCCTGACGAGCTCGAGGAAATGCAGAGCAGACTGCAAGCGCTCAGAAGTTAAAGAATGAGCTCTTTTTTGAAAATATTGAATAATTTTTAACGTTACTTTGTAACCTGTGATTAATTTTAAAGTACTTTTTTATTATTAGAAATTTGTAGTGTGATGATTTTATCATCACACTACTATTTGTTGAAGTAGAGAAATATGAGTATTATCAATTTAAAATATTATCCTTCCTGATCCTACCCGCTGGAGCGGCATAAATCCTTAATTTGGAATGCTTTTTTTAATAAAGAAAAATAATATAATATACACAAAAACCTGCAAAACTCTTGAATATTAAAAGCTTTATAGGAAAAAATTTCTTTAAGTTAGTTTGATAGTAGACTCTAAATATAATTTTCTTCTTTATTTTATAAACAACTTTTGAATAATGAGGTGATTTCAGATCATAAATGCTATTTTTTTTAAAAGCAAATAAATTGTATAAATATGTAATTTTAGATCTCCAATATTTTGATTTTCTTAAAAGATGCAAAAGAGGATTGTTAAGCAATATAATTAAACTTCCAATAATTTGTCTAATATCTATCATTGTTTTAGTTTTTATTTTTATTTTAGTCATTTCATTAATTATTTGAAGCACCCAAGATACAATTTGGTTTAGTCAGCCATATTTTTAATCTTTTAATCGATAATGAGTTTTCAGAGGCATCAAAATGCCGTGTCTAAATGCATCGCAGTGCGCGCGTATATTTCAATTAAATAAATTACATAAAAAACACAGGAAGACTTGAGAGACAAGTAGATTGTGAGAGTAGTCACGAATATGGCCGTAAAACTTGGGAGTAATCAACAACGGTTAACATGGTAAAAAGTCTTTTAGTCAAAAATCAAGGCGTGCATACGTCAAGTTTGAAAAAACCAGTATGATTTTTTTCAGTTTTTTTTCACAATAAAAAAATTAATGGCACTTTACCCATCGAGAAATGCTGGGATTTGGGACCGCGGGCGTTTCAAAATCGCTTCTCATATAAAAAGTTTACAAGGCAATCAAAATTTAGTCGAGACCAAAAAACTTATCAATGCACATCAGACTCGTACGTCCAACCAAGTGGATTTTTCTGTATCAATCAATGACTCGAAAGGCACGACATCAAGCGGCGTCAAAAGAGTTACAAAAAATGTAAAAATTCCCGTGGTCGTACAAAACCCCGAATCAAAAATGCACATGAATCAATACAAAGAAGAAAATTCATCTCAAATATTTCTATATCAATAAATTCTTGAAACTAGAAGTCCGGCTTGCGCTGGCTGAGCTGCGTAGTCTCGCTGCGCACGGGTGGAGGCGGTGGCCGCTTTCCGCTCTGTCTGGCGGGCACGTTTTCATACAGGGTGCCGTAGTGCTCGGCCAGCCAGTTGGTCACGTTGGTCTCCCTATAGTCGGGCGGGTCTCTAAAACCGAGGACCTCGTGTGGGGTTGTGTTCCCATCCCTCTTACACTTCTCGGCCACCTGCCAATTTCTTCGAACCACCCTTTGCAGGTCGGACAGGAAGGCGGCGGACTCTGCACTGACGGGAGCACTCGAAAGTCTGGTGCTGACGCTCCTCTTGGGCGGCGGCGGAGGTGCAAACGTGATTCGACGACTAGAGTTTGGCTTTGGTGGGGGTGGTGGAGGCGGCACATCCAAAGAGAGAACGCTTGCTGCCAGCTCAGAAGGCGCCAACGGAGGCGGCGGAGGCGGAAAATCGTCCTCCTCAGACTCTTCCTCCACCGGAGGCGGGGGAGGCAGCGGTTCCGGAGGCAAAGAGACCAAAGGTGGAGGAGAGGCCACTTCGGCCAGCTGTCTTGTGGTGGGGGTCAGAGGCAGCTGGGGTTTGAGAGAGGGTGGTTTTCGCTTGATTGTGTTTATCGGAGGCGGGTCAGCTTCGAAAGGTTCATCCTGAGAACCTGAATGCCTGACCTGCTTCCTAGGCGAGTTTGGTTGAGAGCCTAGAGGGGAGCTGGTTTGGGAACTTAAAGAACCTGATCGCCTTTGGAAAGTCATCTGCGCCTCTACAGGAATCCTTGGGATTTCAAAGTTTGGTTCCGGATCTGCTTGGGAGGCAGCAAAGTTGTCCATCAGGACGCGGCCGTGCTTGGCCAGTCTGATAGCCATCATCCACCTGTCGAGGGACTCTTGGGACTCTGCACAAAGCAGATGGACGTATTTTAGTCCCTTCTGTAGACGAGGGTGTTTCAGGGCAAAACAGTAGTCGGTCGGGGCTTTGAGTCGTTTCCGCCAGCCAAGTCCTCTGTAGGCCTCGTTGGAGTCGAGGGGCGCCAGACAGACGAGGTCACGTCTGCCCTTGACAAAATAGAGACCAGAAGCGCGAAGGACAAAGTGCAGCTTGCGCCAGCCGCGTTTTTCTTTCAGGTAGAGTGGACCTTCCATGGGAGCGACGCAGGAGCCGTTGAAAAATTCGTCAAGCAGGTCGTCGCGTGACTTTTCATCCAGGGGCTCTGGATTGTTGGGTACCAGCAGTGGCTCGGGACGTGTGAAGAAGGAGTACTTGTCTGGCCGATTCAAGAATAGCAGCTTGTTCTTTGAGTCACGAGCCCACAGCATAAGATTGTCCACCAAAAGCTCATGGTCTTCGTAGATCCTCTCTGAAAAAAATAATTAGATTCAGAAATAAAAATTGACAAAATTAATTTTTAGGGGTGAATTTTTGCTACAAAAGAATTGAACTTACCCATATGCAATTCAGGCAGATGCTCGACGATGGCCCATTTCGGCCCCATGGTCACGTGATTTTTGTCAGCCAAAAGCCTGGTCACATGTCCACATGTCATTTTCTCATCCACCAAGAGGGACTTGGTCGACTCGTCGGCGGAAAACGCTTTCACAAACAGCTTTTTCACATTTGCCTCGCGCATCTTCTCCAAGGCAATACGAATCTTTTCAGCCTTTTCTCTGCTCGCTTCGTCCATCTGCAGCAATATAAAATTATTATTTAGCAACAATCTATAGAATTAAAAAATTTGCAAGTACCTGAGAGAAGCCAAAACCAAGCCCGCTGGACTTGGATGAGGCGTCAGTTCTGCCACCGCTTCCTCCGCTGGACGCTGTGCTTTCTCCAGAGAGCATCGAGACATTGTCCGAGAAAGCAGAATCATTGTCTGGACTATCGGTACGTGTGCCTGGAAAAACGGGAAAAACAATTTAAAATAAAAAAAGTCAACCAAAAATATTGATTTTATTTTTTTTTTAATTTTATGATTACCACTTACCATTACTACTAGATCTAATTTCGCTTTCTGTTTCACTTAAGAAAGAAACTCTTTGCTGGTTGCACCCCTCGCTACTTGAAAATGACGGAGTGCGGCGGTGTCCCAAATCAGTTTTTGTCATTTCTGGAGCTGGAGTTAAAACTAAAATAATGTTTAGATTAAAATATAAATTATTATTTAATATATTAATTCACCTTTTTTCTTCACAGTTGAGAGATCTACCGACTGTCTGTTGATGGCCGCTTGGCACTCGGTCTCGAGAGCGCTAAGCTCGCCTAGAATGGCGTCTAAGTCCAAGTCTTGCGAGTCTGAAACGCCAATTGATGGCCGTTAATTAAAAGAGTTGATTAGGAGTAAGGTCAAGTCAAGTGGAGAGGATCGGATTCCGCTACTCACAATCAGCGTTTGGATAAATTTAAAGCGAGAAACTCTAGCCATAAAATCGATTCTCCTCCAACTTGACATAGAATAAAAGAAAAGAAAGAGGCCCGCATCGCCCAAGTCAAAACGAGTTAAGGTTCTGATTCAGATTTGAATAATTTCGTGAGCACTCCTCTTTGCCCAAATATGGGCGATCCGTGTCAAGCTGGATTGTATAATTCCTGTTTTTCCAAATTTAATTACCCACCTTCGAGGTTGGCCATCGAGAAACGAAAGCTGTCTATCCTGGGGGCGGAGATCTCAGGGGTGGCCGTCCGCCTCCGGGGCACTACGGTTGTAGGCACGTTGTCCAGACCCTGCGAGCAACAAGCACAATTTGCTGAGTATTTATTTATGAAGAGAGAAAAAAACCACGTGATAACACTACAAGAGCGAGAGAGTCAATCTCTTTAGGGTGATTTGCACACAATGCTCTGTTTTGTCTCTCGGCCGCCTGCAGGCCGGAGACGCCGACCGAAGACCGCCTCCTTACTAGACCCTTATCTCATATTTATAATGCATCCTCCGCTCCCACTGCTAGAGGGCTATTTACATTTCTCACCGGCGTCGACTGGAAAATCGCACATTCGGACGCGGCAAACCGGCCGAGCGTGAACAGTTTCGCACAGATTTTTTTTTGCAGATAAAAAAGTATATACGTAGTAGTTGCATTTTGGAGACTGTTGAAGGGCTAAGTGCTTTTATCTAATTGAAATCACGGACAGGAAGTAGTGCCGAGTATGTCTAGAACAATTCGGTGGCGTTTGCGATTTTTAATTGTTCGGTCTGATTTGTGTGTGACACTTCCTTTATAAATGAGCACAAGTTTTGTTAATTAAACAAAGCATTATGTTAGGGGGACAGATTTATATCAAAATTGTTGAAGGACACTTTAAAATATTATGAGCAAAGTCCACGAAAGCTAGGTATTATTTTTATCTAAAAAAAAAAACATTTTTCCTTGCTTGTTAAAATTTTCGTTCTTTTGATTAATGAAATAAACATTAATTAAAATAAGCATTATTTATGTTTTTATTTTATTCTGTTAAATTATTTGCAAAATAAAATATATTATGAAAGAAAGTTTAATAAATCGTCAAGAGAAAAAAAAGCCATAAAAACTAAAAGCTTATAAACTTGTCTTGAATTTAATACCAATTCATATTTGCATTTGCTTTGAATAATTTTACTGGGAGAAAAATAATAAAAATATTGGTACGGCAAACCCTCGAATCCCTCTCCGTCATATTAATCTCTCAGCAAACATCAAAATAGGCCGCCATTAAAAAGCAATAAGTGGAGTCGAGTGGAATAAAAATGTTAAAAAAAAAAAAAAAACACCGATCGATCACCTCTGTTTGTCCGGCCGTCTGCCCGAGCTGAGACGGACTCTGCCTACCCGTCTGCATCCTCTGGCTGGATACACAGTGTTTACTTGACGAACACGGAGCGGCACTTTCTCTCATTGGAATGGGGCTACAATTTCGGGTGGTTGCCGCTGGAAAACACGATGACTCATCCAGCAGCGGCTCATCCCCTCCCCTCCCTCTCGCGAATGCACCCCCGCCGCTTTATCTTTCTGCAGTGGCTCGGAAATCAATTTGAAAGCAAAGCAAGCACCACATTCTGATACATGCACCCTTCCTTCCTATGTCCTACGAGAGATAAATGGATGGAAGTTCCCAAGATTCGTCCGAGACGGAGAGGCCCCTTTCCATCCCTTTGTTCGCGGCGCGCCGGCAACTTTCTTTCTTTCTTTCCTTCTTTTCATCCGACGGCCAATTGGGATGTCCATTATCTACGATTAATCGCGAGCTATTTCTGTCCCCATTGTTGCATCGTCGTAAAACGGGTGATGATGCGAAAATAAAAAAAAAAATCGTCTGCTGGCGAAATTTCTTTGGCGCGATCGAGATATATAGTCGAGATGAAGTGGAAAAGAATTTACAGTTAACAAATCATGATAGAAAACTTGTTTACAGCCCATTTTTATTATTTGTAACTCCAAATTATTATAGAGAAACCGGCAAATTTAAAATTGTTATTGGTATCAGATTTATAATAAGATGAAGATTGAGAAAAAATCTTTAAAAATTTTAAAATAATATTGTTTTTCTTGCACGAAAAATAGTTTTTTTTTAGCATTATGTGGGCAACTAAATGTTTAATTTCAATTTGCGGCAAATTTTTTAATTAAAATAATTTTCATTCCGATGAAATTTGGAAACTTTGTGAAGTTTGTGATTATTATTAAATTTGAGCCGGTTTAAGCTTACATAGATTTGGTTTGTTTTGAACAATTAAGTTTTATTAAGGCTTCGTTGGTTTCGTTTTGCTGGGGAACATCTGCAGTAAAAGTGCTTGCCAGGCTATTTCTGCTTGTCCTTTTTTACTATGCGCGGCGAAATAAAACTCTATAATGGGAGAGGAAGAGCACATTTTTCGCACATGCCGCACTTCCAGAACAATACATTACATAGGGTCGGTTTGAGTCAATAAATTTGTAAAAGCTCCAAAATGCCAGTGAAAAAAAGTTGGAGCTCCATCCAGGGTACAATATGAGTTGTAATACAAAAGGGCCGGATTTTATTTTTATGGCCTGCTTTGGGTGTTGTGTGTTGAGCGGTCGCACGTGGTCTTATATGAGAGAGAGGCAAGTTAATTTTAAAATGCGGAACATGTGCGTCCAGAAGTGAGTGACTGGCGGACGGACTTCTTCCTCGCGCGGGGGTGGAAAAGGTGGCGCGGTCAATAAATGTGTCGCTTTTAGGATGGGCCGTGAATAATGAATAAGGCATAGGAAGGAAACTTTTTGTTGTGTGAGCTGCGCCTAAAGTGCAACACGTGAACAATAAATTTCACCCTCCAGTTTAGAAAGCTGCCCCAGATGGATTTATGGTCTTGAGAACCAAAATTTTTGATTTGGCCGAACCTTGGAGAAAATAAGAATAAATATGCACAATAGTCTAGAAACGAAATGCTTGACAACTGACAAGCCAAAGCAAAAAAGTTTTTTCACCAAGAAAGACAAAGAAATGGTTTAAAAATTTATATTAACAAGAAGCTTATGGCATCTACACTGGAAAAAAATGTTTATTGAACCGTTTCCCATAAAATCATTGACGCATGTATGGTTTTTATTACTGTAAATTGATTGGAATGATATGAACATAATTTTGTGGAATTTTACCAATTTGCTAATTTAGTTTTTTTTTATAATTTTAATTTCCAAAAATTCAGACCTCCTGATTAGTTCAAATTTTTAAGTAATTTCTAATTGGAAATTATAAATACCAACAAATACTAATGTATAAAAAAATGTACACCAAAATAAATCTGACAGTTTTCCAGAAAACTAAAAAAATTGATAAAAAAATGTAGATTATTCAGAAAAATTAATGGAACAACCAAAAATTTAATTTACCTCCTTGAAAGAAACATAGCCAGGAAGTGGCAGGGCCGCCAGGGCGCTGGGGTTGCAGTAAATTGCAGGACTACTTTCAACGTCATCCTGGTTGCAATTGTTTTTTTGCTTTTTGGGCCTAGGTTGGCCCAGGCAGGAAAAGCAGAGCATCTCGACGTGAACGCGTCCCTACCGAGACTGAAGAGGACGCGGCACGGGTCGCACCTGGTCTTCCTCGCCCCCACTAGACCCGAGATGGGCCACCTGCCTGTTCTCTATCTGCGCGCCGGGGTCACGTGCGTCGCCCGCGCGCCCAACACCTGCCCCTGCTGGACCAAACTGCGTACTCGAAATAATGGTAAAAAAAAGAAAGAAAGAAGACCCTAATCGGCAGTTGTGCGATTTCAGCTGGACGGAGCAGGTTGCCAAAAAAATTGGCAATAATAATTATTGCTGAGGGCAAGTGCGACCTTCAGATTTCAATCCAGTTTTGCGAGATTTTTGCGCCTGGCAGATGCTGCCTGGCCTAGATTAGGTAAGACGCGGCTTGGATTAATCTAAATAATTATGATGCGCTGGAGTTGATTGAAGGAAACTCGTTATACCAGAAAGATCGAACACTAATTGCGGTGTAGATTCATGGCCTTTGTAACTTTTAACCATATTTAGGTGCAATTTTACAGACACTTCGACAAACAATTTTGGAAAAAAACTTTTTTTATATGAAGATCTAGAAAGAATTGAAATACTTTTAATTAAATGAACTCTTCATAGGCAGAGCAAAATTGTCTTTGCAATAATATTCTGAGCAATTACTGGCAATTATTATTATTTCTAGCTACGATTGTTGGAAATACTTGATTATAATATATAGTCAAATGAAATATTTACAGCGGTCATTAAAATTTTTTTCCAAATAATTTTAAAAAATGGCTCTAAATTTGTTAGTAAAAATTGGCTTGACTAGAATGTTAATTTTTGTCTGAATTTCAAATTATGATAAAGATCTTTAACTTTCTTTTCTGTATAAGAATAAATTACAAAATTTATAAAATAATCGAATTTTGAAGTAAATCAGTCTCTTAACTTTGAAAATATATTTGTCTTAACATTATTTTTATTTATCAGGGAGCTCTTGTTTCACGTTCCAATCAATAAGTGTGCCATCCGATTTGTGCCCTTCACGCTTCACCTATTCCTTCTCAGTTCTGTTAAGGGCGGACGACGGATCAATCTGTCTCTCGAGTCTAGATTCACGAGGGAAACACGACACCGGCACATTTATATTTCAGTTGTGTACTATTAATGGTCCTGGCTACTGTGCGCACCGCAAGAAGGAGAGACGACGCGAGACAGCACGCGCCAGGTGATGCCGAAAGAACGAAATCCATCTTCCGATGCCTGCCCCCTTCCTCCCCAACTCTCATCCTGCAGCCTGCCATCTGCCGTCTTGTTTTCATCTCGAAAGTATAATTTCATTGCCAGGTGCAGATTTTTTCACGGTCACTTGACCTCTCCGTGTAATTGCGTGCGATTTTTTTGCGCTTCAATTTGGCCAAATTGTTGCAGGCGCCTCTCGAATTTGCATATTATCGCAGACGCTCATCTCCGAGTGCAACAATGTGTGACTTGAATCGATTTGCGCACTCTCAGGGTAAATGAACAGCTGCCTGGGGGGAGTCGTTAACCGCTTAAAGTGAGTCGCAAAGTTGGTAATTATACATGCAAAGAAGTTTGCATCCACCGTCGGAGCAGGAATCTAATTAAGCCGTTGTTTGAACTTTGCGGCAGGTTGAGTGCTGCTGGGATAACAAGTCAAGTCGTGGATGAGAATTTGACGCTCATTAACATGCAAAACCACAGCGAGGGCCATTCACTTTGACTTTATGAAAATGATTTTATTTAAGAGCCTGCGGTAAAAGTTTATCCTTTGAAAAATGATTTTCATGTTCATTTTATTATAATTTATGCAAATAAGTTTCATAGTTATACAAATTTAATTTCACTCTACTTAATTTCATGGAGCGTTAGATGATTTGTTGTTCTAAATTTCCATTAATTATTCATAATATTGGTTGAAAAAATCAACAATTAAAAACAATGGAAAATTATTTATTGAGACTTATAATTTATGAAAATTTTTGCATTTTGGCCCTAACCAAATAAAAGAAATAATTAGAAGAATGTTTTTGCACTGTAGAAAACAATTAAATTTCATTTCAGAAAAAGGAATTATTAAAGTCGATAATATATTGCGGGTCATATTTTCTCACGAGTCTTGCGCACTCTGCTCCTTTCGGCGCCGCGCCATGGGAAATGAGCCGCTGGTACATAGTTGCGGCTGATATGATTTAGCACTCGCTGCTCCGTGCATATAAATAAATAATGTATAGCCCATTTGAAGCGTCTGCTCTGGTGCCCCGCCAGCAGAACGGGGGCCTTGAACCGCCTCGATGTCATTTCTGTAACCAACAACACCACCAGAAGAAGAAGCGCAGATCGAAGATTAATTTACAGAGAGAGACGAGAAGGACATCTGATATTAATTAACTTGTTTGTTATGCGACCGACCGGCCAAATGTCCGAGAGCGCAGTTAGAAAAGTTCCGACAGCATGAACGAAGGCGATAAATCAAAAATGCCGAGAGCGTGACAATGTCACATTAAATATTATGCTGGCAGGCACGATTGCCATCTTTCTCACAGTGTCCAAATTGTTTAACTCTTCGTGTACGTTAGGACAATTAGTTTTAATTGAAGATACAATCTTAAAAATGTTTTTGAATAAAGTACCAAAAGAGGGCAGCAGTGGATTAATTTTAAGTAATTTTGTGCCTTATAAAGACTTACATAATTAATATAGTTAAAATCAAATAATAGTTTTATCGAATACTCAAATCAAAATCTAATAAATTTTTTTTTTAAAAAATTAGAAAAAAAAACATTAAAAATCTTGTAAAATTTTTGTAAATGTAAATTTCAATCAAAAGGAAATTAAAATTCAAAATTAGAATCAATTAACTTCACATCCACAATGAAAATGTTTCCATTTTCATTCAGATTAAATTTAATCCAAGTAAGTCCAAATTTCAAAAATCAATTTACACCGGAAAAGGAAAATAGAAAACAATAAGAGATCACAATAAAATGAATGACCCCTAAAATTCTTATCCGTCTAATATTTAAAATCGATCAAATTTTTAGAAAGAAATAAAAATTTTCAGGTAAAACCTCTCACGTATTAAATAATATTTCGTGAAAAAATGACTCAAAGGTGAGGAAAAGTGCAGCTTCAGCAAGTTCCTGGACAAATGTTGTCGCAGCGCGTGACATCAGCTCGCCAGCCAACTTTCATTGTTATGTCAATGTCAACTGATATTCGTGCACGCGTTGTGTTTGCCGGAATTGAGAGAGAAATTTGAATCCGCAAGCACATCCTCTCCTCAAAGTAATGTGACTAACGCGACCTGTATAGAAAGTTGCATAATTGCTCTCCATGAGAGAGGAAAATCCCACTGGCTAGCAGCATTCATTTTTTAGTATAATATTTTGTACTCCATTCAATAATCGGAGCTCACTTTCTTGCGGAAGGATTGAAATATGACACGTCAGTACACAAAATGAAAAACTCGTTGCACTTTGGGTACCTCAAAGCTTGCTTGTCAACAGACCGCAAATACGCTGACGAATGAGAATTAATCAAAAATATGTACATAAGGTATTCGCCCTAGGCGTATTAATAACAAGTTCTTCAACGCACCCAAATGCACTCAAAGACTGGTTGAGAGTTCACAAATTGTATAGTTTCTGACAAATAATACTCTGTGCTTGGGTGATTTGAAAGTAATAATGAATATCAAGTTATTCTAGAATGTGCAACTTGTTGCCAGATCACAGATCGGTAAAGAAATTACTTTCTAACACTCAACAATGGAATCAATTTCTCTTATATTTCAGTTTTTTTTATTAACAAAGGGAGCCAAGAATGAAAATTGAAAAGTTAAAATAAAAAGATTTAAAACTTTAGTAAAAAATTTAAAAAATTAGATTTTATGCAACATTTTTTTAATTGTAGTTATGATTAATCGATTAACTCATTGCATGGCAACACAAAAATTAAAGCAATTTGTAAATTTTAGCAAAATATTTTATGCCATATTCATTAAAAAATTCAAATTTTTCTACAATTTTTTGGTGTTTTTTGGTATTACTATATCATTATAATTTTCCTGTTTATTTTTAAATCTTGATTTCAGCCATTTCCCTCAGACTAATTACGCCTTTACTCATGCTCTAAACTCTCGCAGCTGACGAAGAACCTGTGATTTCATCTCACCGACTTTCAAGAGCTCCTCGTGAACGAAAAGAATTGCAATTGGCCCGCGCGCGATCTTTGCTCTCCGCTGGAGCATAATTTACTTTGCATCTTGATAAAATCAGGCCGTCAAGTACATTTACAGCACCAAGTGCGAGAGCAAAGTTGAGTTAATAACCCTGTGGACCGAATATTGCTCTCAGCCTCCCGCCGCGAGAAAATCACTCTTTTCTCTCTCTCGAGTGCGTCGCGGGCGATAATGAGCTGCACCAAACTGCTGTTGACTTTTTTCAGGCGGCGTCTGCATGTCACCCTCCCCTATCATGCTTCACGTCTATTTTATTTTGGGCGCCCACGCCCGCCCGCCTTGCCAGCAGGAAAAACCTGATTTCGAATTTATCCTTCCGCACTCTTCTCTCGTAATAATGCGAGATGGTTTGTTTCTTTCTTTACACTTCTCGCCACCCATTGTTGTTTTGTTTACGCCTGTCTGACTTTATTTTCTGTCGCGTCTGGTGTGATTGTCAGAGGATTTTCTACGTCGAAACGGTGCATTTAAAAAAATAAAATATAAAATGCAAGCAGCGAGAGGTATCAAGTTGTCACCTGCTCAGTGTGAAAAATTATCTCCTCAAAAACTGTAAAAATTTATGATTTTTACATTTTATCTTCACAATTTCAAGAAACAATTTTGATCGGAATTCTTAGAAAATGTAATAATTGATCTTAAAAAATGAACTTAGATCTATTTATCACAACCAAGATAAGATAAAGAGGTTTCAAACAATTTTAAACAGCATCTTTTTTTTTTTTTTTTTTTAAAAAGTAAAAATCATTGAACTTTAAAATTAAATATACAATACAATGATACATTTAATTTGTCATTACCGCACAAGAAGGTAAAATCTGATTCAAGTTATTTTTTATCAGGACAAACTGGACCAAAACACTCTATTACTTAACTTTTAATTTAAAAAACGATTTTAACAACGAGGAACAGACTTCTTCATTTCCATTTTAATTTATACTTCAAAATAATTACATTCTTTTTAATTATTTGTGATGTGATGCTTTTTTTTCAAAATCCAGTTTTTGAATCTATAAAGTCGTCACAATTTTAATGTTTCATGGTAATATTACAATAATTATATCTTTGCCGTCTTTGAATACCATGCAATTCACAAAAGTGTAGGCTTGAACTTTGAACAAATACTTCATCTTTGGAACTAAAGAATTGAAATTTATCTTAAAAATGTGTGCAAATCCCTTTCAATAAACCAAATATTTGCATAGATTGACTCCTATAGCTCGTGAAATAAAATTTAAGAAAGTGAAGAAAGTTGACTTACCTCGGCGAGGTTGTCCAGCTGTCCGAGCCACTCGTCGAGCAGCCGCTCAGGGTCCTCGGAGGGCGACACGCCGGCCATCTTTCGGCTCTGCAACCATATTTAGAAAGATGCTTCAGCACGAGCTCGTCAGCAGGGATTGAGCGCCGAGGCAAGCGACTTCCGGTGCTTGTTTTTGTCAGCAGACGCTCCTCGCACCAGCAAAGCAAAGCAGACATCAGAGTCGCTGACAAACGCAAACACCCCCGCTCTCCCTCTCACCGCGAAGGACGCACAAATAAATGCGTATAAATAAATAATTTGCATGAAAATATAAATAAATTCGCAACTGCGTTGCTAGGTTGCTAGGCAGCTCGAACGCGGAATGAATGGATAATCGGTTCGATTGGTAAGTTAAAAATAAATATATAATTTTTTTTGCGAACCGCCGAAAGGGGGCCTCTTTTTTATTGTCCAAGTCATCTGCCGGCTGAATGAGTCGCCGTTGTGTAATATTTGCGCGCCGAGGGGGAGGTTCGCGAAAATAAATAGCGGACGATAAGCGCTCGGCGCCGAAACGCCCGGCCCGTGCGTGTGTGTGCAAATCGCAAGCATTGCCTCTCGGCTTTATTGCTTTACTGCCATACAAGGAGTGCTTTTGTCTGTTTCGGACGGACTGCTGGGTGGGTGCGCAGCCGGAAGGAGCAGGGCATTTGTGCTCCAGACCAGACATCTCAACCCCAAAATAGAATTCGCAGAGGCGGGAAAAGAAAACGACGGGAAAAGCCAGACTTGTGCCATGAAAAAAGAAGCTCAATTATACAAAATAAGCTCTGAATTGCAATCCAATTAAAATTTCTTTACAGTATAGAAGGTTGCGAAATAAGTTGCGACGAGAAATGAGAGCAATAAAAGTTAACAGTACAAATAGTTCAATAAAAATGTATATTCTGACGTAATTCTAAAACTTTGCTCTTGTTGTGTACTTGATTGTCCTCCAAATGATCGAGTAGATAAATATTATATTGACTTGTTGAGTAAAAGGAATCAAACTGATATAGAAAGATCATATTTTCTACTCCTCAAAATTGAAAGTATTTATTTAAATATTAAACAATTCAATTTAATTGTTACATACAAATTTATATATTTGCAATCAAAAGTTAATAATTTTATTTATTGAATTGCAATTGAAATGGAAGACAAAAATTATGCAGTAAAATATTATCCGATATTATCTAACAAATGAAAACATTCTGAGAAATAAATTAATTAAAATCTTATAAAAACGTTTTAAATAAATTCATCTTTTTTCAAGCTAGAAAGATGAATTTTAACTCTAGTCAATTAAAATGGGCACAATGATTTTCACATAGACTTATGCACCACAAAATGAAATACAAAATAAAACCAAAATTTCAATACTCGACTGTTTCAACGCATTCAATAATTTATACGTGCATGGAAAATATATTTTTGTTTATCTGATCTCGATTGATCACAAACTTTTAATTTATTTCAGTTTTAAATTATGCAAATGCCAAGTGGAATATTCTAGTTCACGGCTGCCCTATGGAGAATTCCTTGCGCTGCGTCGCAAGAACCTGACGCAATTAGCCGCGATATCAATAAGCGCCTGAATGAGGCACGACGCGAGAATGCGAATGAGCGATGCAACGAATGTATTGATCAAGCCAGCGAGGCAAGAAGAAAAGTGCAACGGAAACCTCTGCATGCACTGTTTAGTGTCTTTCGCACCCGGCAAGGTCTGCTTCGCCCCAAGATACATATTACGCGAAAAGCGAAATACAAATAATGCAGCAAACTGCGCCAACCCACGCAGTCGAGCCAGTTTGGAACAAGGAAAGAAATTTGAAGCGTTTATTATTATTATATTTTCATTCCTTTGGAATTTGATGACGGCAATGCGGTTGCCAAACACCAAGAAGTTCATTGCGCCGACCTTGTCTGCTTCTCGCAACACCCTCTGAATTATGAAAGTAATTAATTACAATTACTAATGATTTTAAATTTTTTCCAGTGAAAATGTGATATTAAGCCGGAATTTTATCTTCTAGGGGATAATTCTGTTGTTAAAATTAAATTTTCCGTAAAAATTTTACAACTAATTGTAGGTGTAGAATTTGGAAACAATACAATATAATTAAAGTTTTGAGCAAAAATTGAGACAATGAGGAAAATCCTATGTAAATGTATAATTTAAAAACAAGTAAAAATCTTACTATTGAAAAACCTGAAAAATTGCACAAATTAACTTACTTCCCTATCAATATCTAATATAATTTTTTTTATGAGACGTTATATTAATTAAGCAAATTAACTTCATATCTAATTTTTTTAATTAAAATGTTAAAAATCATCAAACTCCCCATTTCTAAAAAGAAAGATAACAAAAATGAATTCATTATTTCCAATTATTTCAATAAATATTTGAAAAATTCACCTGCACAAAGTGGAACCAACCAAATTCAGGTCCCTAACCCTTCATCCAACTAACTGTCCCACGATAAAAGAATAAATATTTCATTTGCTCGTTCCGGATCCACTTCCGTGGGCGGACGACGATACAATCAATTTGGGCAAACTGATACATAAGTAGGCGTAACTTTCAAGTCCGTATTTGCGTGTCGACGGAAGGGTCACTCGGGCCGAAATTCGTCAAAGAGAGAGACGAACGGATGTTGGTTCTCTTTTTTTTCTTTCTCTCTGGCCGGAGACAATGACTGGGACGTGACTTGGGAGTCGATAGCCTAGAAAACGCGAGAGACCCAAAACACAACATGCAGCAGCCAGTGGTGTCGTCTATTGATTTCCGGCGAAGTGACCATACTAAACAGTTGGTTGCCCTTTGTCTCAGTTCTCTCAGTGGCAGAGACTCTGGCCAGACGATCGTTAATTCAGAGGAAGTTTCCTCGAGATAATTAAAAATGAATGGCTGGCACGTGCTCTCCACGTCCGCGGTGATAATTATATTGTTTTGTGGCTTTTCAGCCAACCACTTCGTAAGCCATAATCTTGACTCATCTCGAAATTACAAGAAAAACAGGAAAAAAATACTAATCCATAATTTCATCCGTTTCACCGGCTTTAACGTTTAAGGTTTTTCTCACTTCACCGAACTTCAGATTTCTTAATTTTCATTTTTTAATTTTTTTTATCATTTTCGGACTGTTTGGTTCTAAAACTGAACTCACTGAAAACAAAATGTTTTAACAAGAATTTATTCACAATTAACCATTTTTAAATTCAACATTGCCTTTTGATTTGATGAAATACTTTTAATTAGCTTTAATTGAAACAAAAATAATTTAAAAATGATGAAAAATAAAAGGAAATCTAATTGAAATTTTCTTCAAAATTGGAAGCAAATAGAGGCCTTATCTACTTTTATTTTAATTATTGAACTAGTGATTGAGATATCTGCAGGTTTTTTTCCATAAAATTATTTAGTTATTTCCATCTTTTTGGTACATTATAAATTTTGACAGAAAAAATTACTTATACTGTCGATTGTTCTTATTTTTTCATATAATTATAAATAATTTACTTTAGCATTGGATTGACTGATGAAAATAAAAAATATATAATTTGCAACTAATTGTAAGAATGTTAAATATTTTAAATGATTAATAATAAAAAAATCTCAAAATTTCCACTCCAAATCTGCAGGAAACTGCAGCTTGATTTTAAGCTGACAATTGAGTTCCATTTGCAAACAATACAAATAATATAATCAAATATAATACAAATAATGAAATCCACCTCGAGTGTTACCATTCAATTTAATACAAATAATAATCTTACTTAAACTATTAAAACTAAATTTGGTTATTAAGAAATTAAACAGAAAAATGTTCCTCATTATTTAAAAAACGAATAAAGATACAAAATTTGAAACCAACTGCATTTTTTAAAGGAAAAAACTAAAATAAAATGAAAAAACAGCAATTAAAATAATTAAATGATCACAAATTAAATTTTTTTAATATCTTATACGTATTGGTATAAATGGTATAAATTATAATAAAATGCAAGAAGGAAAAACCAGAAAAATGTTCTGCAGAACAAAAATGTGTTGACAACTTTGATTAATTGATAACTATTCTGATAAGATCGGCTTGCATAAATTTACCAATTAATTCAAACAACTCTTTCGTCAGAGCATTAATTCCCTTGAAAAAATTCAGTTCAAAACTCCTCCTTCAAGGCCGACCTGAATGAAAGTACGCTTCAACTTTCAATGGCGAGCACCACGCAGAAATTGTTTGCATAAATTTAAATCAGAACTTTTCAAAATTATATGGAAAAAGCAAAATGGAGTAGTTTTGGACAATACAAAATAAAAATACAAACCGACGAGAGTCGCGGAAAGGATTTCTAGGAATTTACCAGTCCGGATTTCCGGGCGATGCTGGTGTCCCACGCGAAAATCGCCTTATGTAACTCGTTCGTACGTCCCACACGCAAAGAAAGACGAGGAGCGACTGCCGAGGCCTCTCCGGCGGCGGAGGAGTCTGCAGAGCACGCCCCCGTCTGACTCACTCCTCCTCAAAGGTGTCCGTATTAAAATGACTCACCCTCTTGACTCACGCCGTCTCTCTCGTCCCTGCAGCCCCTAAAGATAGATGCCCTGAGCCCAGGGTCGGGGTCACGAGGTCACAGCTGGCGCCGGCCACTCCCACGGCCGAAAGACGCAGGCCGAAACAAGAAGGGCGTCTCGCTGCCGTCCGTCTGCCGTGCCACTGCTGCTGCTGCTGTAAACTCGAGGGCAACCGATGCTGCCAGATGGATTCCGTCCTGTTTCGCCAGACGCCCTCCAGAGGCGCTACCCGTCACGGGCCCACTCCTCTCCCTACACAATCGTAGCAACTGGGTTGTCGGACGCTCTTCTCACTAAAATTATGGAGAATATCATGGCCGATTACTGAAAGTGGCCCAATACCGATCACCAACCAAATTAATCCACGAATTTGTTTTGCTTCCGATCTAAACCCTCTAAAATCAGGCCGCTGTCAGCCCCGGAAAACGTCAAAAATTCTTCTTTTTTGAACGTTTGGGCTTCAAATTTCCCAGCTTTCTACCAGGGACCAGTTTTCTCTCATCTCTAGGCCCACCATTTGGCTCAAGAATGTCTACCACGGTGGCGGAACCGCTGACTTTGGCCAGGGGTACGTGTCATCCCTTTCTGATAAACAAATACATAAATTGTTCCTATCTTTTGTATACACCTGTCTCTCTTTTCTGTTAGATTTTATTGGTAAAGCAACATTATTTTTTGCAGATGTGAAAAGAGCCATCGAGCTTCTCGAAAAGCTGCAAAAAAGTAAGTTTTCACCTCCGTAAATCAAAGCTGTTTTTTTTTTATAAAAAATTATTTTGTGTAGGTGGAGAAGTTCCTCCAGCAAAACTTGCAGCTCTGCAAAAAGTTCTTCAATCCGACTTTTTGAATGCCGTCAGGGAAGTCTACGAACATGTTTACGAAACCGTGGACATTCAGGGCTCACAGGACATTCGAGCCTCGGCAACTGCAAAGGTGATTTGAAATAATTTATCAATATATGTCCTTTCTTCACAATAAATTTTCCTACTTCAGGCAACCGTGGCCGCTTTTGCTGCCAGCGAAGGTCACGCCCATCCCAGGGTGGTCGAGTTGCCCAAGACCGAAGAAGGCCTCGGCTTCAACGTAATGGGTGGTCGGGAGCAAAACTCTCCAATTTACATTTCGCGCATCATCCCTGGTGGTGTGGCCGACAGACACGGAGGCCTCAAGCGCGGCGACCAACTGCTCTCGGTCAATGGAGTGGTAATAATTTTAAATACTTAAAAGCGAAATTTTTCTTAAACATATTTCAATTCAGTCGGTTGAGGGAGAAAACCATGAAAAAGCTGTGGAGTTGCTGAAACAGGCGCAGGGCTCGGTGAAGCTGGTCGTGCGATACACGCCAAAGGTCCTCGAAGAAATGGAGATGCGTTTCGACAAGCAAAGGGCCGCTCGCCGCCGACAGCAGTTCCAGTAATACTTAACTCGGTAAATTTTAAAAGCAGTTTGCTGTTTCCTGCAAGATACATAGCGACTGAGCCACACCCCATCCTAGTCTTGCCCCCTTTTAAAAAAATTTGACAATTATATGCGTAAATCAGGCTCTTTTATGACAAATTTAAAATTTTGTTGCATATTAAATTTTAACTAATATTTGAATATTCCAAAATAATTGATTTGCTTCTTGTTGTATTTAATGCCATATTTAAAAGGAAAAAAATATTGAACTGTTTATTAATAATTTTAAGCTGGCAGCTTTCCGATCTCTGCATTTTTTCCTTTATTATTATACAATAAATGGAAATCTGTCAAGTTAAAATAATAAATCATTAATATCGTTATTGTGCAAAATATACCGAATGTCTCTTTCATTTAAATTTTTTAAACCAATTTATATTTATTAAGTTCTATCTTATACAGTCGAATCAAATCTCAGTTGCTGCTTGTCGTGAAAACCTCGTAATCTTGCACCTGGAAGTTGTAGCCGCCCATCAGGGTGTTCATGGTGGCGCCTTCGCCATCGTAAGTGTGAGGCAGGTTCGAGTAGCTCTCAGTATTTCGGTTGCAATTGTTGCTAATGGACAAGTCAGCGCCGGCTCCAAATACAGGCCCACAGCTTTAATAAAAAATCAAATTAATTCTGTACTCATTTGACATATTATATAATTTTTTTACTTCGGAACGTAAACCACGGCAAACATTCTTTTGACCACTGGGAATTTTGTCGGTGGAATATCCTGATTGTTGGCCAAGGTGAAGAGGAAGGCTTTGTCAGAATAGGCAAAGTAACCTTTGCTCTGGGGCCTTTCCCACGGCACGTTGCTAAAACCGCCACAAATGTGTCCCTGTTTACTCTGAAATTTGAAAAGATTTATATTTTTTAAATTTAATTTAGAATTAATTTACTCACCGCAACAATTGTATAGGTAGGTGAGATGCCGTCGCAAATTCTGTGAAATGCCTGAGCCGAGAAATTGTGTGCCGAAGCCCTGAAAACCAGGCGCCATTGCTGCTTCGGGTTTCCGTACCATTCATTCAAGATGCGCTGATAGCTCAATTTGTCCTGCTAATTTTTTATTAAATTTTTATTGCATTTATTAGAGGAATTAACTTACGTCGCCAAAAGAGTTTGAGCCTGTGAGGCTTAGGATTTGAGAGCCGGGAAAGAGGCTGCAAGACATCCTTGGCTGGTACCTCTTGTCCTCGGATTGCTCCCGGAATTTGTTGGGCAGGGCGGCGAATCGATACCTTTCCAGCGAAAGTTCAATTGGCACGGCGCCTGTTGGTTCTACCTCCTCAGCAAAAACTTGGCTATCTGAAAATGTATAACATGAAGAGTTTTTATCAAAAAAAGTAAATCATAAAAAAAATTTACTGGAAGTTCCAATACTACCATATTTACAAAATTTATTTTTTTCATATAATTTTGTTAATAAATTCAATAAATTGAATTAAATTTTAATTACTAACATGTTTCTTTGAAGAAAAATTATTTTTTTTTCTTATCGGAAGTTAAGACATTTTAAGGTTTTTCCTGCATCTTGTTTTTCTTCCCTTTAATTTAAACTAACCAATGAGCAGTAGTCGAACGTGGTTGATGACCCCAGCAAGGTGTTGGCAAACACGGGCGCGCTCCTCTTCGGCCCAGTGGGCGGTGGGTTGAGTGACACCAGCCTGATTCTTGGCCCACGCCAGAACGGCCCTCCAGACTTCCTCCTCCTCAACCGCCAACTATCAATATCTTTCAAATTATGCTTAAACAAATTAAATAAATTCTCACAAAATCCGACGAAATAACTTTGATGAGCGCCTCTTTGCTCAGGGACAGGAAACTGTTGGTTTTGAAGCACTCGATGGCGTTTTCTGCGATGAAGGAAATGCACGTGTCGAGAAAATTTTTGGCACCTCGTCCGCCTTGAAAATTTAACATAAAATAATAAAATTGTATTTTTTTTCTTTAAAATTTTTTACCGTGGGGTGCTGACCGCTCGTGCATATCAAGGGCGGCGGCGAGGAAGGTACACGCGTTGGCCACGGCCAGGGTTGACGTCACGTGGTCCTCGCAACTCACCCTGAGCTCCTCGAGGCCCAACTCGTGAGCCAAACCCATCATTTCGAAAACGCCACTGTCTTGAAGAACCAACTGCAGAAATAATATGACATAAATAACATAAAAATAAATTTTCTGCGAAAAAAAATAATAATTACCTTTCCAGTGTAAACGTAAATTAGGAAGGTGCGGAAATTGGCCTCGGAATAATGCGGCAAACGGACTGTGGCCGGCGCTCCTGCTGTGCCTGCGGTCACAGTGGTACCAGGAATGCGACAGATTTCGCCGCGTTTTATGCCTTGAAAAGCTGTGCACCTAATGATTGTTGATTTCTTTGTTAATATAATTTTCAAACTATTTTCAAATGTAAAAAAAATTATTTCGTAAGTGGAAGAAATATTTTGAGGCAAAAGATAATTTTGATGCTTTTTAACTTTATTTTTTGCCCCCGAGGCCAAATGGAAAAGATCGCGTGAGTTGAACTACTTTAATATATTTTATGGGGATCATTTCGTATTCTCAAAATACCTCGCGGCCAAAATGAGCCTGTGCGCATAAACGGGGCTTTCTTCTCTGCCCAGCAGAAAAACAATATCAGCCGAATCTTTGTCTTCCAGCAATCTCCGCAGGTCCTCAAGCAGACCGGACACGCCTGAGAGGGTCTTGTCCGAGTGGATGGCGCTTTGGACGCGCGTCCCCATCTCTATTTTGACAAGTGATTCTTGAATGCCTTGATATTAAAAATAAATAATGTGTTAATATATCAACATTTTTTAACAAAACCAATTGGTTTATTCCATTTTTTTTGTATTATATAATATTGAAAAAAAAACATCTTTTAAATCTCAATTGAACAATTGGAATTAGTAGGAAAATAAAATAATATTTAATAAAATAAGATACATGTGATATGGCTAAAAAAATTTGTATATTAAGAAATAGTTGTTGTTAGGGATTTTTGAAAAAAATTGCCAAACAACAGTAAAAGATTTTTGCCAGAACTTCTGACAATGAGATCTAAAAATTCACAGAAGTTATTAAGAATGAAGTTTTGATGCATTATGTTTATAATTATTTTGTTTCTTAAATTCATTGCAGTTACAGCAAAATTTTAATGAAACAAAAAGAAATGTCAAAGAAAAAAAAATTAAAAATTACAGTAAGAAAATATTATTATTGTATTTATTTTTTTCAAAATTCAGATTTTTTATACATGAATTTGGCGTATAGAGAGACTCTAGAAACAATGTGAAGTGCGTTGTCAAACCTTAACACATTAATTTATAACCTACACTTTTTAATTTCAAGCTTAAAGTTGAAAAAAGCTGAAATTGAAGAGAAAAAGCCGAAAAATCGGCGCCCTTACCTCCGCTGGCGTGCCTCTGCTCGCGAGCCAAACAAACAATCACCTGAGCCCCCGACGGTCTCGCTCTTTTTTCTACCTGCGCGCCGAGATTATATATTTTCTCACACAAGCTCTCTTTCAGGTCCGTGCCTTTTTTCAGGATGCTTAGGAATGCATGGTTGCCACGTCTCGGGCCGGACACCGATTTGCATGTGGATCGATGAACCTCCGCCGAGCCACCTCAGGCAGCACCTTTTCCGAAAAACGGGCGCGGGCAGTTTGGGATTTGATTAAAATTTTGTTTTTATTTCAACAATTTACTGCTTTATTGCTTCCTTTCATAAATTTCTTCACATTTTCCAGACATATTCGGTGCACAGATACCGTTTTAATTCGATAAAACGTAATTTATTTTACTCCTCTGTATTCGGATAGATTTTTCCTAATACGCTACACTCACTACATCATAATTCTAGTTTATTTTATACAAAAAAGTATTTTTACATTAACAGTTTCACAAACCATTTTTTTTTAATATTCCCTCAAGGATTTAACGTGGACCCGTTTATTTTACAGCATTTTATTTTGACTTTTGAGCATTTTTTTAAAACACCTCTGAATTGAAATTAAATTGTCATTTATTGCTGGACATTGGACACAGAGTTAATTAATGTAGTTCCAAATAATACAAAAAAATACAACATTAACAAAAAACTCTGACAAACTAAATAATATTGGACTTGAAACTTATGCAAGGTTAAGGATCATCATATTTAGTCTCGCAATATTGGCTGATGTTTATTCAAAATGTTTATCTTGGCACGACTTTATTTATTTCACCAAAGGATGATTTTGTTTTAAATATTATATTCCTAACAGTAATTGCATATTATTACTCATCCTCTAGATGTCTACTGATCAAATTTGCAATAAAAGTTCAGTATCTTATTGGTAGAGATCCTAGCAATTTATGTGAATCCGACCTTCTCTTCCGCCAATATTTTCAGATTCTTGATATCTAAAAATTTTCACTGGCTATTTATTTTTTTCAAAATTTTGCTTAGTAACAATAATACCTAAAAGCTTCACTTTGTTAGTTATGGCACATTAATGTATCATTGCTTGCTTATTCTATTTCAATTAAAACTGCTTCTCTGGACAGAATTTCAATATATGTTCAATATCATATATCGTAATCTAAAACTAGACCAAATATTATTAAGATAACATGTGATAAATGCAATATCCATATGTTTTTTTTTATTTGCGAAGTAATTTTTGTTATGTTTATGTCACAGCTTTAAACACGAGGCAAAACTTTATAATGAGAGATCCTGTGTTTTTAATCTAATTTTGATAATGCTCTGTTCTCTTTTGTATTGATTTTTTCATAATCAAATATGGTGTTCATCTCGTAAGCGCGCGCGATCGCAATGCAAAATATTTTCGTGAAGCATTTAAATTCATGTATGGTTAATTTTATAACATGATCCTCTGGCAATTACCTTAATCGAATGTATCATGAATTTTTTATATTTCAATCGCTTAAATTATTAGTGATCAAGATTTGGCCGCATGATTTTTCTAACAATTACAACTAATTGACTAAGTCGTAAACGTCAAAAATATATACGCTGTAGGTTTATATTAAATTTTTTCTTACTGTAGTTGTCCAAAAATGTATGCATGTTTTTTATTGCGATATATAATTTTGTATTTTCACTCCTCTGCTATCTTCCCAAATAATTAAATTATTAAAGGTAATAAAATTAATTTTATCGAATTTGATCACAAAGCTAGAAAAATGTCAATTTTCAAATAAAGTTAAAAATTTTAATTAATTTTAATTTCACTTTCCATCTCCTATCCCCATGATATTTTGCAAAATTGGAATAAATTCTCAAAATTCGGAGAAAAAAATTAAATCCTCGTGTACCTTCTTGTTTTGTACAAAGCCAGCGTCCTCAAGTTGTTGTGCGCAGAGGATGCGGCCTCGACGGCAGCGCCGACTTGCAGCAGAGATGACGACGCCGCCGTCGTCCGAAGCTAGAGCTGTGTGTACAGATGAGTCTGGTAAAGGTCGTTGGGAGGTGGAGGCGGCACCGGGGGCCGGATCACTGGGGGCGGCATCGCAGGGGACTGCATGCTGGGCGCCGCAGGGGCCGCTTGCATGGCCATCTCGCGAAGGGCGTCGCGCAGTTCGGCGCGCACGCTGGCGATGATGTCTCTTTTCAGGGCCTCCAAAGTCTCCGGCGCCGTTTCGCGTAGTGGCGCCGTCGAGGCGGTGCTGCCGTAGAGACCCGCCGACGCCATACTACCTGTTACACAAAATATAAGGAGTTGGCTATCAATTTTATTTTGATCATAATTTTTCACACATAAAAAATAACAATTATTATAAGAAAGCAAAAATAATACAATGAAAATTAAGATGTGTTTACTTAAAAATTACTGCGGATTTGAATTTTTTAATATTTTCCTCTCAGGAAATAGGGTTGTAGTGGCAAAAACTGGTCAAGCATCTACTTTATAAAAAATTTTGATTGAGGTTTTACTCTTCATTAATGTCTCTATAAATGCTAGTTTCTTCACAATAACAAGAGTTTTAATTGTTCAAGTGGATTCTCCTCTTTATGAGTATTTTCCTCTTTGTACATAAAATAACCTACTTGTATGAAATATTTTTTTAAGTAGATAGAAATAAAATTTCAAATTTTAAAAGATAAATTCCCAACAATTAAAAAAAAAAATTATTTTACTTGATCTAAACTTGCTAGTAATGGTTTTAATTATCATTAAACCTTTATAGCATTTACATTTTAAAAACTAATATGTTATTAATAATATTTTTAAATTTTATTTTATCAATTTTAAATAACTGACCGTGTAGCGAATGAGGTAGAAGAGGCTGCGGAGGTGGTGGCGGAACTTGCAAATCAACCACAGGATGGTGCGCCCTGAGCATTCCAAGGTCGAAAGATCTCTGCTGTGGTGGTGGAAGGGTTTGGGGCGAAGCAGGCAGACTTGAACGCACAGAACGGACTATGTCTTTTTTGATCGTGTCCAAGTGTGCCGAGGTTCGAGCACTCTCCCTTTTTCGATCCTCACGCAGCTCATACCTTTCAGATTTTATCTTTATAAATTTTTATTATTGGAAATATTTAAAAAAGACCTTAGACTGGAGATGTCCTGCTTGATTTCGAGCAGATCGTCTTCGTTGACGCCGTCCTGCCGGCATTGCTTTTTCATTTTGTGGATGTATCTGTTTACCAGGCGACGCATGATTTCGTTGTAAGGGCATGGCTGAGGCATCGGAGGGCCTTGCTGAAGAAGAAAAATAATACAAAAGTAGCAAAAGAAGATCACCTGAAAAATTTTAGGTTACCGAACTTTCAACAGATGTTTGTCGGCCAGTTGAATTTGTATCACCATCCTAAAAAATTTAAATCTTTCAAGTTTTTTCTTTCACAATAAAAATAAAATGCTATAAAACCAGGAATTTCAATGAAAATAATGCTGAAGTATGCAACCTGCGAGACTCTTAAGTTACGCAGGTTGCATCTCCTAAAACAGAAAGGCGCTTTGATCTTACCACGAGTAGGCCTTTCTCGGCCGTGGCGGGCCGCGGGATAGAGTGGAGCGGTGATTTGGGCCGACTATAGAGACGCACCAACAGACCTTTGATGCCCTTGAAAAAGTAGAAGACCGATTTGGGGCTGATTATGACGTTGAAGGGTGGCGGAAGGGTGCACCCTTCATCAAAATAACTCATCCACAGCTTTGACCGAGCAAACTTCCACTCCTGATCTGCGTGGTCCTAAACAAAAGCATAAAAATTCATAGTAAAATTTTATCCTATTTTCCGCTATTTTCTGAAATAAAAAGGAAATTATTTACCTCGATGACTTGGAAACTGTTAGACATCATAGCGATCAGCATGTTAATGAGGACTATGATGCTGAGTACGTGATAGGCCATAAATAGGCCCTGGCCTACAAACTCAACAAAGGGATGTGCATCAACCAATTCGGTACTTTTAGGCGAGCTGATGCCAAAGAGAGACCAGAAGAGAGTAGCAAACGTCACATCCAATCTAAAAATAAAAAGTACAGAGAATGAGATTTTAAAATAAAATTGAAATTTTTTTACGTTGTGAAAGCGTCCGAGTTGGACTGGCACTCCATCTTGCCGTTGGGCCGCTCTGTGCAGTGCTCCGTGTTGGAGTCGTAGTACCAATAAAGCTGGTTGAGGCCGCACGCAAAACTGGTCAGCACCAGGAAGAAGATGAATAGGAACTTTGCTATGTCTGGATAAAAAAATTTAAAAAACGTGGGCGAAAAATTGGAGACGCACTGACCAATGATCATGCAGCCAAGGGAGATCTGCAGAGGACCAAGATGGGGGTTTGTCTGGAAGAGGTAAATTATCCTGGCAAAGCTGAAAACGTTGGCCACGGCAAAAACTCCTTCAGCGATCAAGGTTGGGTCATTGTTTGGCCACTGGGTTCGTGGAAGCTCCCTAAAAGGACTATCTGAATAGTGTGTTTTGCTTCGATACACATTTAAAAATTACAATTTTTATTTAATTTAACAAAAAGAGTGATTGAGACCCTGTTTTTTTTAAATCATTCTAATACCCTGTTGAAATTTTATGGTTCGATTAAAAAATAAATTGAAGATTTAAAAAAAAAATCAAGAAATTTATTAATACACAAACAAGAACATCACCATTTTTATTAAATTGATCGAAATTTATTCTGTTGGCCCACTCACTTGTTGGTGGTAATTTGCAGATAGGCCACTGCCCTTAGGGAAAAAGTGCACAGATAGAGCGAAAGCATGATGAAGTCGAGCCAGTTCCACCACTGGCGCACGTACGCCTTCAGGCCTTCCTCCCATAGCTGCTTGCATTCGGACCACACCTGGGCCCAGAAAGAGAGAAAACTCAGCTCGAAGTAACTCAATTTAATAAAAACACGTATAAAAAGGTGCGCTGCTGGGGAAAAAAAAGTTTGGTAAAAACGAGTTAGCGACGAATTCGCCCGTTTCGTTGAATAAAGCAACTTTTGTAGTTGTGGATTTATTCGAGTGTCGCCTCGGAAAGGTGAAACTCTAAATTTATGAGGGCCAGTTGGAAAATAAAACAAGATCAGACAATCCAGAGAGGTGTATTTTATGAACTTTGACTTTTACGAGGGCGGATCGGCAGTATTTGAATGGCTGAAATTGATAAAATATTATTCAATTCAAAGCTGCAGTAAAAATTTACGATTTGTTAGTTTTTCAGAACACTTTGTTCAAATTGACAACAAAAGCTCCCTGTCCCGGATAAATTTTGTTGTTATCAGAAATCATTTACGCCTAACCATCATAAGTGGTGAAAACCCCATCAGGCCATATTTCTTTTTTTTCTCCCCTTTCCGTTTTTTTTCTAACGGTGGCGGTGAAATATGTGTGGGAATGTGTTTTTCAGCCCCGGGCGGAACAAAAGTACTCACCATTCCCGACACCCAGAAGAGGATGAGCCACTCTATGACGGATGGCGCCGGACCACGGGTGTTCTGTCTGTAAACCTCACTGCCCTCGGTTCTGGTCGACGCTAACACCAGTAGCACCAGAAAACAGCCAAACGAAGCGCTGCAACACAAGAGTGAGATCATTTTTCATCAAACCCGATTATCGGATAAATTTTGATTAATGGTGTTGTTGTAGGGTATGAAATATTTATTATAACTGTATTGAGCAAAACAGAAAAAAATAGTCTAAATTTGACAAGGACTTACTAATTAGAGATGAAAAGCCTTCGGATATTTAATTTGAAAAATTGTACATGTGTAAAAAAGAAATTTAATCAAAGAATTTGTGTTTCAGTTTCAAGAAAAATATCTTAATTTGAAATCAGAACGATTTTTTTTTTAAATTAAAATAAGCATGTCATAATTGCATATGATTTATTCAATTATCATTTTCCTCATTGAATTTTTTTTTATTATATTTTAATGAAATGAATGAAGAAGTTGTATATTATTATTAAAGCTGTTTTTGTTTCATAACAGTGAACACATTTTAAGCTCAATGCCACAACACACCTTCTGGTTGTTTTCTCATTTTTCTCAACGTAATTTCCCTGCAAGCACACAAACGCACTGCTGTATACGCGTCTCCCGCTGTGGAACAGAGCGGGGCGTGAAATTTTTTACTTGGTGTCAAGTCGGGATTTGGGTGCGGCGAACAGGTCCCGTATACACAATGTTGAATGGTGAGAGAAATGAGAATTCAACTCATGCATTTGACAAAGACAAATCTTCAACGTAGCGAAGATGCGTGAATATTTGACAAAAAATCTTTAAGCGTTATCTGGTGGCTTCATAATTTTGATTTAAATTTTAAATAATACAGCAAAGCTTGTCGTTCAAAATTCCATTTCTCTCTTCTCTCCCAGGGACCAAATCCTCTCCCTCCCTTGTTTGCGTATTTTATGAAAATATTTGGCCCCGGCGCAGCTAGAGCTCAAATATTCATAGGACGCGCTGGAAAAGACGGTGGCACCTTTTTTCTTCGCTGTCTTCTTTACCACCGCTTTTTCTTCTCTGCGGCGGGTCGTCTTTTATATTTTTGCTGCTTGGAAAAGGCTTACCCGCCTTTGTGAAGAAATGCAAAACGGGACGGGGGCGGGATGTACCCCGCAGATTTGTGTTTCAAACACGAATAGCATCGTAAAGTTCGGATCAGAGTTACGCTCTACAATTGTGGACCTACTTGGAGCCGCTTATAGCTTTTACTACGACCGATGTTACGTTTACAACACAAATATATTTTCCCTTCCTGGATTTGGAGATCAGAATAGACCCAAAAATTAGCATCAAAGGAATTTACAATTTGATTTGTGGCAAGATTTTTTTACATTTTTCTTCGTGTTCTGTTTTATTGTGTGACGGAAATTTCCCTTTATGTTTTATTCAAATTCACCCCACGTTCCCAATATATTCAATGGTTTGCTTGTCAAATTGATTTTCCACCATACACAGAACACAAACCACTATTGGCACACAAAGCAAACTCATTCCAGTGCTGCGAGTGAGCGCCGTGTGATTTACAAGTTTCCGAATCGATAAGTTGGGTGCAAATATTGCAAAAGTCTGTTTATTCGACCAAAATCATTATCAGTATTTCAGTAAATTCTAGTTCAAATTACATAAATAGCAAAATAAAGTTAGATTAAAAGAAAAATTTACAAAAGAAAATTTAAGTTTTTCAATAATTATGAGGCTTACTGCGGAGGCTGGGGTCTTTTTGATCTTTGAAGTTTTAGCAAAATTCTTGCCAGTGGTGGTGCCGTTATGTCCAACAATTCCTTTTTTATTAAATAAAAATAGTTTTCAACAATCGAATTTAAACAATATATTTTATCAATGTGGTTAAATAAACAACAGTAATGATAATTAATTTGCAAGAATGATTTCTATAAATAAATATGACATTTTCAAATAGAATATTCTATCAATTATCAACATACATGGGTGCGCTCAGCAATTTTGCGCTCGCGCTCGCGCTCGCGATCACTGGCAACAGTGCGCTCGCGCTCTGCGCTCGCGCTCAAGATTTTGAAAATGTTGCGCTCGCGCTCTGCGCTCGCGCTCAATTTTTTAAAAAGTCTTGCGCTCACGCTTTGCGCTCAAAAATATTTTTACCCGAAGAAAAAGTGCGACTTTTTAGACAATTTTTTAATATAAAAAAAATCCATCGTCAATTGAAAATGATAAAGTTGAAGTTAAATTACCAAAATTGGGATCAGTTTTGAAGTTTTTGGTATAAAAACACTGTTTTTCGTTACAATTTATGATCAAATTTGGGAGTTTTTACTTTTGGTTTGAGCGCAAAATGAGCGCAATTGAGCGCTGCGCTCAGCGACCAATGCGCTCGCGCTCTGCGCTCGCGCTCACGATTTTGAAAATCGTGCGATCGCGCTCTGCGCTCGCGCTCATGAGCGCAGAGCGCGAGCGCAGATCGCAGAGCGCAAAGTGCGCTCTGCCCATGTATGATTATCAAACACAAAATGTACGCTGAAAAAAGATTTGTTTTGTGATAATTTACGTAACGCATTATAAATTGAATCAATTTAAAAATTAAAAATAATCCTTTGCCAAAAAGGAATTTAATTTAATCCAAGATTTGAATGGAAATTATTTGCATCTGGAAATTTTTAGAGTGTAATCATGTTTTAAAAACAAAACTTTTTCAATAGTCTTCAAATGAAAGTATCACAATTTATGAATAAAATCACCACCAAGAAGGAACAAGGGTGCAATAAATGGGTTTCATGCGCATAAAAATTGATTTGATTGTTCTTTCGGCAAAACTTTTTTTGTATCTGCAAGTCAAAAATTTCGATCAGAGATTATTGAGGTAGTGCGACTCTAGTTCCGCAAGGGTGAATCAGAAAATTTGATGCGCTAAATTGCTTCCTTTGGAGCGATTGAGTTCAAGTATTCTTCGGACCTTCTCTCCTTATCGCTCGCAAGCAAAGGAGCAGCGAACATATTTTTTTTCTCATGCGCTGATGTTTCTTGTCCACGTCAGCCAACTTTGATCGACGCTCTTCTTCCTCTGGCTTTTCATGCAAAAAATGAGCGAGGTGGCACCGGAGCAGGAAGGAAACAATAAAGGAAACCAGCGACGCGACATCCCTAATATGCGTGTGTGCAAGAGCGATACACATGCCCTCCGATAAAGGGTTGTCATGGAGACACGATCAAAAGTGACGTCAGCCTCCGACGAGAGAGCGCGTCGTGATTTTTCCAGTTAATTATTCACGGGACGAAAATAGCCTCTTTCAAATCTGTTTAGCGGATTAAAAAGGACACCGCGGTCATTTTTTCACAGCTGGAAAATTACCCTCCCAACATGTTCACTACTTATTATTAAAAAAATAATAAAATTAACGCAATTGTTCATGAAGTTTAACAACAAAAATTTAATTTCAAGCAATAAATAAAACTAATGCGGTGGATTTTCATGCGCCAAAGAGCGCAAAAAGTTTAATCCTAATTGTAAAGTTTTGATTTCACATAAATGAGGACTAGTGACAGGCGTCGTCTACATTGACAGTTGAATAAATATTCTTTAGTTTTAAAAGATTTTTATATCGCTTGAATATTAATTAAAATTTAAGGATGACTTCAATCCAGAGCAATACATAAAAATATTTTTATGAGTGTTCAAGCGCCAAAGCGCGCAAAAAGTTTAAACCAAGCATTTCATCTCAAGACGTCAGAATTAAGTAGGATCAAATAAAATTAATATCATTTTCACGCGAATGATCATGAAATTCAACAAAAACACTTAATTTAAACCAAGGAATCAAACTATTGCGGTAGATTTTCATGCGCCAAATCGCGCAAAAAGTTTATTCCTAACGTTTTGTTTTTACAAAAATGAGGACTACTCACGGAAGTCGTCTATTGACATTTGAATAAACATTCCGTGGGTTTAAAAGATTTTTGTATCGTTTGAATACTAATTAAATTTTAAGGATGATTTCAATCCAGAGCAATAAATAAAAATATTATTATGCGTGTTCAAGCGCCCAAGCGCGCAAAAAGTTTAAACCAAGCGATTTATCTCAAGACGTCAGAATTAAGTAAGATCATCTTAAATTAATATCATTTTCACGCAAATGATCATGAAATTCTACAAGAACACTTTATTTCAACCAAGAAATCAAACTATTGCGGTGGATTTTCATGCGCCAAATCGCGCAAAAAGTTTATTCCTAAAGTTTTGATTTTACAAAAATGAGGACTACTCACGGGAGTCGTCTATTGACATTTGAATAAACATTCCGTCGGTTTAAATGATTTTTGTATCGCTTGAATATTAATTAAATTTTAAGGATGACTTCAATCCAGAGCAATAAATAAAAATATTATTATGTGTGTTCAAGCGCCAAAGCGCGCAAAAAGTTTAAACCAAGCGACTCATCTCAAGACGTCAGAATTAAGTTAGACCAAATTAAGTTAATATCATTTTCAGGCGAATGATCATGAAATTCAACAAAAACACTTAATTTGAACCAAGGAATCAAACTATTGCGGTAGATTTTCATGCGCCAAATCGCGCAAAAAGTTTATTCCTAACGTTTTGTTTTTACAAAAATGAGGACTACTCACGGGAGTAGTCTACATTGACATTGAATAAACATTCCGTAGGTTTCAAAGATTTTTGTATCGCTCGAATACTAATTAAATTTTAAGGATGACTTCAATCCAGAGCAATAAATAAAAATATTTTTATGAGTGTTCAAGCGCCAAAGCGCGCAAAAAGTTTAAAACAAGGGATTCATCTCAAGACGTCAGAATTAAGTAAGATAAAATTAAATTAATATCATTTTCACGCGAATGATCATGAAATTCAACAAAAACACTTAATTTAAACCAAGGAATCAAACTATTGCGGTGGATTTTCATGCGCCAAATCGCGCAAAAAGTTTATTCCTAACCTTTTGATTTTTCAAAAATGAGGACTACTCACGGGAGTCGTCTACATTGACTTTTGAATAAACATTCAGTGGTTTTAAAAAGATTTTTGTATCGCTTGAATACTAATTAAATTTTAAGGATGACTTCAATCCAGAGCAATAAATAAAAATATTATTATGAGTGTTCAAGCGCCAAAGCGCGCAAAAAGTTTAAAACAAGGGATTCATCTCAAGACGTCAGAATTAAGTAAGATAAAATTAAATGAATATCATTTTCACGCGAATGATCATGAAATTCAACAAAAACACTTAATTTAAACCAAGGAATCAAACTATTGCGGTGGATTTTCATGCGCCAAATCGCGCAAAAAGTTTATTCCTAACCTTTTGATTTTTCAAAAATGAGGACTACTCACGGGAGTCGTCTATTGACATTTGAATAAACATTCCGTGGGTTTAAAAGATTTTTGTATCGTTTGAATACCAATTAAATTTTAAGGATGATTTCAATCCAGAGCAATAAATAAAAATATTATTATGCGTGTTCAAGCGCCAAAGCGCGAAAAAAGTTTAAACCTAGCGTTTCATCTCAAGACGTCAGAATTAAGTAAGATCAAATTAAATTAATATCATTTTCACGCGAATGATCATGAAATTCAACAAAAACACTTAATTTAAACCAAGGAATCAAACTATTGCGGTAGATTTTCATGCGCCAAATCGCGCAAAAAGTTTATTCCTAACGTTTTGTTTTTACAAAAATGAGGACTACTCACGGGAGTCGTCCATTGACATTTGAATAAACATTCCGTGGGTTTAAAAGATTTTTGTATCGTTTGAATACCAATTAAATTTTAAGGATGATTTCAATCCAGAGCAATAAATAAAAATATTATTATGCGTGTTCAAGCGCCAAAGCGCGCAAAAAGTTTAAACCAAGCGATTCATCTCAAGACGTCTGAATTAAGTAAGATCATCTTAAATTAATATCATTTTCACGCAAATGATCATGAAATTCAACAAAAACACTTAATTTCAACCAAGGAATCAAACTATTGCGGTAGATTTTCATGCGCCAAATCGCGCAAAAAGTTTATTCCTAAAGATTTGTTTTTACAAAAATTATCAGGACTACTCACGGGAGTCGTCTATTGACTTTTGAATAAATATTCCGTGAGTTTAAAATATTTTTGTATCGCTCGAGCACTAATTAAATTTTCAGGATGACTTCAATCCAAAGCAATAAATAAAAATATTATTACGAGTATTCAAGCGCCAAAGCGCGCAAAAAGTTAAAACCAAGCGTTTATCTCAAGACGTCTGAATTAAGAAAGATCAACTTAAATTAATATCATTTTCACGCAAATGATCATGAAATTCAACAAAAACACTTAATTTAAACCAAGGAATCAAACTATTGCGGTGGATTTTCATGCGCCAAATCGCGCAAAAAGTTTATTCCTAAACTTTTGATTTTACAAAAATGAGGACTACTCACGGGAGTCGTCTATTGACATTTGAATAAACATTCCGTGGGTTTAAAAGATTTATGTATCGCTTGAATACTAATTAAATTTCGGATGACCTCAATCCAGGGCAATAATTAAATATATTATTAAGAGTGTTCAAGCGCCAAATCGCACAAAAAGTTTAAACCAAGCGTTTATCTCAAGACGTCAGAATTAAGTAAGATCAAATTAAATTAATATCATTTTCACGCGAATGATCATGAAATTCAACAAAAACACTTAATTTCAACCAAGAAATCAAACTATTGCGGTGGATTTTCAAGCGCCAAAGCGCGCAAAAATTTTAAACCAAGCGATTCATCTCAAGACGTCTGAATTAAGTAAGATCAACTTAAATATATAATTTTGTTGAATAATAAGATATTCGAATTATTTTTTCAAGATCAAATTTGTAATAGCTTTTTTTTATCTTTTTCAATAAAACTAGATTATTTCATAAATCTAAATTAGATGACAATTCGCATTAACGGTTTTTAATTTTCAAAGGCGTTTTAGCCAATTTATTATTTGCATTTTGGCAAATGAAAAGGATATTGTGCATATAGGTAGAAGTTAGAGAAGTTTGCCCAAACTTTGCCGTAGGTGGATGACTTTTTCTTTCTGAATCGCTGAACATGCAAAAACAAACAGCAAGTAGAAATGGCGTTTCGATAGAAGCACAGACGCAGGTTGTTTGCGCGCTCTTGCTAAAAGAGATTCCCGTTGGGACCGCGCTCTTTTGCCAGGCACGTTGCCAGGTAAAATATCCGTCATAACTAATTTTTAAACGAATCAACGATTTGAAAAAAAATCTTGATTTTTAAAAAATGAATAGAATATTTAGAAGATTTTGTTTAAAAATTGTAAAATGTGTTTTTTATTTTGATTTGATACCCCAACCTAATATTATATTTGAAGTAGGAATAAATTTGAAATTAGAATTTAAAATAATATATATTTTTTTTTAGATTTTTTTCTTTGTGATCGTTTCGCTCTGTAAGATCTAAAAAGCTATTTCTTTTAATATGATTTGTCCCCAAAGGATCTGAACGACTTTAACTCAATCTTCTGATGCCACTTTCTAATTAACAATCTTTTGCTTGTAACGCTCTATAAAAGCGGCAAAACTCACAGAAGCATCTCATAAAAGTCGGAAATTTTTATGATCTACGAGTCTCTCGCGACCATAATTTAAAGTTGACTCACGCGTTGCCTTTTCAGAGGCACGCGCGCCTCTTTGCTCTTCCTCTGCATCCCTAATTTCGCGAGTATCGATCGAATTCAAAAGTACCTCCGGAAAAATCAAAAAGTTTGCGACTTGATTCATTTGCTGCGAATGGCCCTTTGGAAAAAGGGGGAAGTAATTTTATTGGGATTCGGATCACGTGCCACTCACCTGTGGTAGATGAACTTCATGAAGGGCGACCTGATGAGTCGGCCGAGACGGGTGCGAGGGAAGAGGAGGTACGTAGCGGCCAGCAGGGGCATCGCAGTGATGATTGCTAAGCAGAGCAGGACCTTTTCTAATCCACCCCGACGTCGCCAAATCGGAAAACCCTCGTACCAGATGGAAGTTAGCAGCTGCTGGCAGTGAGGATGGGCCACAAACTAGGCAAAAGGAAAAAATGAATATTTATTAAAAAACATTATTATAAAAAAAGTAACTTTTGACATTAATATAATTATATTAATTTATATCATCTTATAAGTTTTTTGTTGTTCAATTTTTGGCAAATATTTTAATAAAAAAAAAAAATAAAAAAATAAGAATTTAACAATCAATTATTGTTAGGAAAAAATTAAATAGTGGAACTGCAACAATTTTGCTAATAATTCTTAATTAAAAAGAAGATCCCATCTTCCACCAAATTGAAGATATGCATTTTTTTTATAATTATTTGCAATAAATTTTTTTAGAATTAAGTATGTAATTTTCAGATTTGCCTGTCGTAAGTCACACCTGTTTCTGATCGTATTTGAGGGCAAGTTTGAGTCGGTCGAGCGAGAGCCTCTCCAAGGTGGGCGCCTCATCGTACATGGAGGGTTCTTCGGGGGTGGTGGTGCGGCGGTTGAGAACTGCGATCACCTCCTCACTCGAGCGGCACTGATCCAGCAACTCGCACGAGTACCGTTTGCATTGTGTGCTCAGCTCCATGTACGTGTCTTTGAACTCGTTCTCCACCTTGGCTAACCGCTCTAACTCCCACGACAACTGGAAACAATAGAATAGAATACAGATTAAAATAGTATAAGCTGTAAAAAAAAGATGTTTCACGAATGTTTTAAAAATTTTAAAAGAATAAAAAATTAGTTTATAACTGACAAATGTTAGCCAAATATTGAAACGATAAAGTGCTATTGATATAGCTTTTAATTTTGGATATCAAAGATAACAGATCACTGAATTGGAAAGGCCTGATAATAGGCTGGCATCGTTGAACTGCAAAAATCCCAGAAATTGCATTCCTCATGACTCATGACTTTGTAAGGCCATGACTTATGATATTGATTGCAGAGGGTCTCTGATTAAAACGAAGCCTCAAAAAGGATTTTGTTGTAACTTTGCTTAATATTGAACATTCATCGTGATTTCTATTTCAAATTTCCTTTTTCTAATTTTAAGACTAATTAATTACAAGAATTTTAACTTGCATCTATAAAAATAACAAAAGTTTTTTATATTATGTTCATTTTTGCTTATTATGTCAAAAATATTTACTGCTTTTTAGAGATATAATATATTTTAATAATTTTAAATTGTTAAAATGAAACATTGAAACTTTGCATCAAATTTACACAGCAAGAGAGAATTGTAAACTTTTCCACCACCCAGGAATACACTTTATTTCTGCGGTGGTGAGTGAATAGGCGACCGTGTCTCTGCGGCACCTGCTCTCCGGAAAATCGCTGCTATTTCACCAGCGCGGCCGGAGGTGGCCTGCAGTAACTCTTTAAACGCGTAAGCACACAAACTCACTTGGACCGCAATTGCACGGCTAAACTTGCGAGACCACTTTTAACAAGCGTGGCGCGCGCGTTTCCTCTTTTCTCTCTCTAGTCTAGGGCGGGCAAAAGTCACAAACATAAATAAAACAAGAGTTAAACCGCCGCAAATCTCGGTTTATCTTTTGAAAAATAGCAGCGAGGTTTGTTTGCATACCTTGAAGGAGGAGAGGATCGGGTCATGGCTGGTGAGCGAGAGCCAAGCAGGACTGGCCAGGGCTCGGTAAGTGTGGATTCGTTTTAAGGAATAACGAAGGCTGTCCGACTGTTTGCCTTCTTCGCACTGCCGGCAGAAGCAGCTCAGTGGGTGAGGCTTGTCGATATAGGCACCTATAATTTGAAAATAAAAATAATAAATTAAAAATTTTAAATTTCATTAAAAATTATTGCATCAGAACTTATACCAGGAGATTAAATTTCCTTATAAGTAATTTTTGGAAATGAAGATTCGGGCTTTTCCTCGTTGCAAAAAATTGTTTTTTATTCAAAAACAAACGGCTCTTCTTGTATTAGTCAGCGAGCAGCGCGTTTGCTCATGAAATAGGGTCGCAGACCGTGACCGAAACTGGTGAGCCGTTTGTTATTGAATAAAAAACAATTTTTTGCAACGAGGAAAAGCCCGAATCTTCATTTCCATGATCATCTCCTTGAGTGTCAACTTCTTCAAACAAAAGTAATTTTTTAATAAATTTCTCACAATCAATTAAATGTAAAAAATGTTTTTTTTTTAACTTTATTTTCCAATACTTTAAACCATTATCCATTATCTAAAGACCCTTTGTGTGTAGCCAAACCTGTACTCATTTTGAATGTAAAATTACAGCTCCATAATTATTCTCTATACTATGATGAAATTTGCATTTATAAGAAATTCTGAACATATGTTGTGAAATTTTTCAACATGTGTTGTGAAATTTCTAAAATAGATTCAATATTTCTGAGTATTTCCAATATTTCTTGAGCTGTCTTTACCCTTTTAACACAAATTGCATTTTAAAAGTAAGCGATAATAGAAACGCAATAAAAATTTATTGTTATTTGATCATCCTTTTATATCCACTGATAAGCAGCGGCTGTTCTAAAATTATAATCTGCGGCGACTTGCCTCTGGCGAGGAAGAGTTGGAGAATCTCGAATTGGTTGCAGTGCGCGGCGAGAATGACGGGTGAGATGTCAGGAGAGAAGTCGGAGCTTTCCTCCGTCGAGGGTCGCGAGCGGCTCCAGCCCGAGGCGAGCATCGACGACGAGATGCTCGGGTGGTCAATCAGCAGCTCCACGATCCGCAGCACGCCCTCAGTTATTGCGTGCAGCAGAGCGTCACCTGCAAAGCAAAGCAAACGGAAAATAGCAGAGCTTCATCTCAAATCAATCTTACACTGTAACACCCACGTTGTTAAACCTCAAACACAAAGTGAGAGGAAGCAAATCCAATGATCAAAAGCGTAGACAACCAGGAAATTAAAAATAAACTAATGGATTTTATTTTTTAAGACTTTTCCGTGAATAAATTTCAGGTTTTAAATTTTAGACTATTTTTGTCTCTAAAAAATCACTACAACACTTTTTTTTATTGTTTGATAAATTCGCTTTAAAAACTTAACTTTTATATCAGTAAAGTATAAAAGGAATTCATGAAAACAAAAAATAATGACAATCTAAAAGAGAATTATATGGTTAAAAATTATTAAATGATGAAATGTGCAAAAATAGACTCCTAAACTAAATGAAAATTTTAATCCATATTTATTAATTGATATATCAAATTATTTTAAACGTTTTTTTTTTAAAATTAAATATCAATTACCGATTTTGATGTCGGGTTGTTGGAGGAGAATTTCGACAAGTTCGTTGTTCTCGTTGTCGACGGCAATCTGCAGGGCTGAGCGACCCAGCAGGTCTGTGCAGTTGACATTGACCGAGCGCGGGGGCTGCAGGCACCGCTCGATTGTGTGTTTGTCGCCGCGCTCAGCCGCCTCCAGAAACATCTTTTCGGACGCCTCCAGCGACTTGCCGCTCTGCAATCAAAATTCGTCTTTTCACGCACACATATTTTCCAGGCAACTTCAATATTGCCGACTCTGGAGAATTTTTAATAAAGTCTTCGATCGGTCCCTCTCTCTTTAGTCCTTGTTAAATAAATGAAACTCCCTTTGCGAAATACGCTGCTGCTATTAGCAGCTCTATAATTGAGCCATTTACACCGACGGTGTGCTTTTGTTATTTTCGCACACTGGCTGGCTCGAAACTAATTGCCAGCCCGTAAAAGCCGATTGCCTGCTCAATGTGTTTTGAAATAAGTACCGTCAAAACAGACTGCAGGAAATGAGTTTTGCCGTCGTGCGTCTTAAGACTATTATGTAATCGTTTGAAGGAGGAGTAAATACACCAAAAGGAGACGAGAAGAAGATTTCACGAAGGGCGGTGAAAATTAAGTTTCTTCGAGAAATTAACTGACTTGATAGGAGCAAAAAACGTGATCCCGAGTGTTTTTAGTCATTCTGCTCTTAAGTTAGAAATTTATGAAGCATTGGGAACGTTTTTTCAAATAGAAGAAACTCATAACTAAAGTATAAGAAAATTAAAAAAATTAAAGCATAATTATTTCATGCATATATTTAATGTGGACAGTTTGCCCTTCAATTGTTGAATTGAATTTAATTTTGGCTGATTTTTATTGCAAATAAGAACATTATTTCATATGAATTATAATTTTAAAAGAGAAAGGAAAAAGACAAATCTGAGGTCCAAACATTTGATAAAAGTTATGCATTTTTATATAAAAATCATCATTCAAAGTTCGTTTTTTCCCCACAGAATTTTATCCGAACATTCTTACTAATACTTTCTTTCATTATTAGATTTTCTGCCTCTGGTCTAGATTTACCTCCCTAACGACCCACGCACCAGAAAATGATAACCACTCCTGGTGAGTTAGTGACAAGGGCGCACCCGTTATTCTCATCGTTATGACCTAAAAAATTGCTCTCACGTCCTTTACTTAAGGTCGTAAATTTTATCAGACGCTTGCTTGATATATTGATACAACAGCGGCCGCGAAGCGAGGCTGGGTCGCCGTTAATTGCCACGTAATTCCATTTTTGCGGCGCGATCGATGTGAACAGGGCTGATGAGCGTTTTGTGTTTTTGCTCAGCGAGCCGAGAAAACACGGCGGTCAATCAAAGTTTACGGGGAGACTCGTAAAAAGTTTGCGATTTTCCGCATCGCCGGCGATAAAAGCAAGAAGAAAATCTGGGGCCGGTCCGTGCATGGTCAGTTTCTTGTCCCGTGCGTGCAGCTCCGCACTTAGCAAAATTAATAATCTCGACGGACAGAGCAGCGAGTGATGCTGCGAATGCACAAGCAGCAAAAGGGCATGCATGGAATAAAAGCAGACTGACGAAGGCGAAGCTAGGCATGCAGAAAAATTTAAAGAGATGACTTTGCGAATCGCATGTGGAAAGCAATTTCTGAAATGGAAGGAGACGCTACAAAGGTAAAAAAAAAAAAACGAAAAGTCGCTGAAAAATTTGTACAAAAAAAATTGTATAAAAGTGTTTGAAACGGAAACGCTTCATCAAGTGAAACGTTACATACAAGCTGGAATTGATTTTGCAATTATTTTGCTATTGTTATTAATTAGTTCTAAAATTATTTTACAACATTTTGTTGAATGCAATATTATCAGAATTTTTATTTACAATGATAATATTTGTTTATTTATTTACTTCACTTAAAAACTATAATAATTTAACAGTAAAATAATTGTGAAAGGTTTGATTGTCGAAATTCATCATTTCTTTATGTATCAGAAAATTTTATTTATTCTAGTCATTGTTATTGTTCGATATGGTAACAAATGGTTGTGCTAATTACTGGCAATGCCAAAGCAGCATTGTTTTCCAATCATAAATTTCTCTCTGAATTTCAATTTGCTGGTTCGTATAATTTATGTGAACCCGCACCCAAAACGGCCAGCAAACATTCAATTTTAGCTCGCAGTGCAAACAACACATGCCATTTGGATCGGTGCCGAGAAAGAGGTAGGCAATGAGCCCGACTCGCGTGTCAGCTGGATTGCCTACCTAAGCCATTACACAGGCGTTAAATGCAGTGAATGATTTATTTTTGTCTTCTTGACAATGAGTAGAAAAATGCAATGATTGATGAAAAAAGAATTATATCTTCACAATTATTTGTTTGCATTACAAAACTTTTCAGTTTTATTTTACTTTTAATTTTTTTCAATAGCGAACTTTCCTGATTATCACAATATTTATTGTTGAAAGCAACCCTTCTTAACTTTTTTTTCAATTTCCTTGAGTGTCAAAAATTAAATAACAGCCTAATGCACCGCCAGCTCCTTTTCCGCCGTCTATTCCACTTCCCTTCTGTGGTAATTAGAGCCGTTGATTAATTAAATTCGGCTCATTTGGGCCACGACCGTTGATACCAATTTGCGCTCTGCTGCAATATTCCCCAGCACCGTCCATTAGGCGGCCTTATAATAAAAGTGAAAGCGCAGCGAGGGTGCGGAACAAAGAAAATTAAATTAGCGCCCCATTATCTCGCACAATCAGAAAAAGTGGCTCGTTAGCCGAAAAATTCCGTTTCCTCCCCTCGAAATGGGATAAAGAAATGTGAAAATATGTTCAAATGAAAGAACAACTTCCAAATTGAGCTTAAAGCTTTTAAAAAAATCAGAGGCTCAATTCATCGTTCGCTATGTATGATAATTTAGCAAGCAGCACTTAGCCATTATTTAGCAACGGTGCAACTCAACTGCCACTTTCCAACCACTCAATATGCACTTTACTGTGAGACTTCACAAGTGGAAGATTGTGAATGGGCTTTGCATAGAGTAAAAGCAAGAGAATAATAAGCTTTTATGCAAAGAACAGACATCCATATTATATAATTATAAAGCCCCAAAAATCTTACCAGTTAAAAATGTTACGTCTTGATAGAGAAGCAATTTTTTTGAAAAGAACCCAATCTATTTTGATAAACAAAAAATTGATTGATTCTACAAAAATTGATCGCTTGAATTAAATCTTATCGTGGATAGGACATTTCATCGCTAGAATTAAATCAAGATTTGAACTGTAGCGAAAAATTTTATTCGCATCAATTTTTTAGTTGGATTTTGGATAGGAAAAAGTATATAAAAAAAAAAACAGATCTCATGTTGCTTCAAACGTATAAAGTTTTTGAAATAAAAATCTACTTTTGACTGAAAAAATTAATTCAGGAGTCAAAACCATAAATTTTAAAAATTGTTCTAAACTTTTCATATTTCAATCCTCAACCCTTATTATACTTACCCAAAAATATTTTGTTTGCTGAATAAAAAAGGAAAAACGTTTAGGGACGCATAATATATTTTTTGCGTTCCGCAAACTCATTGTTTGGAATAAGGGCAAGTGAAAATTGAATAGACACTTATATAGACGAACGGGGAAGCTGCTGCGATAAAAGCGTCAAAATTTCGCCACCCGCCGGCGTCAAATTCAGCAAAAGAGTGTGCGAGATAGCGCGGTCGAGTGCGTGCGAGAGTGAATAGAAGAGGACGCGACGCGATTTTGATGGATGGTCGAGGGTTCGTTGCTTTTTACACACAGCGAAACATTTCACGCAAAGCCCCGGAACGCAAATTCGGGCGCAGCAGCTGCGCTCGGGTAAAAATTTGCCGCTGATTGATGTGTTGCTTTTTGCGAAATATGAGCTGTTACAACGCGTTTGCATGCTGACGACGCGCGAAACGGCGCGGCGAGAGAGAATTATTAATTTTTGCATGAATGCGAGTTTGACACGCGCAATTAGATTGTAGTATATTATTCATATGGGTGTGTGAGTTAAAAAAAGGGATTTTAATAATTTTTTTTTCAAATGTGCTATTTTTGCCAAATTTGCTACAAAAATTATGATTTGTATTCCCCTGTTGTTTTTTTTTCGAAAATTGTTTTTTACGCATAATTTTACCAATTTAATAAGATAAATAAATAATAATAAAAATATTCAAAGGATTCGAACAAAACTTAAGTTTTTAAATAAGCTTTTGAAAAGTAAATTTTTTCAGTACATTTAAGAAACATCACTTTTAAGCATTTAAAACAAATTGAAACTAGGCACGGATCTCTGTAGCAAGAGCATGGAGCAATTCATGCTGCTAATTAATTAATAAATTAAATAAATAATGACTTCATTTGCAGGAACATTGGAGCCAGTGAACCACAACAATTAAATAATGCGATATTGTGATTGTGCTTTGAGATTCATGGTTGTCAGCAAGACTCAGAATTAAAATTTGTCCTGATTGTTGTAATTAAAATAAATAAGTTTAGTAAGTTAATTAAATCAAACATATTTTTGAACCTCAAATACTTTGCATTTATAGAATATTTTGTCAAATTTGTTAAAAAATAATTGCTATATTCCGCTGAATTCAATATTTAAAGCATCTCCTGTCTCTTATTTTTTAAATATATTTTATATATACATGTAGTTTTTTTTTTGTAGACATTTTAATTTTTTTAAATTTTATTCTCGTTTTTGAACTGCATACTTCAGGGAAAAGTTGCATAGGGGTTTGTGTAATAGTCGGGCGGCGCCCGCTCGGTCCCATATAATAGTACGCGTTCTTCCTTTCTCTCTTTGCTACGTGCGCGCCCCGCGTTTTGCAGCCTCCTTTCGTGATCAATAATCAACGAAAGCTTTCTCTTCTAGTGCCCCAGTGGCGGCAGCGGTAAATGGGAAAAGGGCCGCGCAGAATAAACACCTGCCGCGCGCGTAAATACGACGAGAGCCCCGAACAAGTGGCTTGGCGCGCGCCAAAGAGAAAAGCTTTCCCATCTGCTGACGTAAAATCACCGGAAAATAATGAGGAAACTGCTCGCGCATCTTATAAAAAAAATAAAAGAGAGGAAACAATGAGCACCAGCACCAGGAAAGATTTGGTTTCCTTGCAATTTATTTTGTGCGAAATGGTCATTTTGTGATGCTGAAGTGATATGCATAAAAATCTGCCTCTGGAAAAAATTATATATTTTATATTAATACAATTTTGATCAAATTTTATCAAGGGTATAAATTATAATGAAATTTAAAAATAAGGAAAATACTTGAAAAAGTTTTGAGTATTATATTTTTTTTGTAAAATTAATGCATTTTAATGATCCAGGATAAAAAAAATATTGACAAATTTCAGAACGTTATTAATTGAATTTCATAATTTTTTAGGATTAAATAAGTTTATTAAATTATCTATTGCACTACTATTTAAAATTTGTTAAATATTGATAAAAAAAAAATTATTTTATATGTATGACCATTTTCAGTATGTAATCGACCTAGAAAATTGTGCTTTGCAAAGAACGTGAATGAATAATAAATAATGTGAACCGCAGAGTAGCTTTCAGTGTTCACCCTTTGATATTCGCGTTCTGCGCGCGAGTTTCATTAGCTTAAATTCAGCTTGTTAGCCGAGCTGCGCTGCTTGTTTGTGTACCGCGGTGGTGATCCTGTGTGGCCTTAATTCTCGGTTAATTTGTCCTGTGTTGCTCTTTGCGCTCTGAATACCTCCCGCCCGCCCACATCGCTCGCGCCGTGACGTTTCCCATCTATCTATCAGGGTAGTTTGCAAACAACCCTTTAATCACAATGGACGGCTCCACTCGCTGGAAATTACACGTGAGAAATAAATGGATATCCAAATCATGTCACAGAGAGAAAGCCTAGATGAACTAAATAAAAATTATAGTTTGAAACCTCTTGATAAAAAAATTTATTTCTGGGTAATTGTGAATTTTTAAGGCATCTAAAAGTTTGAATTTATTTTCTTAGAAACTGTATTTTGACGAAATTAAATCAATTTTTTTAATATCTTCAAATGTCAAATGATACTCTTGCGAATGGAATTTTAAATAAATAATTGTAAATAAATTATCAATCGATATAAAACAATTTAAACATTATTAAAATAGATAAAATTTTAATAAAGCTTGTACAAAATAAATTTTTATTCTAAAATTAAATCTGTATAATATAGAGATGCACATGATACAGTATAATATTTTTTTATTAATTATAAATTTTATGGCAAAAAAATTTAATTGAAATTTAAGTTTTTTGTTTTTCAGTTGTTGATTTTTAATAAAAATATGTTTTCATTCTTTATAGGAATCTAAGCATTTCAGAACAGTGGGACAGGGACAGGCGATAATTTGCATGCGGGAGTCACAGCTGTCCCCGAGCTACACTGCACGAATGCAAAATCAGTCTGCAGAGAGTAATTCACAACGAATGGTGCCTTCCAGATTATGATCGATGCGACCCAAGTTCAAAGTGGAGCAACCCATTAATCTTTCACTGGAGCCCGTCCAAGGAGAAAAATCAAGTTTTGCACTTGTCAAGACGCGACTGGATGATTTAATTTTCAGGCCGGCCGAGTGGAAAATCTCAGAGTTGTTGCTAGGGTGCTCTGATAATGCATAATACCCTGGTCGGGGGTGGGTAAGTGATTGCGGTTTGACCGCTCATTCGGTCCGGGAGATTCATGCGAGCGAGGCACTTTGCCCGAGACGAATGGCCCGGCCGGTCCTGCAGAGCTGATACGGACGGGGGCAGGTCACGAGAGGCCTCTTTGGAAGAAAAAGCAGCCGTTCATTATCTGCTTGATGCGACAAAAGCTCAAGTTTTGTCGTAAAATTGCCGTTTTACTGCCTGCAGCTTTCGATAATGAGACGCCAGTAAAAGAAAAAGGCTCCTGCACAATTCTGATAGAGAGACTACTTTTTAACTTTTGAATGGATTACATGGAATGAAAATAATCTAATTTTCTCGCAAAATGATAATGACGTCGGAGTTTGTTCCGAGTCTTTTTCATCCGACGAGCGTTATTTGCATTGCAAATTAAACCGCCGACGAAATCTGATAGACTTGCTTCTCTTTGCAAGCGAAATAAATCAAATGAGAGCTGCGCCATCGATTTTCCGTGGCTGGTCCGCACGAATTTTCCAGAACACTATTGGTCCACGGTATTTGCTCTTCCTCTCGTTGATAAGAATTTAATACCTTTGTTTTCAAACGTGCGCTAGAATAAAATGGGGTAGAAAGAATTTAAAATCCTCTGCAAGTGAATAAATTGAAAAAGGGAAAAATTGATTCGTCTGTTAAAGGAAAATTTATGACAGATGTCGTCTATAAATATTTAAATGGAACAGAAAAAACGCATTATTAATTTAGGATTTGATTCATTAGTTAGAGTTCTCCGGAATTTCTCTCGTGGTGTTTAACTCTTTGAAATTTTTACAGAAAAACCATTGTTTTTTAGCAATTAAAATTAAATTTTAAATAAAAAAAGTAGTCAAACTTTGTAAATTTTTACAAATTAAGAATATAAAGAACAACAAAGATTAAAATATGTTACAGGAAAGCATTATTTATTTTTAGGCGTGCTACTTTCATACATTTTAAGATATATTGCAACTTTTTCAATATTATTTCTTCCTACTATTTCCTTTGGAAACCCATTAACAATTAATTGCACTCCAGCGCGCTGAAAGCTTAAATACTAGACTTTACAGAGAGAATAGAGCTTGTGAAGAAACGGGAGCACCTGCTCGCAATAAGTCTTGAGCCAAAAGGAGTAATAGTTGATTCCTTCACTTCCAAGACCGACTGCATTTCGCTCTGCTCGCTCCAGTGGGCGCGAATAGAATTGCGGGGGATGATGAATCGAGGTGGCGGGTGGAACAACGGCTGTGAGACTTTGGCCGCAGATCAAAAAACGGGGTTTGGCGCTGCAAAAAGTGCAAACCAGCAGGCAAGATTAAAAGGCGTGGATTTGATTTAACGCGCACCACTAAATTTTCAAACAAAAGCGATGCATTTGTTCCTCAATTTTTTTCAAATGATTATTTTTTTATTTGGAAAAAAGGAAAATTTGTGAAGAATAAAGTTGCGAATTATCTTTAATTTTGTATTATTGCAAAGATCAATAAATTATAAATTTTTGCAAAATTGTTTATTATTTGTAAAGTAAGGATTTTTTACCACTTTCCTCCTTTTCCATTCCATGAATTGTGCGCACTTTTGACCGCAATATTTTTGCACTTTTCCATTCTCCATTGGTGACGACTCTGCTTGTTTTACGCTTTGTCTCTCTCGGTCTCTCTCTCTTGTGCTCGTTTCATTTCATTGTCAGCAGCAGTCGTCGGTGGGTTTTGCGAGGTCCCTGCGCGCTCGTGAAACGCACAATCGGGCCAAGGTGCCACTTGACGTCTTGCTCGCTCTGTTATATTACGGTAGCGCCAGACAAAAGGCCCTTGCCCAATCAAATCAACTTCGTAACCTCATGAAGAAAGGGCATTATTTTTTTTAGCTTACAGGTCACATTTTCAACTTCCCATTAAAATAATGCTGAATAATAAAAAAAAAAAAAACAGAAAATACTTTTGCAAAACATAAAACTGAATATTTAAGATTATTACTCCAAGCTGTTTATATTTAAAAAAATTTATGATCTTTCTCAAAATCAGGTTTCAAAATTATTAAATACTTAAGGATTTAAATGTTAGGATCGTTGTTGGAAATACCTTTGGTGATTTTTAATTTTTTAAATTGAATGTAGCAAATCCGTTGCACATTTTACAGGCCCAATAACACTTTTGTCACCCACTGATTTTTTCAATAAAAAAATTAGAACCTGAGGTTTTAAGCTCTATTTTCTGGCTATTTTTTATGCTCATTTTTCAACTAATTTTCCAATACTTCCCAATTTTAGGCATATTTCGAAAGATGTTCTATTATAATATCATAATATGGCAGTTAATGATGCAAGCAATCTTGAAGGCACAATCTGTTACGTAGAAAAAGTATATATCTTGTTCCCAATTCAAGAACTTATCATTTCTTCTACGCAATTCAATCTGCACTCTATCATCTTTAAAAATAATCTATTATCTTTAATAAGTACCTTTAATCAAATTACTTTGAAAAAAAGAGCTGATTGTGAGATATTTTGCTAAGATAATGTTTTAAAATGACGTTCATTATGATGGATGCAGTTCACAAATTCCGCACTCCAATTGAAAATTTCGCATTGTTTTAAAAATTCATAAAGTTTATAGTTATGAAAAAAGGAAAAAAACGCTTTAGTATTGATCTTAAATTTTTTTATCTTTTAACTTAAACGCGCCGAGCACGATTAATACTGACAAAAATAGACGCAAGAAAGATACAACCTATTATTAGAGCTCCGCTCATCCACCAGCAAATATAATTTGGGTGGTAATATTCAATTTGGTAAAATAATACGAATATTGAACCTAACACAAACGTTAAAAAAGTTGATCCCATAGTAAAAACAGCGGACGAATTGGCCTCGAGTTCAGGATAGACGAGCTCAGTAGCATATCTGTATGCCATTGGCATGTAACCAACCAAAGAAAATCTAAGGGAATAACACATTATGTAGCACATCATTTGCCTTCAATGTATCAAAGGGCAGCCCTAGTAACGATTTTTATGCTTGAATTCAAATCAGCACAAATTTTTATGAGATAGATATCAAAATCACGATGAAAAAATTTGCACTCTTGAGGTTTCAACCAGGTGACAATTGAAGATTCACCTTAACAAGATTGAGGGAAGTGTCAATATCAATGCATAGAGGCAGAAGTGAAAAGTAATAACTTGCTTATTTGGTTGAATTTCATGAAACGAGAAAGGTGAACCCGTTTTTGATCCCGTATAATTTAGGATTGATAATCTCGTGATTAATTTTAAATTCAAGAATAAAAACATTGCTAGAGCAGGGTCCAGGGTCACTGATAATTTACCCCAAAATTCCAGCGTTAATGTATAGGAAGATGATGTTAAATCTTCGAATTTTGGAAGACAATAGGCAAAACACCATCATTGCCAGTGCTGAAATAGCGTAGATAACAAAGCTGAAAATCCTATAAAAGGTTTAATGATTTAAAAAACTCATTTCCGACTCATGCAACCTTCAAGGTTGAATAAATTAATCTTACTGCAATTTCTTTGTCCTATCAAAAATCACTCCACATACAATTGCTCCCAGTGCTCCAGAGAGGACCATCGTCGCGGATAAAGTAACTGCATATTTTTCTTCAATTCCCTTAGTACAAAGATTTAAGTTTTGGTGAAAATAAAAAATTTGAACGTACCTCCGCAGAATCTCCCATATACCTCATGCCAAAGACAGTGTAATAAAAAACTGCCTGGTTGATTCCAGAGATTGTTAATAATGTCACGAATTTTGTATTGCTCAGTAGGCTTTTAATGGAATGAAATATTCCTTTCTTTTCCATTAAATTAGATTTTTCAGCCTCAACTTTGCTCGGCGGCGTTAAAGGGGCACTTCGAAATACTGGAATGACCAATTGAGCAAAGACTGATTATAAAAACTGAAATTAAATGTAATAAAAAAATTAAGCCAATAAATAATTTATTTATTCACAGATTACTTTGAATTTAAAATTAAAATTATTATATTTGTATATTTAATAACATACAGATGAATACTAATAGTAGCACAATGGAATGAGCGATCGCCGTGGACCAATATAGATACGACATCTCGTACTCAATTTCGTATTTCCGTACGCTTTCGTGAATAACCGCATCTGATATTAATATTCCCAGTCCGTTTCCAAGCTAAAATGCTAATAGTGAAAACAGAACTCTTTGGAAACAAAAATTTACCTGGAAGCCTGCAATTCCAATGGCGCAGGCACTGGCTACCTGATTTGGCTTGAACCAGGTCACTGCTAGCACTATGGGAGTGCTCACAACGAAAACCCGGCTGATTGAGATCAACGTTTGGCTCAAAAGGGCCACCCAAAATAATTCTGGATCGATTGATAACAGTCTAATCCAAGTACCAACGCAGTTCAAGACCATCGCCAAAGTTATGGCCACTTGGAGACCCTGGTAATGTTCATTATGTCGATCTTGAAATAAAAGATTAATGCAAACCAATGAATTTTCACTTTTAAATTAATCAGCCAGGTGGCGGGCAGAATGAGGAAAAAAGTGCTTATGAAATATATCCAGTTCGTCCAGTAGATTGCATATAAATCCGCGTCATTGTAGTAAAAGGCAAACACTTTCCCGACGACTGAATATTGAGACCATTGCGTGCCATTGCACATGCAGATAATTGTGAAGAGAGCCAGAATTCCCCATTTGCGCTTGTAGGATTTGAATTCCACGTTCTCGGTCGGCGATTCCATCGTGACTGAGTCTGTTACGAATTATGACTGACAATAGCGTCTTATAAAGAGCAAAATCATTGCTCATATCTTATCTCATGATAGTCATGATTTATTCTTTTGGTTTGCATCATTCATTATTATCATATCTTTATTAATAATGAGTGTTAGGTTTGGAGTATAAAATAGTTACGAAAATAGTTCAGATTGTAAAAAAACCTTGTAATTTTCCAAATTATTTTCCCACTGAAAAAAATGGAAGTCCACCATGAAAGAAAATAACTACTTATTAAATTCAATACTTACAATGTTGGCCCTCGTTGGGAAATTTTTCTATAATACTTTCAAATTCATCGTTTTTTCGTTTTCAATTTTCAATGGCAAAAAAAAATGAAATTTTTACCTTTGTTTGGAATTTTTGGTGAGCCCTTTCAAGTGTGTGTTTTTTATTTATTTTTAGATCACAATTTAAACTTCAGTCACAAAACTTTGGGTTCTAAATTCAATCATTTCTTGAAGAAAACCTTTAATTCTCTCTCTAGTTTTTTTTTTTTTTTATCAAACAAACAAAAACTTCCTTCGACTCCATACGTTTTTGCCAAACGGCTGCTTTGGTATACGAAGGGCAAGTTTCCCTGTCAGCTTATGACCCGCGGGACACTTTTGCTGCCGCGAGCAGCGAATGTTTACGTTGGCAGCCACTTTGCAAGTCAAACGAAATGCAATTTCCAGCACCGGCGTTTCACACACCAAGGCAGCAGTGCAGCTGGATTTATTTTTTTCTTATAGAAACAACTATTCGCATATATTTAAAGTTTGAGACTTTAGGGGAAATTAAACTAGGCTGTTCTATCAGACAATTCGCGCCGAAATCGGACAGTGCGATATGCGAAATGCAAATGAAAGCTGCTTGCTATCTGACCACTGGTCTCGGGCGACCATCCGACTGAGCCGCTGCATGATAATTAGCTTGTCGCGTGTGCCGGAATCCAAGTTGCGGCCCCGAAAGCGGCAAATAATCCATTATGCATGCGACACGCCCGCTTTCCCTTGTGGCTTACATTATCTGCGGAGTCCAGAAGAACATCGCCGTAATCAAATTTATACACTGTCACTGTAAAAAAAAATCAATTTAAAAAAAATAAATTTTAATTCATCAGCTAGATTTTTCTGCAAGATTTAACTCATTTTGATTATAATCTTATTAATATTATTATTTATAATTAAAGGTTTTTTTTACTCAAATTTATTATCATACACATCAACGCGTATAATATATTATATTGCTTCAGTTGGCCAATAAATAAAAAAAAAAGCTTGATTTGTACGTTAACATTCATAAAATTTAACAACGCATCAGTATAATCATGTATAAGCCTTATGTTGTCTTCAACGCTTGAACAAGTTTATGTTGCATTTAAAATTCATAATATATTATTACATTATTTCTCTACAGTAAATGAAATCAATTTGCAAACAGAACAAAATTTTAATCAATATGGAAAATGCTGTTCAATGTCTTGCACTAAAATAACGCTAATATTGAATTATTTGCTTTCAAGAGATGCTTGTTCAAACTAAATCTGGGCCCTCTTGACCTCTCATCAGTCATTTTGAGCTGAAAAAGGCCAAGACAAAGTTCCCGCTCTCGTGGGTTAGAAGTTTCTGATGCTTTTGTCTACCCAGCAGCTTCCAAGAAGTGCTTCTTCCACTTGATTGCCGCGAAACAATCACGACCCGCAAAGTTTGCCACGGTTTCTTGAATGCGCGCTCTCTCGTTAGTCGGCATCAAAATGGATTTTCAAGTGCCCCTCTGCACACAATATGCAAATCATAATTTGTTTTTGAGTTTTCGCTGTGTATTGTTATGCATTTTCATTCGAAAGGGGGATCTGGACGGATGTGCATTTGTTGGGGATAAAAAAAGTTTCGCGGAAAAAAACTCGTTCAAAGTTTTGATCTATGTTTCGTCATATCTCATGTATTGGATGGATTAACGTAATCGCAAAAAGTCCTTTACTCCCACGGCGCTGGCTCATGGTAATTTGCATAATGGCTTTTTTGCGGGGGCGTCGGTCGTGCCGCCCGTATTTCGCATTAGACTAAAACCGAAATGACAAACGTCTCCTCTGGTGTACGTGCGATGCACGGCGACGCGTTTTAGGATCCGGCCAGATTATCCTCGTCGTAGCAAACACGTTAAACTCGGGCGCGACACAAGTAATTAAACGCAGCAGATATAAAACGCAGAGTGAAAAATGAGCGGGAGATTAGAAAAACATAGCGCAGTTTTAAAATAGCCCACGTGTTAGTTAGGACAAAATTCAAAACGGATTTAAAAGTTTAAAAGCGTAGGTGGAATATAATAATTTTGAAAAAAAAAAACAGTTAAAGTAAGCAAAATGTTGTTATTTTTTATGAAGAGTGTGCTAAAATTGCTGAAAATGACCGGATATGATCTTAGTTTCACATTGTACATAAAAGAGAAAAAAATATTTTTGCTCAGTTTCAGGTTCCACAACAGTTGCAATAACCGAAATTACAAAAATTATGGCGGTGAGAAAAAAATGAGCCTTTTATGACCCATTTGAACCATGAAGAGGTGTAGAATTTATATAACGATGCTAAAAATTTAAATAAAATCATTTTTTAGACTTAATCAAATGCCCTTCAATAAGTTGCACCTGCACAATTTCATAAAAACTCGTTGGAGTTTTAAATTTTTATTATTAAAATATTGCAAAAAAATATTCTGCTTATGAGGAAACACTGAGCTAGGAATAGGTTTTTTACATTTATTAAAAAACAAAATTAAACACAAAAAATAATTTATTTTACGCAATATTCAATTCAAGAATTTTAGCATTTTTTTTTTGCATTTTCATATTTCTATAAATAAATAAATTAATCGCTAATTTGCCTCTGATCCCTACAAAATCAAGATATTTCTGTGAGTCACGTTTTTGTCGACAGACCTACCATATTTATTTCATTCAAAAGTGACGTCAACTGGAACACTGGTTCAAAATATAGCAAAAACGTATGTGTGGTCGCAGTCCCGATTTCACTGACGCACTTCCTGGAGTGAACAAAAATTTTGGCCGCAAAACTGCATTTTATTTAGTTGTTTTACAACCAGACGAAAAATATGGATCATTTTAACGCTGCGTTAGTCTTGATTTTGCACTTCTTAATGTCACATTCACAGTCTGCAACTTTTGTTCGAAACGTAAGTTTTACCAAAATTAATAATTAACACTTATGCGTTTAATTATAACGTTTTGAAATCCTTCAAGGCTGATTGTGGCAGAAACTTGCATTCGTACGTTGCACGGTGCATCTCGCACTGCTTGAATCTGACTCGGAATAACGTGGAAAAGCCAAAGTGTTTCTTTGACCCTAACATTGGCGTTTACGCAGAAAAAGTATGTGCACACTGATGCGTAATTATTCTGTTTGTGATTTTGTTTTTACATTTCCAGACCAACAAGACGTGTTCTGAATGCCTAGATTATCAAGCCAATACAGAAAAAGTTAATAATATATTTTCCAATTAGCCAACAAAGTGAAATGTAAAATTTTTCTTTTTTTAAGTTCGAGAGCTTCAAAAGAATTTCTAGATCTTGTGAGTTCATATTTTTTTACATTAATAGAATAAAACCATTTCTTAATATTTTTTTTTTCAATTCGCTACAATTATATTTATTGTCACAATGAATCCTTGCAAATTATTGCGCGATTCTGATCAAGATTTAAAAAATTTTAGATAAAAAAAACCTTCATATTTAAGAACAAATAACACATTTTAGAGGTTTTTGAGGCTTTATTAAATTTTATTAATAACATTTAATTTTAGGTTCAAATCATTTTAAAAACGACGTTCCTCTTTCTTTTTAACTATGATTTGAGCAGATTTTGTTTAAATACAATATATTGCAACAGTCCTTGATATCACATGGGTGTAAAGATTAACTATTACAACAGCTAAAAATCTCATAATAAAGTCATCGTGCGGCAAAAGAATTTCCCTCGGCAGCTTAGCAATTGGAGTGAGTATAGAAAAAAGAGATTTTTTATGGTGGTGTCCTGAGCAAAAAATCCATGCAGCAAAACGGATTTTAAATACATAATTATTATTTTAATGCTAAACTGCGGATTACTTAAGGAACTTATAAAAATCAAATCATTTCGTTTTGTATCATCACTTCCTAGGGTACTTAAGTTTATATTGTCCAATATTGTCCTTCGTCCTTCAATAGAAAATTATATTTGTAAAATTATACAAATAAATTTACGTTTTTCAGCCTTTTATTTGTAAAGCTTTTAATGAACCATTCATTTATTTTATTTATTTATTTATTCTCCATTCAGATACAATGAAATATACCATGACTATGTATTGTAGGTTTTAATAAATAAATTGCTTTCAGTTCATCAGATGACAGAGATTACAAAAATATATTGACTCATGTTTTGTCTTTTGATCAACTGAAACATGCAACAATAACTCTTATAAATGAAGGCGTGAATTTTCGTTTACATTCGATCCTTGGACTAAAATTAATTTTTAGTATTCATTCATTTACTTCAAAAATCAATCCGCAAAAGTTAAAAAATGTATGAGAGTCGCAGAATCATTTTTAATCCGGTTGCATGCATATAAAACTTAGCTCAGGACGCAATGTAAAATATCTGCACCTGAAATAGAAATCTTATAACTTTTGTGAATATTATTATTCCCAGACCGACTATGAGTTTTCGGGGCATATCTGTGATCTAGCTGAGCCGACTTTGTACCACTGGAACCCTCAATCTGTAGAGGAAATCAAAAGTATCGTTGAAGCGTTGCGTAAGAGCATAAATATAAAAATCGAATATAAGTTGCAATTTAAGTTTATCGTTTCAAAGCGAGTGACCATCAAAGTCAAGGGTTTGTTCGGGTGCATGCGTTTAAAAGCTTGTGCACCAATAGGTTCCACATCTGCAACAAAAAATCGAATCCACCTTTAAAAACTAATTTGTTGCCATGGATTCCAAGTAGTGCAGACCCCGTGAGCCCTGGAACTTATGGGGGCACGTGCGTCATCTTGCACTTCAAAATGGAAAAGAAAAACGCCACCAACTTCCGTTTTCAAGAAGTGGAATGTGCAAAAAAGGCAAATTTTTTTTGTATCGTTAAGGAGTTCTGAGGATTTTTTGGGTAATAAATTTGGGATTCCGAGTTTCTATGTATTTACCGATTAAAGCCACAAAAAAAACGATTTTCGTTTTTTATAAATTTTTTATGGCAGTTTTCCGCTGCTCATTTTTGTATAATTAATAAAAAAAAATCAAACCTTTTTGAATGGGACGATGACGACCTTAATAAATTTTACATCGTCACCACTCTCTGAGAATATGTGAAAATTAATAAATTATATAATTTCAAAATTTTTATATCTGTTATTTTTGGAAATATTTTATATTTTAAATTTATATTTTGATACATTTTTACGTTCCTTGCAATGCACATTCATGGTTTTCAGTGATTTTTATTGATTTTGACTGCACCAAGATTAATAATTTCAAATTAATTTTGACACTTTTTTTAATTTACGGACATTTAGATCAAATTCTACTTTAATGTTAAGCGTTACAAAACTTACCAAGTTTCTTTTTTCAGAACTTGAAAGTTCTCCTTCACTTTGGCTCTTGATGGCTATATTAGAGAAATAATAATGCACTCTGCTTGAACACATGAATTTTGTTTCTCCCCCCATCAGAAACTAAAGAAAGCGACTGCTATTGTATAATCCGTTTCCGCCCTTGACAAAAGACTGGAAATGAGCTCAAGCTGATGAGATGAAGCTGCAATTCGCAGACGCAATCGCAATAAAGCAAGATGAGAAGAAGTTTTTTGTCGGCACCTCTCCCTGGGGCCACCCGACCGCCGCTTCGCCAACAAATTAATTCGGCTTTTCAACTCACGCCTTTCCCACGCGCGCACGTGTTATGATAAAAGCAAAAGATTAAAGTCGGATTAAAAAATTATTTGTTTTTAATTTTTAGATAGCCATCAAAATTTTTATGAAATTTTGAAGATCAATCAAAAGTCTTGGTTCTTTTTAATTTGTTTTCAAGTTTTTTTTTTTTTTGTTGAAATAAAAAATAATTTTGATTATTGCAAAACTGACCTGCGTCCTGAGCGCTCCGAACCCTGGCCAGCATGACGCGAGGCACGAAACGCGCCGCGAGTGCAGCGTCGAGGCTGCCGTTTTGCCGCCCACCATGACTCTGCCCTCGGTGCTGGACCGCCGAGAAAGAGTCGCAGCCACCCTCACAACGGCATGCGCACCTCTATTGCAGCAAGACCGAGCGGCTGGTGCTCCCGACACCCTCACCGAGACGCACATATAGATATTTTTGCTCTTTAGAATATAATTGGAAAACAATAATTTTCCTCCAACTTATTTATTCCTTTAAAAATTTTGACGAAAAAAGAAATTTATTTAATAAATCATAATATGCAATGAAATTTTTTCTTTCCTAAGGAGATTTCGGAAGATGTATTAATATTATTCTAAATTAAACATAAGCGGCTAAGCAATTAATTATTAAATTAATTGTTAATTGTTAAATTAAATATTGTAATTTTCAATTTTCCTTGAAAGTTCTGAACACATTAAATTTGATAAAAAATTTAACTTTGGTTTTCCCAGAGATTATTTCGTTTTATAATTATTATTACTACATATATCATCTTGACTTAAAATTATATGATTTGTAGCAAAAAATGAGCCAAATCAAATTGCAGATTAAATAATAAATGATGAGAGGATTTAAAAAAAATGAGAATTTCTAATAGCTTTAAATTTATTTATCCCAACCTCTTATGCAAATTTATTTGATTTTTTACTCTATTCCAACATGTTTTGCCTTTTTGGTGCTCAATTTAACGCTGGTGCTCTTGTTTGCACTGCAACTTGTTTGGTTTGCCATCTCTCGACGGAGAGGTACGACTAACGTTTCACCAAGTAATAAAAGATGGCACGTCAAAGATGAAACGTAACAGTCTAGTAAATCTCTGCGTTAAGAGCATTATTTTGTCTGGAATTCTTAGATTTCGCTATTATTTGATTTATCATAAAATTTCAATTATAAAAATTTAACTGGATTTAACTAAGGAGATGCAATAAAATATCTACAACTTAAATATATGAAAACTGAATAAAAAATCATGTAAGGGATTCATTAAGAAGATTTAGAAAGCCAGATTAGCAAAACGATATTGACACTGTAAAAAATCTAAATCTGCGTTTTATTTGACATTAACAAATAATTAGTTTAAATATTACTCTGTACTAAAGCATAACAAAAAATCTTTTTTTTTCAATTTAATTCTAAAGAAACTTAAGCGTCTTTTTAGTACTTTTGAAACTAATCAAACTTGTTATATTTTCTTGGGATTTGTTTTATAAAATCAATTTGTTATATTTTCGGGGCATTTTTACAATTATATTTTTAACTCATTTCTCATTTTCACTATCTTGCGCCGCAGCATGCTTGTAGCGATTCAAAGACTTGCCATTAGATGGCAGTACAGTACAGTCGCTTCGTGCCTTAATACAGCGTTTTGTCACGTGCTGGCTTGTGATTACTATGTAAGCTACGGACATATAAAATGAGAATTTAATGCAAAATGTGAAGCTAGTTCAGAATTATTCAATTTAATCAACAATATGTTATTGTGCTTGATTTTTTCGCATCATTTAAGCCAATATAATTAATTGTTGTTAAATGCTACTTAAAATAAAATTTCATATTTCTTTTTTATAAATGCCAATTTTTAATTAAATTGCAATGCCGCAACTACTTTGAGTAAAAGTTTACTATTTTTTTTATGCTGTATCCCAGAGTATACCAAAGATCATTTTTGTTGTTGTTTTGGTTTTGTTTATTTAAATGTTTATCGCGCACTCACTATCAAATTGACAAATTCACAAGGTTTTTTTTTATCTTGCTAGTAACGTATTATTTTCTCTCAATTAAAGGCACTTTATTTATAAATTCAGATAATAGAGCAGTTGTAATTTTTATTCTTGTGTAGCTTTTATAACATCTCTGCAAAGTCGGTTCTGATAATCAGCCGTACACATAATACGCCGCAATTTACGGCCGAAAGCTGCTATTTATCGCACGTTAAGCCAAGTTAATTGCGTAAATCGTCGTCGTGTTTATGCGTCCCCAGTGGGTTGTTTGCGGACAGTATAGTTGCTCCAGCTTGGAAAAACGCACTCTGCAAGGCAAGCCTATATTTTATAAGTCAGCTGCTCTATTTACCAACAAAAATTATGTTCAATCGACAAAAGATAATTTCTTTAATTACACCCTGTGAAGCAATCAACGAGAAGTAAAAGTATAAAATTTTCCAGTATATTATTCTAGGTGAAAAATAATAATTGCTACAGATATTTTTTTCCTAAAAAAATAACCAAAATTCAAGTTGCATAATTTTTCTAATTTTAATGCATTTTTTTACTCATTTATCCATTCACCCCCAAAACAGTATAAAAAGCAAGAATCATTTAATTTTTGTTTATTTTTCAGCATTTAAATTTGTAAAAATTTCAATGAGCAATAATAAAATTTGCAACTGTAAATCAACCAGTTCTCAACAATTCTATCACTCACAAAAAAAAAAATAAAATAAAAAAAACCTTGCGCTGATTAAATGTTGTTGTATTTTGTGCTCAATAAATTAAGAGAATGATAGAGAAGGGCCGCGTGTCACTGACGTCCCTTATTGAATTACAACAGAGAGCGTTGGTTTGACTTTCGTGCGAGCGGAAAACATGAATCGCACCCTCGCGACTTACGCAGAGTCAATTAATTTTCACGAACGGTTAATGCGCCGATCAGCGACGGATATGCATTATACAGAAAGAAATTCATTGTGATTTTAATTGAAGCGAACACGCAGTGCGGGAAGTTGCAAAGCGTTTGTGTCTGTGCCTTTCAATGAACCGTGACCACCGACAATAAACTTCGGACGCCCGTCTCGTTTCGCATTGTTGATGCAGCTCATGCGAAACAGAGTGTATTTTTCTCCCAGAACATCCCCTTGCATGGTTTTGTCCACGCGCACGCAACCTCTAAGGAGTAGAAAATAAATAAGTTTATGTTTAATATTGGAAAAAAGTTAGATTATCTTGTGGTGGTAATTATTAATATGTTTCTAAATTAAAACTTACTTTGATTAAACATATTGTTTTCATTTTACAAAAATAAATGCTTATTGTTAGTGAAATGCGTGAGTATATCTGAATATCTATATGAAAACGACCATTCAATTTAATGCATATCAAAATTCATTCTTAAAATGATATGTGAAATTTTAAGTTATATTAAAATATAAAAGATAAAAAAATATATAATATACACGCGGTTGAAATCATAAAAGACAGCATTAGTTTTAAATAAAATGCACTAAAATTAAAAATAAATCAGTTAATAAAAAGTTTAGTTGCTGAAATAAATTTTTTATAAATTATTTTGTCTAAATAGTTTACAAATTTTAAACAAAGTGTGCAAAAGTCTCGTAATAACTAAAATTTTAAGTCTTTCTTTGTCACACGTATTTTGAATCATAATGACAACAATTCGCCAATATCCACTATGATGAAAAATTTTAGAGAAAAAAAAATACCTTTTTACACGTCTAACAATTTATGGAAAATTTGTCTTTTTCTATTCAATTTTATTAAATGAGATCTTTAAAAATGAAATTCTTTTGGAAAATATTCAAGTAAATACGTTTTTTCAAATATGTTGTATTTTTATGTTGTTATTAATTTCTTTCATTTCTTTCGGTCCTTTTTAAAACCTCCCAAAGCATAATTTTCCCTTTTTTTCATTTTGCATGTTTTTCCTCGCCGCTATATTTCAACTATATGCAAATTGCCGCGGCGGAGTGATTTTTTTTTCTGCGAAGAACACCAACCACGAATAAGGGCGAGGAGAAGAGCGAAACACGCAGAGCATCCATGTCCAAAATAAATAAATTTGGGTGTCCCTCTCTCTCTATAGCTCTGTGCGTCCAAACAGACAAGGTGCCCGGCGTGCGAGTGAGATGTGAGTTTCCCCGGCCGGCGCTCATTTAACAACAGCATTAAACAGAAATTTTATCTTTTTAATGTCACACACCAAGCGGTGTGCGTCGAGCAGGCAGCTCTCTGAACATCTGAATTATTAAGTTGCACCATCGTCTCGCTCGTCGCCGTGAATATGGAGATGTATTCAAATATACACACGCACGTTTTTATATTATATGTGTGCGCGTTTTATTCAAATCGGAGAGCGAGAAGAGTGTTTTATGCTGCCCCGGAGAGCATGTCCGTAAATGGACAAGCAAATTACAACTTCATTTGCTCATATTTATCGCCGGTGATTAGTTTTGCTTAAAATTAGTTGCAAAATTATCACACCTCATCTGTCAGCAGAAAGTCTGAATAATGCTGATTATCGCAGAGAAGTTGATTTTGTTGCAGCACGAAGGATGCTGATTGCAGTGACATTCTTGAGTAATTATTTGTTATATCAAAGCTTTTAAAGTGGAAACAAGCCAATTTTCATATTTTTTTCAAATGCAATAGTTTAAACTTTAAAATAGTTAAATTCATAATTTTGAGGGTTTTGAAAAATGTATAACATTTGCAAAATTTTCTTATTTCTGCGGGAAGGAATAACTGATTATTATCTTTAATTGAAGTCTACTGATGTGATTAAAAATTTTAATATTAGCTGCAACCAAAAAGAATACAAAGGAAAATGTTTATCAGCTTTTTGATACACAGAGAAGATACACTAAAAGAAGCTTAATATTGGCCTATCAGCAAAAAGGAGGATTAAAACAATTTTTTTCTACAAAATGCTTTTAATTTTCACTCTTTTTTTGGCTAGGAACGAAATATAATCCTATATTGTTGAGAATAACTGATATTACTTTCTCAAAACCAAAGTTTATTTTTTGCTCATCAGCGTTATTTCTGTAGTTTTGGGAGAATCTTTTTTCCAGGCGCACAAAAATTGTAACATATTATATCATGTTAGGTATAATTAATTTTGTTTTAAGTTTTAAATTAACATCAATTTGAAGACTATAAATATATAGTTGAAAAAAAAATTTGCAACCTTGGCCAAATTTTGCAAACGAGCTGCCGATTAAATAAAATTTAAGCAGCGGCTCATATGATTTGTGAGCTCGGATAACAAGGTGTACT